CCCCGTTGATATCAGCTCGTAGTATGGCATCGGTTGGGCGTATGGCAACGTCTCTTATGCTGAAGTGGAATTTGCAGGGTACGTCTTAGTTGTGAATCGGTAGCTATGACCTCACCCATTTTCCAAAGGATTGAGGTCAAATCCCAAGCATTCATGGATGTCTCCTCCGCGAGTAACCCTGCGCTAGCGTACGGCGCCGTCGGTATCATCGGCCTTGGATTCGACTCTCTGTCCAATGTCGACGCGCTTGTGAACCGCAGTGGCAGTGACACTGGACGGACTTTCCTCTACAATGCCTTCGCGCAGGACAAGAGCGAACCGAACTTCATTTCATTCTCCCTGCAAGACATTGACGACACATACGATGATGTGGAGGGATATTTCTCAATAGGTAGGGCTATGTCCGCGCATTACAAGGGTATACTCTTCATCTGATTTTCTTCTTATAGGAGAGTACGAACCGGAATATTCTGCCGTAGCGAACAGTACCACGATCTCAACATGGCCCGAGAGCTATCCCAAGCGATGGAGCGTCTTGCTCGACTATCTCCTACTAGGCGCCGATTCTACCGCAGTCCCTGTCACCACCAGTATATCCGGCGCACCCTCCAACAGGGCTGTCGTAGTGCTTGACAGTGGTACATCTTACACGTGAGTGTTAGAATTCACGGAAGAGGAGCAGACAGTTTAAGCATGAGTATAGTTATGTGACCACGGACATCGCTAATACGATCTTTGGCAATATCTCTAACGCGAAATATGATGATAGCCTTGGTCAGTGGGCCTTGCCTTGTGATTCTGAGGTTGACATTGCACTACAATTCGGGTGAGGCTTTTCATAGAGTTCCTGCCTCCTATATATCCATCGGCTGACGCTTTGGGCTCGCACTGCAGTGAAGATATCTACCCCATTGACCCACTTGATATCACGGTCAAAACTTCCTCTGACTCTTCGCAATGCCTGGCGACGATTCTCCCTGACGATGACATCGGCGGAGGAGAGTTGTGAGTAGCCTTATACATCCTGCTCCACCGATACCGACTGTATCACAGTGACTGGCTAATTGGCGACAACATGCTACGCTCCGTATACGCGGTCTACGATTTCGGGGATTACGACTCGTCCGGCGATTTAGGAGATCCTTACATCAAGCTGCTTTCCCTCGTTAATGCCGACACGGCGTCTGTGAACTTCCACAAAATCAGAGGCGGCACCGCGCAGAATATCACCTACAACGCAGCTAATGTCACCGCCGCGACCTCAACAACCGTGTCGCTATCCAGCGAGCTGGCTGACACCCTGACGAAGCTGGGCACGTACTTGCCTGCGGTACTCGCGCTGATGGCTTTCAACGCATTCATCCTCCTCGCGCTCGTCATCGCAGGCATCGTGTATGTTTGCCGGAGGAATGGCGGTGGGTTGGCGCGGCCGCGCAGGGTTGCTGGACGCACAAGCCCCATGCCGATGAACTCAATATCCACGTACGGGCTGATGAATCCCGATCGCGAGTCACACGTGTATCAGCCTGTCTCGATGGCCCTCACAGACGACGCGTTCACGCCGCCGTCGCCCGCTTTCTCAAAACCGGGCTTTGAGGTTGACAAGCGGCGTGCCAGCGCGATCACAATAGCCGACAGGCCAATGTCGGTCGCATAGGCATGTTCTATTGTGTTTGAATGGACATTAGGACCCTTGCGCAAGGCAGATTTCTACGTAGGGATCGAAACGGACGATCGTACTATCGTTTACTGCTCTGCATGTGATGTAGTATTTTGCTCTAATGCTTCATTTTCGTGTCGTTGTTTTGCAGATTATCGGGTTGAAGGAGCGTCGATCAGTCTCCGAAGCGCATAAGGAGATAACAGCAAGAAGGCAATGTGCTACTGGTAGGGAAAATGCTATCGGCTCGATTTTCGTATCAACATCCGCCTCGAGTCCATGTCTTGTTTTACCTGATGATCTATGGCAGCTAGACTACGTTCGCTACCCAATGGATTTCTTTCGTAGAATGGCACTTGCGGAGCATTGGAGGAAGGTGGGAAGGTATAACTCTCCGCTAATTTGCGGATTTCTTGCCATCGCTGCTCTTCATCGCTGCGATCGCTCTTGTTGCCCTTCGGTACAACGGTGTCTGTGATCTCTAACAGATCCTTCACCAATTTGGCAGCATAGAAGTCATGATTCTGATCCTGAGGCTCATGCTCCTCTTCAGGGTGCCGATGTCCAAGGAAACGATCGGGTTTGAAATAATCGACTATCCGCAAGCATTGGCGCATGTTACGCGCATCTCCGGAAGCCAGAGCTGTCCGCACGATATGGGACATCGCTGCCGTGTCCGGTTCGAATATTCTTCCCTCTGATCTCTCCTGCGGGCGAAGTGTTTCGTTTCGGCTAACTTCTCCCTCGTCCGCGAAGTCTTCAGCATCGTAACCTGTCATGAGTTCGAATGTCCGCGTCGCAGTTGTCCAGTCGCCGTCTCGCCAACAAGTGGCCAGGACCAGTGTGAACGTTTTCAATTTGGGTCGTAAGCGTTCAGAGTCGGGCTGCAATGCTGATTCCTTCAGCAGCCATTCAAGTACCTCCAGCGCCCGAATCGAGGATTCTCCGTTTATGGTCATCCCAAGCCCCGCATGCGCTTCGATGACCTTTTCCACGTGCGAACGACCGATGACAGGCTCCTCGCCCCGTCTTTGTCGGTCGGCAACCTGCCGGAAGAAGTGTGGGGCGAGTCGATATTTTCCAGATGTATTGCACAACGAGAGCGCTTGCACGAAAACGTGGGGTGTCATCTCCACCTTGACGGGAACAGGGGCCTCACCGAATTTAGCGAGGCCGAGATACTCGCGGATGATATCGAATGCGAACAAATGGTCGGTGGGACTGCCTAGCTTTAGGGCCTTGAGTGCACCCTCAATGACGTGAGAATCGATCTCGAAAGCTGGGTTGCTCTCTGAGACTCTGATCATTTGCCGCCAGAGCAACTTGACTTCCGAAGCATTCTTTGCCCGCTGTGCTCGGACATCCTCCGGAGCAGAGGATGTCCGCTTCTTTTCCGCGATAGCATTGAACAGGTTGGCGAAGGTGTAGTGGTTTGGTGCTAGAGGGCCCGCCTCCTCCATTTCGGAGTAGACGTCCATCATCTTCTGGTAATCCCCAACGTTGGAGAGAATCATGATGTACGCATTGATGGGCGCAACCGATATGTGTCCACCATGAGGACTGTGCTGTCTCGTCTCCTCAATATACACTTGATACTCTTCGAAGAGGCTGTGCACATTCTGCAACTGTAGCGTATACCGCGACCAATCTTTCACGGACATATATCCGCCGAACATTGTGTAGAAGGTCCGGATATCAGGACGAAACCCGCGACGCTTCATCTGGGGCAGCATCAGACGACGCACTAAACGATATTTGGCAATATACGTACGTCGGTAAATAACTTGTATGCAACATTATAGCGTTTGTTCTCGAATGCTTTGTCAATAAGGGTATTCCATACGACTGTGTTCTGTGCATCGGCAGGGAGATTTTTCACCATCTCAACGGCATCAGGAAAACGCCCTCCAGCACAAAATCTATGTATCCGCTTCGACACATCAGCTGGACGGAGTCGTCCATAGTATTTCGGATTTCTGATGACCGGCTGACTGCCGTCGTTCTGTAGATGACGCGACCTGGCCTTCGGTGGTATCCCTTCTGGCGACGTATCCCTGGCTGACAAACGTTTCTTGTAATATTCGCTGTTTCCGTCTTTTGTGGAACCGCGGACTCGCTCTGCATCCCAAGCTCGCAAGGGCGTTGTGGAAACGGATCGAGAAGATGACGGGTCGCGCAAGCATCTCGAGGCCGCCAGCAGCTTCTGTGCTGAAGAAAAAGGAGTCGTCGTATGGCGAATCATGGATCTGGAGCGAGATTCAGCGAAGTGGCAAAATGAAAATGACCAGAGGTGACGGTTTGAAAAGCGCGCAAGCACCTTCATGCCCTCAGCGAGGTCACTTACGTAAGCAAAGCGGATTGGATTGAGGATTGGCGATTAACCCGACGAGCACACCGACATACTACCATGGTCTCGTTGGCGCGGACAATTCGGTCAATCCGACGAGTAGGTCTCAAGGAATGGTGGCATCAGATGCAGTACATCGGTGACGCCAAGTCTGGCAGATTTGTGGGCAAGGACCAGTGAGTTCCGGCACCTTATGTTGCAGTGAACTCTCCTGACCTCTGGACAGGTTTGGCAACCGTTATTTCGAGAATCTCAACGCAGAGGAGGAGATCCCTGGTACGGCTATCAGTTGCTCACTTTCTGAATTTAACTGAGTGAGCCTACTGTAGGACGTCACCGATGGGTCGACTTTGCTCAGGTGCGCGAAACATCCATTGTAATCCCAATCAGTTTGAATGACTGTTTTGCGCATAGCATGACTTCAATGCCACACAAGTTCCTCCCGAATGGCACTCATGGCTGTCACATATCCGCAAGGATCCACCGACTGAGGATCCTGTGGTGCAGAACCTGACTCCTCCGTGGAAGGCGGTATGTCCGTGTCAACCATTTCTCGGGCGTTACGTTTGATATAAGCACGTTGTAGCCATGGGTTGAGAATCTTACTGGAACTCGGGGAGCATACAAGCCTTACAATACTATGAAGTCAAAGATCGACGCTTGGGAGCCGAAGATCATCCCGCGTGGTGGACCATAGGTATCCCGTGCATTCTATGTCATACACGTACAACTCCTCCCAATCATTCCACTGCGTGATTTTTGCCTCCGCCTAGCATATCGTCTACAACGTTTTCTGCGATAGCAAGACTTGATGTCAACCCGGGGCTCTCGATTCCAAGTAAAGTGATCATCGGTCGTTTGACAGAACCCGAACCCTTATTCCCTCCCATGAATGTCTCCGGATAGTGAGTTTGGAACTCGAAGTCCCTAAAGCCCCCTTGTGGCCCAGCAAGTTTGGGCCTGACTCCGCAATAGTCCGGATCCAGACGCTCCAGCTTGATCCCGGGTAGGTAGTCGAGAACAGCATGGTGCATCAGCTGCAACCTCGTTTCGTCTGGAATGAGATGCCTCTGCCAGAAGTCCGGGTCAGCATCGTCAACGAGTTCTCTGTCGCTAGCAGACGGTGGGTTGAGCCAGTCGAGGTCCGGTCCGAACCTAATTTTGCCTTGCAAGTCGAGGGTAAGGTGTGTGCCCAATGACTGGAATCCATGGGCAGTGCGTCCCGTATCTGGGCATGGGTATATCAGGTGAGAGACGTTCTCTACGCCTGGTCCATGATAAGATGCATACGAGCCGCGACCGTAGTACATTGGTATGCGACGTTCTTCAGGGAGAAGAGCGTTCAGAATCAGATTGGCCGAGAGCCCTGCACAGTTGATCAATGTTCTAGCGATCACTGCATCGCTCTCCTCTTCTTCGTCTGTTACGGTCTGCACAACCCAACCACGCTCGTGGGGATCAACCCGGACAACCCGAGTTTGAAAGGCGAGCTCCCCTCCATCAGACTCGTTAATATCCTTCTCCAGGTTCTCCATGAGCGAATGCGAATCGACAATCCCCGTCTCCGGGCTCCAAAGTGCAGCGATAATGTCTTTAGACAGATCTGGCTCTAGCTCGCGCGCCCAATCGCCGCTCATCAGCTCGGTGGGCAAGACTGGGGTACGACTGAGATGGAGCGGTGAATGTGCCGGCCAGCCTAATTTCTGGGCCTTCGTGTGTAGGCCCTCAATGTAGGAACGCTGCGAGTCCTTCGCGACTACTAGCTTGCCTACTTTCTTGTGAGGAATGTTATGTTGCTGACAATAGGCATACATGAGATGCCTGCCACGTAGACACAGCCTGGTCTTCAGCGAGTCTGCAGGGTAGTACAGTCCTGATGTGCCGTGGAACGGGCATGAGCCACTCGGAATGAGACACTTGTCGTATACATTGCCGTACCTGCATGAATTACTTCGGAATTGCGTGAACTGCGAAAACTTAGTCAGTACCGAGATGTATTTTGATATGGATGCCTACCTTGTCTCTTCACCCGCTCTGCCGTGACGTTCCACCAAGAAAGTCGAACTGGATGGAAACCTCCGGACAAGCTGCCGGGCGATGGCCAGCCCAACGACACCTAGAAAGACAGAGTTTATGGTCGAAAGGTAGGAGGCAGCCTCGATCACTCACCACCTCCGATTACAAGGTTATCAACTTCGAAATCTGGGCTCTGCTCAACTATGGATGACTAGGATTTCGTGATCCGACATCGAAGGAGGCCTGCCTTGTATTTGAACTTGCCATTGCTGTTGAGTGCAGCGACGAGGCCTCTGACTTTCATTTTGACAGGGTGGCAGAGCGAGAAGAGAGATTGCGGTAACTTGGCAGGGGTCGCACTTCTGAATATTGAATATTGAATGCTCACGATGCTTGAACCCTGTGCTGGTGGGCTCCGGAGATCGCCTCTGCAGCCCGATCGATGATGATGCTGATCTTGATTCAACGCCCGCTTTCCGCTTAATGTAGATCGAACAAACGGCTCTTCGACCTGTCTTCATCACTCAATCGCTACAGTGCCCGTAGCTATAATCCCCAGTTCATTGTTTCTCATCGAACGTCGCATTGTCCATGGATCCTCAGCCGAGGCAACCGTTACCACAGCCCGTTTCTGCTGATGAGAAGCTGGCGGCGTTCGACAGCGTTCCGCTCTTCATGAAGACGCTACCGGAGGATGTCGCTGATAATCCGATTGTTGGTGCGTTGCAAAGTCTTGCTTACGAAGGCACCCCGGACGGTAAGCTCCAAGCAAGCCTTCTATGTTGATCTACTTTACAAACTAGTCTCTAGATGTCGCACAGAACTTCAAGGAGCAAGGAAACGATTATTTCAAGGGCAAACGGTACCGAGAGGCTGTAGGATTCTACACCCAAGGGATTGACGCAAAGCCAACCGACGTTTTACTTCTTGAGGCGTTGCTATGCAATCGAGCTGCATGCAATCTAGAGCTCAGTAAGGCGACAACCCACTTCACGCATCAAGATGTTCATAGGTTGTCATTTCTCAGAGAACTTTGGCTCCGTGCTGAAAGATTGCTCAAGGGCAATTTTGACAAACCCTAAATCATCAAAGGCCCATTACCGCTCCGCACTTGCTCTCATACAACTGGAGCGCTACGATGAAGCGATTGACTGTTGCGACCGTTGTCTTTGCTTTGACAAGGATAATAAAGACGTTCGTACACTACGTGAGAGAGCAAGGCAAGAAAAGATGATCAAAGATAAGAAGGAGAGAGAAAGGCAGAATAGATTACGCCGAGAGGTGGAGAACAAGAAGCGGCTCGAGGAAGCCTTCAAGGTGAGCCCTTCTGTTTGAAAATTGGTACAATAAAAAGCCAGAGACAGCATTGAAGGAGCGAAATTTGGTCGTCATCCCACGGCCGGACGGCTCGTCTGAGAATCCCTATGCGCCTACCTTCGATCCTGAAGACACGACGGGCAGCACCCTAATCGTGCCCGTCTTCTTCTTGTATCCTCAGTATGCGACCTCGGACGTCATCTCTCAATTCGTAGAGGACACCGCTTTCTCATCACACCTGGCCGCCATGTTCCCACCAGAAGCCCCACCTCCAGAGTGGGACAATAATCATGACTACGTCGCAGATCGCTTGGTCGTCTATGCCACGACGCACCACGAACGCCTTCTCAAAGTAGGCAAGAAGATGACGTTGAAGGGCGTTTTCAATGCAGCCCGTGCTAAGGAGGGGGAACCCGTGGATGGCCTGGAACTGAAGGATGGTTGTTTGACGTTTGTCGTGTTGCCTAAAGGAGATGTAGAACAAAAATGGGTGGAAGAGTTCAAGCGCAGTCGATGAATGAATTATTTTGTTTATTCACTGAGTCTGCTCTGCTTGTGAAGGAGTCGCTTTGATATGTTCGCTCGAACAAGGATCTGTGTAGTTCCAAATAACAGAATGTTATTTAGGGGCAAAGTGGCGCTTACATAAGATAGGAGGCTGCACGATCACCCTCTTCGGGCTAGGACGTTGTCCGATCGCTGATGTCAGCTCCTGCGCCGCTTTCTTTCGCCCTATGTAACTCGCCCGCCCATCTTAAGTCTCTGTGTAAACGACATTCACACGTCGCCGATTCAGACGACCGATGGGCTGAAAGTGAGTCGACTTGTTCCACCTGTTGCCGATGCCGTCGCCGTTTGTACCGCTACTGTTCGCGCCTTACATCGGTCCAATTCCACACTACTGCTATCATCACGCGGGCAACATAGCATGGTCGAACGTCGGGCAACCTGGTGCGAATCGTCCCCACTCCACTGGGTCGACCTAAACGTGGGCGGCCGCCCTCATACGTATTCGCGCAGTTAATCCGCGTCCGTGCTAATTACTGTCTGCGGCGACTGCTGCGTACCCTACAGGCCATTCAGTGCGGGCGTGCCCTCCGTCTGCCAGATCCCCAGGGCGTTGTATGCCAAAAGCGACGCTACCCTACGCATGTCGCCCGAGCGTAGCTTCGCGGACACAGAGTGTGTCGTGAGCATCATCGACGATGGCGACGAGATGTCCGCAATGCTAACCGGCAAGCCGCGACAGGAGGAAAGGCTTTGACCATCGAACCGCTCGTCGGTCGTCCCTCGGAAATGTTCGTTTTCAATGCGCAACACGGTGTGATGAACCGTGCTAGAAGACGTCGAAGCACAGTCGCACAGTGGCAAACGGAGGGGAAGGGAAGCAAGCGTCAGCACGGAGAGCCTCTTCATGCATTTGTACGAATCGCCGTTCCACTGACGTGCCGCAATGGAGCTGCTTGCATCGCGGACGTATGCATCTGACCAGCTAGTTGCGCTTCGTCAATAAAGTGAGCCGCGTTTCGTGCACATAGACGTCGGTGGATGAGGGTAGTGGGCACGGGGCTTAGCTGGATGGCCATCGACCTTGTCCGCGGCGCCATGAGGAGGTATATTGTCAACGATGGCTGCTGCTGGGGCTGCTGACGTTCCAGTACGGTTCACGCGTAACGTTAACAGGCTCCTTACCGTACCTACATGTCCACGTACAACAGTAAACACTTTACTCCACACTTCTACTTACACTTTCCGTCATTCATGCATTGCTCGTATATACAGCCCTTTTGTGACTAAACCCGATTGCTGCTGTTCCTCCCCTGCACCATGCTTCTGCTGCAACTGTTATTTGGACCCGGCGCTTGTTGCCAACTTACCAAGTTCGGCAAGTGGCCACAAAAGGAGGGCAACTGGTATCCCGGGTCTCGCCCGATTGCGCCTCACGTGCCACCTCCCCGCTGAGCGCTAACGCCACCAGCAACCACCCCACCGAACTCGACGACGGCGATAAGGCACGGTGAGTACTCCATTCGCGTTATAACGATTAGAGAGGTGCTTCAGTATGACTGGGGAGGATATGTCTTGGTGGATTAGCGGAAATCCGGGCGAAATGGGATGGATGGCTTGAGGAGATTCTGGATGCTGACTCCGCGTTTGTCCGTAGGCTTTCTGGCACCAGAATGTCCCTCCAGCACAAGATTTCCCGTACGGCCAATGCTCCCACTACCCCTCCAGACGAACTCGAAATTAGTATTGCTCAGGCTCTGATTGATCTCGAGAATCATGTCCCTGAGCTCAAGACGGAGCTAAAGCCGCTGCAGATATCTGCCGCACGTGAAGTCGACGTTCGTGGTGGCAAGAAGGCTATCGTCATTTTCGTTCCTGTGCCTCAGCTGAAGGCGTTTCACAAGGTTCAGCAAAGGTGGAGTAATGTATTGTTTCGTTTGCAAGAACTTATGATTACAATATCTTTGTCTTAGGCTGACCCGAGAGCTCGAGAAGAAGTTCTCAGATCGCCATGTGGTTTTTGTCGCTCAGCGCAGGATGTTGCGCAAGCCCACGCGCACCTCGCGAGTGAAGCAGAAGAGGCCTCGTAGCCGTACCCTGACGAATGTCCACGAGAAAGTCCTCGAGGACCTCGTGTTTCCTGGGGAGATTATCGGCAAGCGGACACGGGTTGCGATCGAAGGCTCAAAAACCCTTAAAGTGTACGTCTTACTTGTCTTTCTGTATGCATTGCAGCTGACCTGCGTGTTTCTAGCTTCCTCGACTCCAAGGATTCTACATCGCTCGAGTACAAGCTGGACTCATTCTCGTCGGTGTATCGCCGTCTAACCGGGAAGGAGGTTACGTTTGAGTTCCCGCCTCAGACGCAGGAGTAGGGTGTGTCAGGTGGACGTTCGGGTCTTTATGCTTTATTGCCATCGCCCCAAAATGTACTGCATGCCCTGCTGTTATGAGCACACTGTCGTCGATTTCTCTTCGGATCTTGCGTGTGTAATCTTATCTCGGCAATGTTGTTAGGTCCGGCGTGTAAACGCGCGCACGTGGCCCGTGTTCTGCAGTTCCGCGGCCCGATTGGGAATGTCTCCGTGGGACGGCAACGAGCGCTTGTTGGTCGCTACCGTTTCGCTGCTACTAATTGGTACTGTTGCCTGCATCGCTTCTGTCTCTCCTTTCTTTCCTTTCCGCCCCTGCGGCCCCGTCCTATCTCTTCAAGACGGTCGGTTTGCCATAATGACGTCCCATCCTCGCATGAACCCATACACCAAGTCACGATATGATGACCAGGGCATCGATGCCAAGATTGTAATCATGGGCAACACAGGTCCGTCCGCATCGGTAGCATATCCTAGGCGATAGTATCTAAGCGCAGTTTCTCCTCGGTTCGTGTGTCTTCACGCGTGAAGGCGTAGGCAAGACCAGCCTGTTGCACCGCTATACCCAAAACAAGTTTGATCCTAAAAACACGACTTCAACTACTGGCGCATTCTTCGTTACCAAGAAGGTGTACGTCGATGGGATCAAAGTCAGGCTGCAGCTATGGGATACGGCAGGCCAGGAAAGATTCCGTAGCATGGTGAGCCGATGCATATAGCTTTTGTGGCAGTGCTTGTTGTACTGACGTACGTCTCAAAGGCACCCATGTATTACCGCGGGGCAAATGCTGCCTTGTTATTGTACGATATCACAAATCTGTCTAGTTTTGACGACGTCCGTGGATGGCTGGAAGGTGTGCTTTTTAATTTCATGACTGGCCGTGTCGCTCACTTGTTCCTGCCAGAGTTAAAGAAAAACTGTTCTCCTGATCTCATTATTTATATTGTGGGCTCGAAGGCTGATCTGCATCGGCAACGTCAAGTCACCTCAGACCGCGCGCGGCTGTCTCTGCATACGTGGTTCCCTCCTCCAAGGCCACCTAGTCCACCGCCCCCACCACCGCCCTCGACCTTTTCGTACATTCGGCCGCGTTTCACGTCCTTTCCGGGCATCCGGTCGGCTCCTGCCACAGCCCCAGTGGCTAAGTCACCTCAATCAGCAACCAGCGACCTAGGCTATCACTCCGACCCACGAGCTACTACAATAAAGCGCTCTCATACAACGGCTCTAACGCGTCCTCGGGCTAAGAGCGGTGGTCCCGGCGCCCTTAGCTCAAATTGGGATGGCGCTATTCGTCCCCCACAGCGTCGCTCTGACTCGCAATTCGGATACCGGTCCGTCGGTTGGAATGAAGCAGTAGACGGAAGTTCTACTACCTTGGAGGACGATGGAGATGAGACGGATGAGGTCGATGACCAGGAATGGGGTTTGCATAAGGGAATGGAGCTATTTGAAGTTTCCGCCAAGGATGATCTCGGTTCGTACATCTGTTGAAGTATGGTCTGCGAATAACCTCGGCATGCATACAGGGATTCAACATCTCTTTGGCTCGTTGATCGCTGCCATCATTGCAAGGAAGGATAGCATTGAACAAGAAAATGAGATGAAGAGAAGAGACAGCGTCTACCTGACTAGCATCAATACTCCCGTATGGGCCACTCAAGCAGATGCGGAGGAAACGCGAGAGAAAACTCAGGCGGCTGGCGGGGCTTCTTGGAGCTGTTGCTCAACGTGACACCTGTACCTTCTTCCTTCGCCCCTACTGTATGTTCCTATCATACCCTGTGTTACTTCTTTGTCGAACCACCCTGCTCACTTGTTCTTGTTATTACCTACATCTATTGCCGCACGTCCTCGCTTTCATCCTCTGTCCATCTTCTCCGTATTGTCTCATCTCACTGTTTGATTTATCCTCTCGATGTTCTCTCATTGGCCGAACGTTCTCATATGTCGTACGTTATTATTCCCTTCTGACTGATTACCCCGCATTGCATACGATGTCGTAGCATACATTCCATGTCAATATTGATGCCATCATCTCAATCTCCCCTATGCCTTGTTGTACGCATGCATGTATCACGATCTAGCAGTAATGGGATGTCTATCACCCACGGATGCATGATAGCTTAGCCTTGGTCAGGATCCAAACCGAAGTCGCTATATGATTCGGTGCCACAGCTGATATTGCACCTCGAAATGGCAGTACTTCGAACCGCCCGAATCATTCATGCGCAACTCTCTCTAAGAGGCTGGGAATTCCCATCTCTCTGCCTCTCAGACCTCCGTCCTGTCGATGGCTCTCGTCCCTCCCAATCCTGGCGCTCAGGCATTGTGCGACGATGACAATATCTGCACGCGAGAGCATTGTTTCAGGAGCTTCGACGCCTTATTCTGTGCGCTCACGTCGCACAAGCCGCTAGCCGTCAAGTTCTCGGACGAGAAATAGTATGTGATGAGTGCGCCTCCTGCTATTCACGCTGATCCGCTTCAGCCCATTGTTCGTAACGTGGAACACAAGGTCTTCACGTCCTGGACGCGCCCCACGATTGCGGGGATGTATCGGGACGTTCGAGCCGATATCCCTGAGAGACGGATTGGCGGAATATGCACTGATTAGTGCATTCCAGGACACGAGATTCAGGAAGATTGAGGAGCGGGAGTTAGAGAGCCTTGAATGCCAGTGAGCTCAACGCTCGCAATTTTGTTTGCGCCACTCTGATAGGCATCTTCTACAGTATTTCGCTGCTCACTGACTTCGAAGACGCGTCGTCATACATTGACTGGACAGTTGGGATTCATGGAGTCTACGTTACGTTCCCTCATCCGTCCTTACTGCCTGCGGCATCACCCTCTCCTTCATCTGACCCATCGCCGTTCTCATCCTCTTCATCCCTTCCCACTCGCAACAGCTTGAAACATAGCTTTTCCGCCACTTATTTGCCTCAAATAGCCCTTGAACAAGGCTGGGACAAGATTGAGACCATTGATAGTGCCATTCGCAAAGCAGGATGGAGTGGTCGCATCACCGAGGATATCCGCCGTAGTTTGAAGCTTCGCCGGTATCAGAGTCGCAAGTGTACCGTCAGCTGGGAGGACTTTATGCAGTGGCGCGTAGAGAACGGCGGCGAAGTGTAATGTACGTTGCGTAGATGCAGACATACCACTTCTGGAGATTGCACGAATCTGTTTCTTGCTGTACTACATCGGGCTTATCCTAATAGTCATTCATCGTGGATCCTCTTCCTGAAACGTTCCAATCGTCCACCCCATCCGCCTCCAAACTTATCTTCGAGCTTCTGCCAAACACGTTGTAGCTTCGGTTTGTCACGTCCGCTCAGCCTCTTGAAGGCCACAAGAATCCAATAGATAGTCCTCTCGCTCGGCTTCGATTCATGAGTTAACGTGAGGAAAGAATCGAAAAGTGCATCTAAATTCGCCATCGTCCACTGTGATCTCTTCAGATGGCGTGACAGTGTTTGATCTTCTTTCAATGTTCGAGCCTCGCCATGACGAGCGAAGCCGAGAAAGATGGCTCGGAAAGCAGGAAGTGTAGATGATGGCTCCTCTGCGAAGGCAGGATTCGGCTTGTGGCTGTCATTCGAGAAGTTGTATTTTTCATTCAACAGCATCATGTCTCTGAAGACCTCAAGCGATTGAACGAGGTCACCGTGATACGCGTAACACTGGATGAGTGTATAGAACGTGATGGCGTCAGATTTGACATCATCCGGGATTGTAATACCTTCCATCCGTGCAAGCTGTTGTTTTGCAGCGTCAATGCTGTTGTATTCGGTCTCGTCCTCGGGTAGATGGTGATGCCTGATGATGCGATATACCAGGCCTGCAAGGTTCATGTGACCGTTCCGAGCAAAAGCCCATATGCAAGCGTTGAGTCCGTCTATATCGAGCTCGAAGCCGTCTCCTCTCATGTTGTGAAGGGTATCTCGTACGCCGACTAGGTCGTTCTTGCGCGTAAAGTATCTAACGAGAGCCAAATAGGTTATTCGATTTCGGGTAAGACCGGATGACTCGAAAAGTTTGAGCGCATAGCGGAGACTGGACTGGTCCAACGTGCGCCCGGCAATGTTCACAAGAGTAGTGAGAGTAACCGTGTCCGGTTTAATGGCCGGACGATTGATGTTGGGACCAGGGGAGGGGGAGGGAGAAGGAGGTCTTCTATGCTGACCGCTGAATGTCGCACCAGGTGCATTTTGAGCAATCATGTCCCTGTAAACATCCAGTGCGGCTTGTAAATCTTCGAGCCGTGTTTTCCGCCATCCCTTGCCAGCGCAGTCTATGAGAGCGTTCCAATCCCAAAGCTGCACGGTGCCACCCGAGGTGTGCAGTGTCGAGAGCACAGACAGGAGCCGTAAGAACAGCGGGCGCGTGCGCGTGCGCGAGGAGGCCAAAATTCGAGCCAGCCGGTGCAACAAGGCATAGGGGATGGGAGAAGTCCGATGAGGAGAAGCTAACAGCTTCTGGTATGCTGCCCAAGCTTCTTCACCAGATGACGTGGTCGCCATGATCCTTTCCAAATCTTTGTCCGACCCCTGCGCCGACGACAGCGCTGGCGATGCATCCAAATTGACTCTCCCAGAATGTGCACTAATGTGAGCAGGCGGCTCTACATTATCATCCCATGCGGCAATGCTCGGGGGTGAAGGTGGAGTCGAAAAGAACGCGTCTTTATTGGCAAAGAACGTCGTCCTCGCCCGTCGAGACACAAACGGTTTCCTTTGCGGCCACTCTAGAGGTGGAATGACGGTGCGCGTGAGGACGGTCGAGGACGTGGCGTTGCCGTGAACGGGTTTAGATTCACGCAGGACATCGTTCCTCTTGGTATCCTTCCCATCAATTGAGTCGTTGGGGAGGCACTCGTTGTCCGATTTCCTGGAAGGCGCGACGGCAACTGACCGACACGGCCGCGTTGAATGGTACCGCGGCGTGGCATGACAACGTTTGAGGCCCAGAGAGGACACTCTCAGCATCAATAAGCTATGCAAGTCATCCTGGACGAAGAAGAAAATTCAGGATCTGGACGCCGTCTAGATTGAATACATCAAACCGAGCCTACCGCGACCCGACCAGCACGCGCAGCAGCAAAGACTTGGTCTCACCACCGCAACTTTTTCACCACAACACAGCCGTCCTCGTTCGTGCGCGAATATGTAAGTGGAAGCGAGCGTTCGAACTTCGCAGCGATACAGCGACAGCCGGAAAAAGTCAGTCCGTAACTGTCACTAGCGCGCGCGCACGCCACGAGCCTGTTCAATAACAATTTCGATAGAGCATTCCCCTTTCATTCGGCATTATTTGACCTCAGTAATCTCTCGTCTGACGGCGAAAACAATTTTTTCCAGATGCAGGATGCGAAACGACATGAAATTGACAGTATACAGCATAGTATATAAATGCGGTGCGACAGAGGACCTAACAAGCAGTGAAACAGCGCGGTGCAACGGATCATACGGCGGCCTTGACCAGCCCCATGAACGCAGCCTTTTCTTCGAACGTTTGGAATGCACCGTGCTATGAAAGACGGTATGAGGATCGTGTAGACCGGGGTAGGATGAGCGTCACTTACACCAAACTTCGACGAAGTGTCGATGAACTTGAGCTGCACCTTCTCGAGGTCCCGGCGAGAAGTGTGTACCATAAGCGACTTCCTGATGGTAATAACACGCTTCTTCGTACCAGGAATGGAGCCCTTCAGCATCAAATAGTCGTTCTTCACAATACCGTAGTGAGGGAAGCCTCCCATCGGCGTGATGGCCTTCTTCGTGACATCGTGTTCCGTCGACGCGTTGGCCTCATCAGCACCGGTACCGATGCGATAAATCTTCTTGTTGAGTTCGGTACGGTGGTGATAACCATCTATTTTTGTCGCTCAAGACACGCACTAAACGTCTGATGTGCACAATGGACTTACTTTGGCCAGCACGGGCCACCGAGAACATGACCTTCGAAGGATGCCATGCACCAATGCACGCGACCTTGCGCAGACCCTTGTGCGTCTTACGCGGCAGCTTCTTGGTACCCCACCTGTGGGTGACACCCTCGAATCCATGACCCTTCGTGACCGCAATCACATCGATGACCTCGTCCTGCTCGAAGACTGTGCCGACCTCCACCGGTTTCTCAAACAAGCCATGCGCGAACTCGACCTTGTCTGCAACGGAACCACCATTCACCTGGATCTCCATTAGGTGCGCCTTCTTCTGGCTGAGACCAGTCTTGCGTATCTGGGTATGCGCAAGAACACGAACGACCGTGCAGTATTTGCGAATGCGCTCGAGCTCACGGGCGATGGACTTTCCACCGTCCTCGGCATGCTTTTTCGCATACCGCGTGAATGCCTTCTTCTTCGAGCGGTACCAGTTCTTGTAGAAGCGACGCTTGAGCTCGTCGGAAAGGTGTGAAGCCCAGACGGTGGTGAGGGAGCGAAGGCCACGAGGTGTCTCGACATACCCGACGACACCCACAACCACCATGGGTGGAGTCTCCACGATGGTAACCGGCTCCACAATCTCCCTCTTGTGCATCTCTATTCAGACCATTAGCGTCATAGCTCTGCATTCCATTTGCCAAAAGGACATACTGGACCCCGGACGGTCAAGATCGCGCACAACGTGTGTCATTCCAGCCTTGTAGCCCATGATAGCGGTCAAGTGAACTGGCTTCTTGGGGTCATCCTGTTACAATAAAACTCAATACCTTGAGGTCGCTGTACATGACGAGTGTCGTACCTTCGGGAACGCCTTGACCTTGCCCCTGTGGCGGGCAGCACGCTTTCGGGGGAGGAACCCAAGGGAACCATGGCGAGGGGCTTCGTACTATTCTGAAAATCAGAACCCAAATATCCGATTTGATGCACTGCACGCACCTTGCGGTGACTGTGAAAGAACGTCAGCACCAGACATACGGGCGGGACGATCTATGACGAACCTCATCTTGTTGTCTTTAAGGCCGTTGCTGCCGTACACTGGAAGTGAGGGACAATACGCGGATCTCGTTGGTGGCAGTCGGTGGCTGGTTGAAACTGTGCAGTTTTCCTGAACCGGCGATGCAGGACCTCTGCCACCGGGTCTCGCCCTTAAATAGTCACGTGGCTGGTGACTACCTAAAACGCGCTGCGTCACTGTGTGACGTAACCTGGGACAAAACGCGTTCCCGGTTGAGCTGCGTGCCACCAGCGTCGTGAGCCGTCACAGGCCTCCTTCAGCAGTAAGCTCCTCACCTTCATCATGGATCTAAGCTCGCATACTGCGGCGGCGCCCCATGAAGCCTCTTCCCCCTCTGATTCGGCGACTGTCAAGCGTGCGCGTGTCACCTATGGTCGTCGCAGAGAGACTCTCTCGGACAGAGAGGCATCCACGTCCACCGCCTCCATGGAGGTATCATCACGCGTCTCATCTTACGGAATGGAACTTCCGGGGAAGGACAACGGAATCTCCCATGGTTCTGACGGACGGGACGCGTTCAACTTCTCTACCACACCTATCGATGACGAGACGGACAGCGACACATGTAATGTCGCACCATCCTCTCGGACTGGGTTTCAATTTTCGTGGAGGAAGGCCTTGAAGGATATAGACTATGTCTATTTGAAGAACGACGCGTCCACAAACGAGGCAACAGGGAAAAATGCAGATGCGGATCGTGGCGTTTCGAGAGCTCCAACACTGAAGCAGGTGGCGGAACGCGCACAGATTCCGGATGGGCCCATACAGGGTCATGAGTCGGCCGAGGAGGAAGGCACGCCCTCAGATATGACCTCAAGTGCTGACAATCGCGCCACGTCGCCTTCCTCATCCGCTGTAATATCTCGGCTGGGGCGGTCCACGAAAGCTGTAGATGGTTCAGACGATGAAACAAGCGGCTTCGAAAAGGCTCTCTCTTCGGTCGAATCTACATCCTTGTCTCTCACTAACGATTCGGTTGATTCCTTTGGAGAATCCTCTATCAAGAAGGGAAAACAAGGGACTGTAGAAGAGTCTTCCTCAGACGATGAACTTCCTGAGGCGTACATCGAGCTAGATATGAGGAAAGCTCGACGCAAGAAGCAACATGCGAACGGAGGAGAGAGACGCGTCAAGGTCAGACATTTAATACCCATGTTTGTCGCTAGTGATGCTAATCAGTCCACAGGCACCTACAAAGAAACAGTGTGAAGAGACACACAAGGCAACTGCTCGAATTATAGCGGATCGGGCGGTGTCAATTCCCCGCGCACAAGCGAAACAGCTTGGCCTGACGCAACTATGGGAGAAGATAGGGTAAGTCAGACGTCTCATATGTAAACGTGACGTCAAACTAACGATATCATATGCCACACCGGTGGAACAGGCGAAGTGTCCGCCCTGCTCAAGATCAGCGATCGCAGCAAGTCCCACCATCCGATCCCATACAGCCGTTCTCTTCGCCTGCTCTGAAGTCTGGTGCCCATTCGCCAGCATCTGCGTCTCCGTCAGACGCAGCGGCCTCAGTCAATCCGAACGAGCGAGAACCTAGCACGGGGTTCATACCAACAACCTTACTTGGTCTCTCCTCAGTCAGAGCAGACATTCAGGATTGGCACGACTCTAGCGACAGCGAGCTGCCCACGGTCAGCGCGCCCGTCGAGGAGGATACAAAGAAGCGAGAAGAAAGCGAACGGAAAAAGCGGCTCGCCCAGCTGAAACGACAATACATGGAGCGCACGAGACAAGAGGATTCGGATGCGAGTGATTTGGAGGTGATAAGCTCGACGGGAAAGCATAGACAATCCGCGTTGTCTAGGTCCATTCAACGTCTTCGAGCGCAAGCGCATACATCACGGCCCCGTGGTGAAGGAGAGCTGCGGTTGTTGAAGGCCTCTACCGCTCCCGCTTTCGCGAGACTGGACAAAGAGATGAAAGAATCTAATGCAACTCACCTGTCCAAGGATCAATTGAACAAGATGCTATTGCAGAAAGCGGGCAAACAAGCGGAAGAATTGGTCAAAGTGAAAGAGGAGGAATGGATCAGCAGAGGAGGGAAGATCAAGGTCAAACGTGACGACAGTGAAGACGGCGCTAGCGTGAAGGATGCTGTTCTTTCCTTGGTCTCGAAAGGCCTGTTAGCGGGACAAAGAGTTGGTCAGGACGACACAGAAAAAGATAATGGCGAAGATGAGGAAGATGATGAAGACTATGCGCCAGAGCAGGAGCAGAGCGATCACCCCGAAGGCAACGTTCAGGACGAGAATGGCCGGTTCTCTGATGCCGAGACTCAGGTCTCCATCCCTTATGACCGCGGAATAGACTCAGCCGAAGATGCAGCTAGCGATAATGATGAAGAAGCCGATCTGTATTCTCATAAAGCAACGCGGCCCCGACGAACGATCACAATCGTCCAGTCGGATGACGAGGATGAGGCTACCAGCTCCCCTTCGTTGCGCAATAGAGAACCGCTTGCTGCCGATGGCTTATTTTGGCCATCGTCTTCTCGCTCGCTCGCTGCATTGCACCATCGATCCTCCATATCGTCCTTCGAGGACCCCATGGAAAGTGGCACGGATAAGGAGAACGATGAACGGATGATGTATGACAGAGGGGAAGACAAGGAGAACACTGTGGTGCACACGCAGTCGTCCATGGGCCTGCGAGTCGCCGTGAGTCACCTTAGAAGTTCTTTCGGCTTGGTAGCTCGAGACAGGTCGCCCCTCCCGAGCGCGACCGTGGACCACGATTTGTCGGCGAGGACTAGTCCAGCAGATGAGCGACGACCACCGCTGAAAGAGTTGTCCAGGGAAGATGACGACTTTGATGATTCGTTCGCTCTCTCAACCCAGCCGCGAGGGCGAGGCCGAAAATTGTTGTTCGGTCCGGATCGTTCTTCCGAACATGCCCTGCCTTCTTCCCCCAGTCTTGTCGACCACGAACGCGAGGACAAGGAGCCATCACCACTGAGTACCAGTTCGCTGGCACCACCTGCGATGCTCACGACTGATCTATCCGAGTTCTTCGAACCTGAGGCATCGCGCAATGGATCCGTATCAATGGATTCCAAACAACTGAAGAAAGAAGGATTATCCCAGTTCCATTCTCAAGCCACGGTGATTCTATTGATGTCGATCATAAATTCCTATACTTACGAATCTCTACAGGACAATAACGGACTTGCTCAGTTGAGGCAAGCCAAGCCTACCCAGCGCTTCTCGCTGACCCTTGACGCTGGACTTGAACCGACGCTGGATGTCAATCGGAGCCTCTTGAGAAAGGCCGGCGACATTTTTGAGAAGGAACAAGGCTTCCTAGCTGAGAGCTTCGGTAGCAAGATCGGGGTGGAACCCCAGTTGTATGTGAACGAGCATGGGTGAGTCGACCTCGTGATCATAAGCACCCGGATGCTAAGCTGTGAGTTCGCAGATTCCTTACGCAGACTGTCTCCAATGGAAAGATCCCCACATCATCTCCTCTTCTGTCACCGTCATTACTCGCGGCGTCATCTCCATTCGCACGAGATGCAATGCTTCCGCAACCGCCACCGCCTATCAGACAACCTCTCGTCGCTATAGATGCGGACGTTGAGATGGATGGCGTTGACGAGCTGCCCAGACGACGTCTGTTCAGACGAGAAATATCTCCATTTCAACGAGAAGACAGTCAAGATCTGAACTCGTCCTCGAGCAAGCCTAGCAAAACCAGGAATGCATTTGACTTGATGAAGCTTGCATCTCGTGGTGCACAGAGGAAGACGGAGAAAGTGAAAAAGACGCTAGTGAAATCAGACTTTATCGAAGGAGAGGCCGAGGAATCCGACGACGATGCATTGATGGGCTTCGGTGGGCGGAAGGAGGACGAGGACGAGGACGACGAGGACGAGAACCAGAATCAGACACTCGCTGAACTGGTCGATGACAGAGCTATGGATGAGAAGATGCTTGCTGAAGAAGCTGTATTGGAGAAAGTCAGGTATGAAGCATGCCTCATTTCACGAGCAACGTTGCTCACTGCTCATGATGGATGACCACAGAGAGCATCAACAAGAAGACGACCAAGCCCTAGAGAAGCTGCACAGAGATGCCGCTGAGGGCAAACTGAGAGTTAAGCGACGCGATCGCGGCGTCGGCTTTGAGGATAGCGAGTCAGACGAGGATGAAGAGGACGCCAGGGCCAGACGAAGGAAGATGATCAAGAAACGTAAGATCGACCATGACAGTCTTGATCAGCTATGTGAGCTTCTTTTGCAACGAACATGTCCAAACAGCAAGCGATTGATGCTGCCTGCTAGCCAACGATCCATCCACACGCGCGTTCTATGATGCGTATAATGCAGATAACATTGATGATGATGATTTCGAGCATCTGCAAGAAGAACAAGATGAGGAGACATTGGTTGGATCGCAGGAGACGGACCCTGAGGCCCAGACTAAGCAATCGGTTATAACTGTGTCGGAGCTGCGCCATAAATTGCGCGAGGCTGCTCAAGAAGCGGAGGTATGCTTCGTTCTGATATGGATGCTCCGTCTTCCTGATTTTGCGTGAAGCCTATGGAGGTCTTTGACCCTCATGATGTAGCCTGGATGGAGCGTGATATTGATGAGGATGATGAGGCAGCAATCCAGGTGAAAGAAGTCACCACGACGTCCAAGCCTGTTCCTCCCCAACAAAACGCTGACTGGGAAGCCACACTGATGAAGGTGTGTTTTGCTCAATACACGAAATCGTCTGCTGACAACTCCGCATGACTAGCCGAGACATCCAAGTGAGATCGACGAGGAGCAACTCAATCGCTTGCAGGGCTGGGCCAAAGGCGAGTCGCGTACAGTCAGCACAGTGCGTGCGACGCGGGCATCGGCTGTGACAGGACCTGGCAAGCGCGCTGCAGGCAGCGGATCCGTAAGGGGCCATGGCCGTGGGCAACGCGCAAAATCAGGTGAAGGCAGCGCCACAAGGGCACCGAAAGCGAGCGCTCTCTCGGCCGTCTCGACCAGCAGACGTGCGCGGTTCAGAGATTGAGCAATTGTAGAATGCATACGAACTTGCAACTTCTGGATTTCTTCTATAGCTTACGTTGGGCACGATGTACTGTACCTAGCCGTGTACCTTGGACTTCACTCTGTGATGAAGCTACGCACTATGGTAATTCGTTTTGTAGCATGTGCACTGCATTCTGTTTGTCGGGCTTCGCGACGAAGAAACATCCGTGATAGATTCTCAGTGTTCTAGTTACCGCAACTCTTGTAAATTGAATCCATATCATAAATAACCAGCAAGCATACCCAAGCTGAGAGCAGTCACGAACTTTCACCAGACGCGTCGTGCGATCAGACATTAATCCTTCAGAACCTCCTAAGTCAATAGTACTCTAATTCTGGGTATAGTGGAACCTCGGTATGCGGGACAAGGTGAACAATAGACGCATTAGTAGTTCTGCTTTCCACGTATTCTCCCAAACCGTATCCAAGGAGAGTCGCGTGCCGGACGGGAAGGAGAGATAGGGTATGTATATGATGCTTGACGGGAGCGACTGCAACGTCGCCGTGTCTTGTCCTGGTTGATCTACTGGAGCTTGAGACAATGAAACACCTCTTCAAGCGCACATATGTTCACCTTATGTCTCATCATGATCAACTTAGCCATACATGCCGGTGGACCGGTCTCGCGGAATGGAGTACCTGTAAAACCCGCAGTCCGCAATGGAAAGAGCTCAAGCAGTCGACATGACGTACGAGAGGCGACCAAGGCAATCCCAGTCTCATGCGCATCCAGCAACTCCTCCCCGCCCGTGATTGTTGCCCACAGTGATGGGAAGAACAGACAGCAGAGCACGAGAGAGCCGAACAGAGACAAAGAGAACATGAAAAGCATAGTGCTTGAAAACGATCCGGCCGCGGACAAGGCCTAGGAGTCAGGGCTACAGTCGCATCGAATGTGCCTACGGATATGACCAGGACGCAAGTTGGGTACGCTGGTCCCCGTATAAAAAGTGGGGACTTGATCTGAGTTTCGAGGCGTCTTGTTGGCGCCGGAAGAAGCCGATCCAATTGATTATGCGCGCTGACTGTGCCGACTATGGCACTATGCTAAAGCAACATGCTAACTGGCCACAAAATTTGGCAGGGTGAATCTCAGAAGATGCAGAGCAACATTCGAACCGATGCAAGTGCAATGGGTTATCCGAAGTCGAACGTTCGGAGTGTCCAAACTCGCTGATGATCCAGTCTTATCACGTATTCAATGATACTATGCGGAAGGACTCCAAGTGAAGCCCGTGCAGCGCTGTCCTGCTGCTGGGTGGCGCACATATGTGCATTTACCCGTCAAGAAGGAACAAGGCAGTCAATGTGGGAGTTTGACAGGTAGACCGCTATGTGACATAGAGCAAGGCTGGTCGAATGATATCGAGTAAAGCCTCACGAGAGAGCCATTTCTTATGAATTAGAGAAGTGTACAGAGGAGAAACGACAGAGCATGTACTGCAGAGAGCGCCAGTATACTGCTGCCTTCAACCGCATCAACACCGTATGTGCCCGATTTGAATATCTTAGGCCACACTGAGACGTGTGCGCCAGTTGAAAGAGCCCAACCTAGCACTGCTCATGGCCCGTGATGAGGTAGCTGGAAATCGGGCAACGTAACATCTTCGGCTCAGCGGTCAACGGTCGTGAAATTTGTCGGAACCGCCGTGAGCTGGCGAGAAAGGCGGGCAAATCATTGCGCACATTTTGGTAGCTACGGCCGAAGTGAATCTTGGATCTAAAAGGCTCCGCTGTGGTGAGAGTGTCCAAGTGCTCGCTTAGCGCCGGCTGGCCACAACGAAGTGTGACGTGACGCAATCACCACTAAATGGGAAGTCACAGAGCAAGAGGTAACAAGGCGTCCTCGGAGCTGCAGCTTTGTTTACTCCGCCTCCTCGCACTGCCCAAACATTCAAAGCCCGGGCTTCCTCACACCTACGGACTTCACAGCTTACTCGGCGAGTTTTCAAGCATCTACCGTCCTAGCAGGCGGCCACATCTGGCGTGCGCGCCACGCTCTCGCCACCACGACTTGTGTTCAACGTCAATCCCACTACTTGGTCCATCATGGATATTGTTGAGAAAGTCCAGAAGTGCCTTGCGAAGTGGTATGACGGAGGATCCTCCCAATGGTTAGTACTCGGCGAACGACATTGCATGTTTGATTTGCTTATCCCATGACAGTCGTCAGATCGTAGCTGTCCCGCATTCAAATCCGTCCGACCCGGATTACAGTGATATTCTATCAACTGTCTATCATGCCCTGATTACATCCACACTAGTAAACTGGATGCCAAGCAGTGGACTCAGCGTCGACAAATTCATTCCCTTCGTACAGTCAGTCTTGGAGAGCCTTCCGTCAACATCAATGGGCAACACCAAGTCCTCCAACGTTGTAATCTTTGGCCAACTGCTTGTGGACGTCATTTGGTCAATCGACACGGAGCTGGAGGAGATTCTGTTGGATGCCAAGGCGATTTTAACTCCTGCCCAGCAGGATCCCAGCAATGCAGAGTTGGATAAAGACGCGATTACCAAAGCACTGCGGTCGAGGCAGATTGCGGAATCAGACAGGGAAACATTGGCGAGCACAGTTAGGCATTTGCTTGTGAGTAACCTTCCCTGTTCTTTCGGAGTCGGTATCAATGGTTCTGTCATCACCGTCAGTCTATCGGTGTCCTAGATGCGGATGCCTGCAGAGAGAGGTTGGACGTGAAGCTTATAGCAATTGCGGGCCTGATACCAGACAAGGCTGCTTTCGACAAGAAGGAGATTCGTACGAGGACCGGTCTATTGTGAGTGCGGGTTCCGATTCGCACGTGCGCGTCTCTGACCACTCTTTAGCTATAAGCAGAATAAATTCAATCTGCTGCGAGAACAATCGGAGGGGTACAGCAAACTTGTTACGGAGATCACGGGCTGTCTAGGCCCCTCGCACTCATCTGTTACAGGATATCCGACGGAGTCTCAAGCTGCCATTGAAGCGCGTGCACGACCAGCATGGGAACGGGTTTTAGGGCTCATTGGGTACTTCGACCTTGACCCCAATCGTGCATTAGATGTCATTCTTGATGTGTTCTCAACACATCTGGCAACACATCACAGTTTCTTCCTGGCTTTCCTGTCCGCTTCTCCATGGTCTCATAGAACTCAGCAGGAGCAGGAGCCCATGGACAAGGATGAAATGGCCGTCGAGCCAGACCCAGCACGTTTTCGGGGAAAATCCTTGGACGAAGTGCTTGTGATGGCAGAGCGGATGTCCAACGCACCTGTTGTGGATGCATTGTCATCTTTGAGCAGTGAAGGATCAGATTCTCGAGTCCTGGCGCAAGTGTTGGGGTTCAAGTTTAGCCATTATCAGGTACGAGGCTAACTACGATCAATGCATTCGATGCTTATGTGTTTAAAGCGTCCTGAAGTGGCCGAGTCGACACCGCACAGTTTGTATCTGATGGCGGCCATATTAATTAGAGAGGGTTACATAACCCTGGAAGAGCTCTATCCACATGTGAGACAGTCCGCAAATCTCATATGTTTTTCCTAATGGCCGCACTAGATCACTCCGACGGATGATGATATGCCTGCTGTACATAAGGCATATCTGGACGAGGTTACAGAGCGCATCTCTGCCGCAAAAGTCAGTCAGCTCGCAATGGCTGCACCTCTCGAGTCTTCCGGGACTGTTCCGAAGAAGTCCGCTCCTACAAAAGAATCGAGCAAACTACCTGAACTGCAGCAAACGCCGAATCAAAAGCTCGGTCTGCTGAACGGTCTACTCGCGGTTGGCGCGCTCCGGCCCGCCGTCGCGATTCTGTCGAAATTCCCTTGGATAGTCGATGTCTTCCCTCAGGTTGCGGACTTGCTGATTCTGGTGCTGAAGCATTCGATATCGCCGTTGTACGAATCCACGACGACTGTGAAGGAGGATCGACCGAGTTTCATGATACCTCGTCAACGATATGGTCCCACTGGAGCGGCACGCTCACCTGAGCGTCATCCTCAGCTCACTTTGTGGGCCCCGACACCCCCTAGCACCAGCTCTGTCGACTTCGTCTTCTTCTATCCGGAGTGGATAGAGCGCGTTCCACTATGCTCCACAGTGGACGATCTCATCGACGTTGTTGAACCTCTCATGCGATTTGTGGGATTGCATATTTCGCGTGACCCTATGTATCTAACGAAGTTCCTTCGTTGTGGAAGAGTTCACTTGACACAAGCAGTACGTATCTCATGGCATCAAGTGTAGGGAGTTTATCGATCGTCTCTTTAGGTACCCCATGATTCCGAGACGAAGAACCCAGATCCTGATCATCCCGCGCGACAGTTTTGGTTCAAAGTTCTACGTCGGTATCTGCTACCAGCGTTGACTCTCATACGAGGTAATGCTGTTTGCACTGTGGAGGTTTGGGGTATTCTTCGCCAGTTCGAAAACACCATCCGTTGGCAGTTGTACGGGGAGTGGAAAGCGAGTATGTACCAATCCCACCCCGAGTTGCGTGTTCGGCGAGTACAAGCCGACCGGGAATCAAAGGGCCTTCTGCGACGCCTCTCCCTGAACACAGTGGACTCATTATCTGGATCGGTTGCGAAGCTTGCTCACTCAGACCCGTGTATTCTGTTTATAAACGCGGTGAACCAGATCATGGCATATGACAACCTGGCTGCTGTCGTGATTCAAGCGCTGAACTTCGTGACTATCATGGGCTTTGACGTCCTCGTGTTCATCGTACTCGATGCTATGGCGAACCCGAACAAGGAGCGGGTCAAGGATGACGGTGTGAACACGTCAGATTGGCTGCAAAGTGAGTAATTTTATTTTGTCTGAAAACGCCGTCTGATGCTGCGTAGATCTTGCTGCCTTTACTGGGATGATGTTCCGACGCTATGGTGCCGACCTTACCCCTTTGCTCAAATATATTGTCCATCAGCTCCACAATGGGCAGAGCACGGAGATCATCGTGTTACGAGAACTTATCTGGAAGATGGCCGGCATTGAGCCACTACCTAGCCTGTCCGATGCACAGATCGCGGCCATGGCTGGAGGTCCCACTCTTCGCATAGAAGCGGTGGCGTCCAGCTCTCGCGGTATACGTCTAGATGCCGGAGATGCTGGATTAAAAGGACCCGACCGGCTTGGCAAGGCGTTGACGGTGTACTCCTCGCTCGCACGACCATTACTCATACAGGTCGCACAACAACGGCAAGCGTGCGTATACAAGGCGCAAACTGCCCATCTTAAGTCTCTTGCGAGTCTTTTTGATACGGTCCGTCGGTGTTCTACAATGGTCCTTCCTTAATCGCTGAAGTGGCATGCAGACGCACGGTGTGCTGCTGCAATATCTTGATTTCCTTACAACGCCTTCCATCGTGACACCGAACGAGATTACCATGAAGGTGTACGCGGAAGACGTCGTACCACCGCTGGTTGACTTGAACGAGAAGTACGGGATCTGCGCTCCGATTTGTATGCAGATCATTCGACCCATCTTGAATGATCGAATTCTGGTGAGCCGCTTCTGGAGAGCTCATCGCCATCTCTCTGACTTGTATAATCTGTAATCAGTCAGCTGTCACCAAAATGAAGGAGGCCGAAGAGGAAAAGGAAAGGTTGGCTAGCGAGGAAGCAGAGAAGCGATTGAAAGCTGCTTTGACCGCCAAGCGTGACCCAGTGTCGACATCACGGGTTGCATCACCCAGTATAGGCGAAGTCTCTACAAACGGTGAACCTACCTCGGATGCGAAGGCTTCAGCGCAAGAATCATCCGTCGTAGACGTAACTATGGATTCACCCGAAAGCGGTAGCAAAACGCCAAATCCGTCACCTGAGGTTTGCATTTATGTCCATTTTCGCGATCATTTTAGGTGCTTACGGTTATTTCAGCACCCTTGGCTGACAGAATTGTATTCACTTTTCGACGACGTGAAACGGGTAGCGCCCGGTAATGCTGCAGAAGTCATAGGGTGCGTAACGTATATCCAGATGTTGAAAAATGATATTGACTCACCTTCCCTCTGTAAGCCCTGCATTCTACCTCTCTTTCTGGCAGTTGTCAATGTACGACCTCGCGCCTCCTCGTGCAAGATACGACGAGGAATATGCGAACGTAAGGGCTCTGCAGCGCCAACACGAGCGATCGGGGGACAGAGCAAGACTGCGGACCGTCGCAATCGTCACAAAGAATAACAAGAAAGAAGAGAAGAACGTTTTTGAGGTCACCGCGGAAGCATTAACGAAGGAGTTGAGCAATCAAATCGCGGTGCGAGAGTTCACCGTCAAACGCCTTGCCCGTGAAAAACAGCATTGGTTTGCTCACAGTGAGTGATTGGACATCAAAATTGTCGCGATTCATCTGAAGATATGGCGATACAGATCCCAAAGCTGCTGTTTTAGCATCATCTTTCATAGAACATTGCTTACAACCCCGCTCTCTCTTGTCCCCAATGGATGCGGACTTCTGCGCGAGGTTCATCAAGGCAATGCATCTACAGGGAACGCCCGGTTTCTCAACCTTAATGTGCTATGATAAGGTACAGTTCAATTTGCAGTTGGTCGAGCTCGCGCTAAGCAGAAATATATAGATCCTCGGTGATCATATCAAAGTAGTTGTCTTCTCGTGCAGCGAATACGAGGCACGGAATTACGGTACGGTGCACATGAGCTGACGAGCTTTTCGTTTCTCAAAGAATTTCTTGCAGGTCGTTTTCTGCTTGGTATTCTTACAGATATCTGGCAATGGTTCCAAGACGAGAAAACGTTTCTCAACCAGAATCGTACGAAAGACGGTCAATACCTCCCAGGCCTGCAGCTGCGCTGGTCGCAGAAAAGTGTGATTGCTGCCGAAGACCTCATTACTTGGCAAGACTTCAAGACGATCGTGCGTAAGTGGCATCGAAAGCTCTGCAAGGTCAGTTCTCGTTCATGTACTGTTGCTTTTGACTGAACACTTCATCAGTGCCTATTGGATTGCATCGAGACCGGGGAGTTCATGCACGTCTACAACGCTATCATCGTGTTAAAGGAGATTCTTCCGGTCTTCCCTGTTGCTGCAGTTTATGAGTGGGCAGGCGGAAACCTTCACATGGCCATGGAACGATTCCTGGACAAGGAGACTCGTGGGGATCTGAAGATCTTGGGCAGAGCGTTAGCGTCCTTCATTTCATGCATCTGGATAAATTATTGACGATGCATGCGCAGGTATACAGCAAGCTTGAAGAAGAGGGAGCATATATGGATTGCAACGAAGCCTCAGACTAAGGTATGTTCACGTGCATGCGCTATGAATTTATCCTTATCGTCTTTTCAGCCTGCCCCGTCTGCTGCGGGAACGAAAGCGCCTGTTAACGGTTCTGAACATGCGCATGCAGCCTCTCCTCCACCGGCTTCTAGTCTTACTACTTCTCCAAGGGAAGCGCGCTCGAAGCAGGCTGTTCCTACTGGAACTACTCCCTCTGCTCCTCGTGCTCATATAGCGGCGACGAACGGGGCTTCTCATATGAAAATTGATCGTTCCACGTCAAGTTCTGCAAAAGCGGCTATAGAAAGGTATGGCCGTCGGTTTCGCAGCATTATTACAAGCTCATACCTACATATGACAGCATTCCGAGGCCGGAAGTCGTCAAGAGGATAAGAACTGAGCAAAGAATCTCTGACAACGTTCAAAATGAGCAAGTCCCCAGGAATGCCGTGCGATCAGATGCTATGAACGTCGATAGTACGCCCTCGCGAGTGGAAGGGATTCACGCACCCGCGAAACCCATACCGCGCGCACCTAGACTGGCTTCGGTGAATCCGGAGGGCGCAGTCGGCGCGACTCATCCTCCGAGTGAGGCAGTCCAGGGTTCTGTCTCTCATCAAGGTGCATCGGCGCCTGCGCAACCGCCGAGACCAACGGCGCCCTCTCCGGATATCAATGGCCGACCTAACATCGCAAAGGAGATTCCTCAATCACCGAGACTAAACGGAACGGATGAACAGAAAGCTGGTCGGACAGAGTCGTCACAAATCATGCCGCCTCCTACCATTCCGAGCCAAACCGTCTCAGCTCAGGAGCTCAGAGAAACTGCCAAACAGACCCGTGCGGAGAAGGCCGAAGAACGGGCTGGCCTGTCTATTGCGCACGCAACCCCTTCTCCGTCTTCTCGCCGACGCTCTCCGTCCCCCTCTAGTCGTCCAGGAACCAGGAATGCGAGTTCGGACAGTCGCGCAAGCGGTGGTCGTCGTTCTGCGCGTGACCTCGATGAGAAGCGAGAGCGCGAGGGGCGTCAGGATGCTCGCGAAATGTCTCGTCAGGCACACGCACGTGAAGAGCGCGGCTCGAGAGGAGGACGTGAGTCTGAGAAGGAGCTGGATCGTGATAGAGAGAGGGGTCGCGATAGACACGGCGAGAGGGAGAGGATCCGTGATAGAGACAGAGAAAGAGAGCGGGAAAGAGACAAGGATCGTGAGCGCGAGAGGGAAAGAGGTCGGGAGAGGGGTGAGCGTGAGAGGGATCGTGAACGTGACCGCGATAGAGACAGGGACAGGGACAGGGATAGACATCGCAGGGACGAAAAGGACCGCGATCGGGACGGCAGAAAGGAGCGCGACATCGCGAACCGTGGCGCCATGGCTTCTGCGCCAACTGTGCCCTCCGTAGACGAACGTGGCCTCCCCACAAGGCCTGATCTATCAAGACATCGGGAGATTCAGCATGGAGAGGAAGGGTTGGGCAAGAGAAGACGGGCAACCGACGATGAGGTACGTTTTTTCACCTGGTAATACAATCACAGCTTATAGACCACAGCCTGATCGGCCCTCTAAGCGGGCGTCTCGCAAGGAGAGTCACCATGAGGAGAGGGGTCGTCGTTCGACGGAGAAGGATGGCCGTGACAGAGGTCGAGAATCCGAGCGACGACGGAAGGAGCGTGAGCAGAGTGAAACCGAAGGCAAAGGTCTCTGGGTTGATACGAAGGTACTATAATGCTCTCACATGAATGTTCTTGCCATGATCTAATTGTATTGTTCCTCTAGGTTGGTGACAAGCGTGTCCCTGAAGGACCAGCGTCAGCAAAGTCGTTGCCTCCTACAACACCATCTGCACCACGAGCCATGGCTGGCGAAGGCGGATGGCTCGGCCGATCTGACTCCACGGCTGCGCGCGACCGAGATTGGAAGACGGGGAGAGACGCAACGGTGCCTCCGAGTGGACCTGCTGCGGGACTGAGCGGCTCGTCATCACAGGAAACTGTTCACGGACCTACTGCAAGCTTACGATCCCGCATCAGTGACAAGGAGGCCCCTCGTCCTCCTCAGACAGCGTCAGCATATCGAGCTGACTCCATCAGCGGTGATCACAGACCAGATACTTCTGCTCGGGAGGACGAACGGGAGGGTAGTCGAAAACGGACTTTGTCAGGTAAGTATCCTGAGGCCAATTCGGTCACAGAAGGCTTACGTGTCTGCAGAACGGGATAAAGAAGCCGATGATACAGCGTTGACAGCCAGTGAACAGGCTGCTCAGCCTCCAAAGCGCCCCCGCATCATCCGTAACCGATATACTCTCGCCCCTTCTCATGGCGTGGCGAGGAAGTTGCTGCCGATCGATCCACAAGCAAACCAAAGTCGCACGAATCGCAATGGCTAAGTCCATTACACGGTCATGCACCAAGTCAACGCGCATTGGATCATTCTTGTAGCGTTATATTATTGTCTACAATCTGTATCGGTATAGTATAGTAATGTTGAGCTGATATATGGACTGCAGATTTTCCCGGATGGTATAAGGATAGATGCAATGTTGAATTGGGGTAGCTATGCTGTGGTCGTGAGTTGAATCGCTTGCGAGTTGAATCGATGTAAGGGAAGGGGGACATTTGGGGGTTATTAACGGCCCTTAATCAAAGTCAGGAACTCTTCTCGGGTTTTTTGCTGCGTCCGGAAGCACCCCAGCATACAGGAAGTGACAGTCATGGAGCCGGGCTTTTGGACTCCCCGCATGGTCATGCAAAGATGTCTGCCACGTTTTGAGAAAAGTAATCTAAGGCAGAATATATGAACTACTTACGTTGCTTCCATCACGACTGCAACACCACGCGGCTTAATGGCTTCCTGCACGGCGATTGCAATTTGTTTCGTGAGGCGCTCTTGTACCTGCAGGCGACGGCTAAAGGTCTCAGCGATGCGTGCCAACTTGGACAGGCCAAGCACGAGATGGTTGGGGATATATGCTATCGCAATCTATGAGAAGCCAGCGGTTGCATTATCAGATATGAAAACCTCGCAGAGCGATCCGCGACTCACTTTACCCATGAAGGGAACGAGGTGATGCTCGCATAGGCTGGAGATGTCAATGTCACGGACAATAACCATTTCGTCATGGTCCTCAGCGAACACGGCGTCGTTAATAACGTCTGTGTGGTGCATATATTCAGTTTGCGATAATCTCGTAACGCAAGATATGCTGTACCTGCCAAACGTTCCTCATATCCGCGGGTCATCCACATGAGGGCCTGCGCATAGCGTTCGGGTGTGCGGAGAAGACCCTCTCGGTCGGGATCTTCGCCGATGCATTCGAGGATCGTCCGGACAGCCCCTGCGAGCTTCTGCTCACGCTCTGCCTTCTCGGCTGCAGTAGCATTCAATCTGGCCACGGTAGACTTGGCTAAATGCAAAATGAGACATGGGCACCAAAAAAAGCGCTAGTTCTTGTACCTGGCCACCCCAAACCGTTTGGATCAGGGAGTGGGCTGCCTGCTTCGACGCCCGAGATCGAGGTATGCAGAGGCGTCGAGTTCCCGGAGGCGGGTCGAAACCCGTAACCGTCCCGCACGTAAGGAGACCCTACGGGTCTCCCTAATAGGCCAGGCGACGGCAGGTCGCTACTCCCGCCGCGTGCTGAAGTCTCGCCTGCGACATGCGGATCAGCTGAGTCGGCTCGAGCCTGTGCGCTGAGCTCGAGCTTTTGCAGACTCTCGGACAAGCGATCGCCATGACTCAAGACGTCGACAGGCGTGGACATGGCGGCAACGGGAGTGAGCACGCAGTGTGAAAAAATTAAGTGCTATTTCGCACACAGTGGTGGGGGAGAGCAAGTAGCGATGGCAGGCCACGTGGTGGAATGAGACATACTGAGAAAGGAAAGTAGAATGGATTCATTCCGCCTCTTTGTCCGCCTGATGAGGAGATATGAAAGGAAAATTAAGACGGCCGACTAAACCGCGCGAAACTGCGAGCGTCGCCCATCTTTAAACATGCACAGTCGACGCACCGCCTCGCAATCTCGCTCATTCCCGACCGTCATAATTGTTTGGAGCCCATGCTGTTCGTCGCGCCCAATCTTTCTCGGTACATCCTTCCCTTAAGTTGATTCCTGCCCGCCGTCACTGTCGCAGCATCGCATCTTACGGAACAGCCGTAACAAAAAGACCTCTGACGTGAGATGAACCATCCACAGCATCCTCGAACGCTCATATACTCTCTTCGCACGTATGGTCTGCCCTGCTCATCCGTCGGTCCCGCACCATGACTCTGAGGCTCCGTTTCCACTCATGGCGATATTTACCTCCAGAGCTATGCTTTCCCCAGGCTGCTCAGTGTGCTCCCCGCACCGAAGAGCGCACTCACCACGTGAAATCGGAATATCACGATCCGAGTGAAGCGTTCTACCGAGCTTGGTTAGCATCCCGGACGCCACTTGCTGGCTCTGATGCCTTTCTTCCACCAGGCGCTCATCGGCCTCTGTCTGCTCATCAAATCAAGCTTGCCTACCAGATTGTCAAGTTGTGCGGATATGATACATTTGCGCTAATCTGGGTGTTGCACCCTTGGAGGTTTCTTCTAATGATCATTGTTCAATTACTACGCGGAGTCCTCCCTGCATTCAAAGGGTATTCGCAGGCATCGATCATAAACGAGGTAAGTCGACGTAACCTCTCCTGGAGTACCACGCCATACCATCACTGCTTGTTCCCTTAGTTCCAGTCTTTCATGACCTCGGGAGAGTACACCTTGAGCCACTTGCTGAGCAGCATTCTCTTCGAACTCATCCGAATTGGATTTGAGACCGTGCTTGATTCATTCGCGTACGGCCTTCTCATTCTCGATCGTTGATGAGCGAACTCACCATGTATTCTGAAAGTACTGCAAATGAGGAGCTTGTACAAAGTTCAATACAATTTCTTCTGGAACACAAACAGATCGAAACGCGCCTCCGATTGGACGTTCCGACACTGGCGGATCCAGTCGTTCGTGATCTCCTACAAGAGTCTGATTTCTTCGTGCGCTCGTTCGGTAGCATGTCCAGCTTCGGGCTCTTCTCGATGTTCGACATCACGCGTATCCTGACGCTCATCTCGGAGCTCGTATCCCATCTCTTCATCTTATCGTCTTTGACGCGCAGCAACATGAGTGATGCCGTCCTCATAACCTGTGTTCTGGCGTCGGCGGTTCCTTCCTTATTCCCGTGGTTAGCAACAGGTCGCACGATGTTTGAGGACTTGGATGACCCACACGAGCTTCGGCTACTAGCCAAGCAAGAGAAGATGCGTGCGCTAGCTTATAGCGATGCGCTTCGTCAAGAGGTCGTCTTCTTTGGTCTCGGATCATGGATATTACGAGGTTGGGCTCAAGCGCGGATGGCACTGCTCAAAGCAGAGCGGTCGCAGTCCAAGCAAAGCGCAGAATTTACTTCACAACTGCTTTCCCGAGTCGGCATCTCGGACCTCTCAGCAGCTGTACAGAATGTCTGCAAAATGCGTGTGATGTCTTTCACAAGTGCTAATATAATACCCTCCTCAGATGCTGCTTATGTTACTTGTGAAGACATCACCGGCTTCCCTTGGGACTTTTACGCTGTATCGAAATTCGGTGCAAGCTCTTTTTCTCACAATTGCGGCACTGATCCATTCCCTGAGGATGGCGTACCAAGCGATCTTCTTGATGAGTGCATATTGGGCCGCGACGACCGTCAAAGCTCATCTGAGACCGACGGCAAGCCAAAGAATGAATTATGAATGCTCCTGCAAAGGCATGGAGCTACAAGTGAAGTAGGTCCGCTCTCGTGCCTCAATCTAGCTGTGCGACTGATAATAGGCAGAAACCTTTCGTACACTTATCCGGGGTGCATACATCCAGTCTTGAATGGCGTAAACCTAACCATACGAGCGGGAGAGACCCTTGCTATCGTCGGATACAACGGATCTGGTAAGCTCGATTGGCTCTATGCGAACCCTCAATTGCTTACGCAGTTCTTCGATTTTAGGCAAATCGACGCTGGCGAAAGTCTTGCTACGGATCGTCGACTTCGACAGCGGCCAGCTGCTTGTTAACAGGGTAGACATCAGGAAGTACGACCCGGACGACTATCACACACACTGCACCGCCGTGTTCCAGGATTTCTCCAAATTCAATGCTTCGGCGCAGGAAAACATCGCGGTCGGATTTATTGATGAGAAGCGCAACCGTGCAGCCATTGAGAGTGCCATCCGTTTGGGCTGCGCGACACAGATCGTGTATTCGCTGCCTCAGGGTCTCAAGACGAAGCTGGATGTGATCAGCGATGAAGCAAATTCGTTCATGGCCAGAGACAGTTGCGTGAACAATTCTCGCAGCTTCCCACAGCATGGATTATCTGGTGGCGAGGTATGATGAGCCCACTTACTCGGTATTGCAAGATGCTCATCGAGTGCACAGTGGCAGAGGATTGCTCTCTCCAGGGCATTCATGAGAGCTCAACGACCTGAAGTCGAGCTCATCGTCTTCGACGAGGCGGTACGCACACAGAAATGCCTGTCATTTACGCGAGTTCTGACCAAGGCTGCAGACTTCATCTCTGGACGCCCATGCACAGAACCGTATATTCGATAGCATCGACAAGGTTACCCACTCGTCCGACGGGAAACGGACTAAAACCGTGATCTTCATCACTCATCGCCTTTCCACGGCTCGTCGTGCGGACAAGATCGCCATGATGGAGCATGGGGTACGCACGCACTTGTCACCTTTTCCCATGTCGAAGCAGAGGCTGATTACTTTCCTGTAGACCATCACCGAGTTCGGCACCCATGAAGAGCTTCTTAGGAGGGATGGCCAATATGCAGCGTTGTATCGAGCGTCCACCTGATTAGACGGTGCGAATAGAGCATTCTCATAAAGGTATTCGTAATTATCGTAATTCCCATCACGCCTGTGGTGATTCTCACTGCATATGCGCATTTGTTTGTGACTTTTGTTCACGTACGACACGATGCCACCAAGACTCAGTGAACGTGCAGCCATAAATATTAAACGGCACGCAAGTCTCTCAAGCCCCGCTTGGAAGATCGATCGAAAGTCATGATCTCCCTGGGAGACATAGCAACCCGTAACGATCATTGTTGAACACCATCAGTATATATAGCCCACTGGGTGTTCGCAGTATTCACCGCTGGCCTCAACGTATGTGCGAGAATGCGCCTGTGTTTCTGAATAAGCGCAACGGTTACGTATAGAATTTCAACTGACCAATAACAAATCATGCTCATGCCCTAGCACATCGTCGTACGCATAGCGGGGACACCCAGACCAGGCTTTGCGTCTTGCCGAAATAGAATCTGTAAAATCATGTCGGTGGGGAGAGGGGGAAGGAGCGTCGGCGAAGCAAATACGTCGCTCATATAGCAGGCTGATCACGGAAAAAAATCAAGACTGCGCATCAAATTGATTTTATCAGCATTTCAGTGCTGTCCATGTCCGCTTCTGTCCTCCTCCTCATTGTCAACTACGCTTGTAATAATCAAAGTACGCTAGTACACCGTCCTGCAGGGCCGCATCAATCCCATGAGGATCCGTGCCGGAAGACGTTGGCAACTGAGCCAACTCCTGTTGAGTTCCGAAACTCCCGACGAGCAGGCCTTGATCCTTGACGCCTTGTATGAGGGAAGGTACGCGCTCCTGCATCATAGTCAGTCATCGTATTGTGTCCTGCATCTCACAAAGACGGACGTACCAATAAGCCTGCGTCCAAGAGAACGCCCAGGAGATTGTTCGCTTTGGAAAACTCCACAGCGGAATCCAGGTTTGACAGCCGGTAATCGTGGGCATCGTCAACAGCAAGGGCAGTCGAACTCGGAGTAGCGCGGTTGCGTTCGCCGCATTGGGACGCGAAAAAGACAGGATCTGGAGCCAGGTGAGGATACACGTTTCGAGCCACTTTGCCTACTTACAATTCGGTTGTTTCCAATTAAGCGCGGCGCAAGCATCGGGTGCGAAGGACGTGAAAACAATCGCACGTCTGCTCGCGAATCCCTCAGATGAGTAAGTCCCATAAACTGTTCTCAAAATTGCGTCTGTCACGTCATTGAGTTCAAGTTGACGTCGGAGCGAGAGGCGCTCCCTGGTCCTCATAGGTGCATACGCCAGTTCCAGACATATGCCAATACTAGCGGGTATCATCTGTTGATAAGTGCAGTCAGCAAACCTGACGAGTCTGGTAATTATAATGACCAACTCGCCTTGAGTAGGTCTGCCAACGAGGTCATGGAAGTCGAAACTGTCAGATGCCACTCCAGAGGCGACATCGGGTGATCGCCAGTTTGCAAGAGTCCCCTATTAAGGCGCTGCGCGAGCGATTGGAATTGCGACAACGTAACATCCGCGACACCTAATTCGTATCCGATTTCTGGAAGCAGCCACTCAGAGTACACAACTGGCTGGAGATCCCGCGTAACCTGTACAGTGATGAAGACGTAGCTACCCGTCACTGATGAGTGGGTCAGCGAATGCCCTCCAGATAAGGCGGTCGTTGATATGGATGGCGAGTTCACTGCCGAGGCGGGGGCGCGACCTGGCTGAGGTCGTGATGGGGTGATCCTGGACGTTGAAGCAGGTGCGGGGCCAGCCAAGGACTTCCAGTACGTTTCTACAGCACCGCCAATCTCTAGCTTTACGCCGCTGAATGGTGTGATGACATTGACTTCGAAAGAAACCTGGCTGTGACATCAGAAGCCTTTCGTCAGGTACCTGACAGATATCCTTACCTCTCCTATCACATGGAGGCGTGGATCCAGGATTGGGACGAGAAACGGTTGGCTGTTTGCAATATTCCGTAGGGAGGACGGTAAACAAATCGCCCGGCCGATTGTCTTGGTACCAAAGTTGGGGTACAGCGAGAACTCCATAGACAGGGAATCTGGAGAAGGGACCTGAAAAGAGAAGGTGATTCTCTGATCCTTGATTGGTAGCGCGATGGTGTACGGGGCTGGCGCGATGGCAGGCGTGGCGGTCATTACGAGTCTCAACAGCGATGACGAATGAAATTGTCGATCATCATAATAGAAACCTGCCAGTGGAGGGTAGAGACGAACTGCCGGCGCCAATTCCGTACCAAACTGCGACGTCAGATGCCCGATAGTCACTTGGACCAATGCGATTTTATCCAAATAGTTGTGACCATACACGCGGTACGGCATCATAGGCGGAGGGAGAGACAGGGAAGGAATCATGTCGATGTCAGACTCCGCACTTGCAGATCGCTGCGTGTCTGACCGAGGAGATTTCTGCGTCAGTGGGATATGCCCCGGTGCCAGTTTTGTGGCTGCGTCGAGAAGCAGCGCTACGCAGGACTGGTGACCATACCAAGCGGCGTAGTACAAAGCCGAATTGCCATTCTCATCGAAGCGGTCGATGCGACAGCCGTTTTCAATCAGGACCTTGAGGCACGCATCGCGTCCGAACCTGGCGGCGTGGAAGAGCGGAGTCCACTCACTGTACTTATCTGGGATATCCCAACCGTCCTGACGCGCAAGGATCCGGCATATTTCCGCGTGGCCCTCTTGTGCAGCCAAATGTATAGGGTATTCTCCATTCGTGTTTGGTACGCTTGGTGCACCGTGCTGCAACAAGAGAATGACTACGTCCACGTGCCCCGATATCGCGGCCAGCAACAGCGGTATGAGGTCGGTGCTTGGAGTTGCCGTCCGTACAGAAACTTGGCCATCTTCGAGCAATACGCGGAGGCAATCGACCCAACCTCCCAACGTTGCGTATACGAGGGCTGTGCACGAGTCCACGTCAACTAACTCTGCGGATAGACCGACCTCGATAAGTCGTTTGCAGACCATGTCGTGGCCATACATGGCTGCATAATGCAACGCGGATCGTCCATAAACGTCGGTCTTGTGGCGGTCTACACCATTCTCCAAGCACAGTTCAACCAAGCGCAGAACACCTACGATGGCCACTTCATGCAAGCACGTTCGGCCGTTGATATCGTCAACGAACAGGAAATCGAAAGGTCCCGCAGTGGACGCGAGTATAAGGTCAGCAAGATCTGGAGGAGCGTCGATGACCGCCTTCCACAGAACGCGCGTAACGTGCGACCTCGCCTCACGAGCTTGAGACAGGGAGTCCGAGTACCGAACCAATGCTCGGATCGCGTCTGCGTCGGCATCGGCGACAGCCTTTCGCAGGTTGCTTTCTAGATCTTGAAATGGGCCCATTTGTATATTTCGGTCGATTCCCAGCTGGCGGCTCAACAAATCCTCGTCCTCGATCTCTCCTTCGTACTTCATTCCTACGGAAAGGTCGGTCAAATCAAGCAAACATGCCGCAACGACGTCGGACATCTCGGAGATGAGCTGGTGGAATAATAAATGTAAGTATTGAATCAAGCATACACTCGAGCTCCTGACCTGTCTGTTAAATACTGGCTGCACCTCCACTTGTCGCGAGAGGTAAAGTTCCTTGGTCGTTGATCTGGATCGCTTGTCCCATTTCTTCAGAATCTTGCGGAATCCAATCGCATTGATCTCGATGAATTGCTACATGATTTTCATGTGTGGATCAGCTGGCAGACGATGAGAGCTCAGTATACCTGCAGCTTCCCCAAATCTCGCTCAAGCAGACGGAACCCTTCTTCCACGGCGCTCCACTCGACATGGTTCTTTGTCGCATCGTCGAACGAGTCTGGCAATACCCGCGCGGCCGCTGCCCGTCGCTTGGAAAGCAGCGTTTCCAGCCGTAATTTCAGCTCTGCCTCTTTGAGTAGGTAGAATGCGTTGATCTAGATATCGTCAATGGCATCGATCAGATCCGATATTTCTTGATGCACACCTTCTCCAATTCCCGTTCGAGTTTGAAGAAGAAAGCGGCTTTATGAGCTTGGAAATTGGGGCCCCTGTCGTCATCTTGTCCCAGGGCGGCGAAAATGAGGGGATCGTCTGATATACTCGGGGTCGCAGCGCTTGCATCTGCCGCGGGGCGACTGAGTATTTCGCCAGGACGTAAAGCGATTGCAGTCCTTGTCGCTTCGGGAACCGGGCGGTTCGCAGCAAGAGACGAGATAATCTTCTTGAGAGATTTATAGTCCAGATAAGCGGACGACCAGCCAGGAATCTGCTCCGCTTGTATCTGCTTTCCGAACTGCCCGCAAGGTTGATAAGTCGACCTGCTCGGAAGCAACTTTTCATGAAATCTGTACCTTCATGATCGTCGCCGGCTGTCACGAAGAGCGGCGGGTCACCGAACAGAATGATAGAGCGAGACGCGATGTGATGCAGGATGCGGGGCTGTCATTGACACGGTGAAAGGAATTACAGCTGAGCGGGATCCAGATGCACGAGCCGTTCCGCCACTGCAACAATCTTAACCATTTAACAGCCACGTGCGTCCGTTCATTCGTTGTCGCAGCCAATCACACGCCACAAACGTGCGTAGTAGCGGCGGACATCAACATTGCGGGTGCAATATGCTACATCGATATTACACGAGTATTTTCCGCAGCTGCCATACACGTGCTGGAAGGAGCGTCACAGGACATTTACCGTGCTTCTCAACGTACTCGTATGCACATCGGTAACAGCAGACATAACCCGACGGTAGTGCAGTGGCGTTGGCAAATGCACCATGGCAGAGGGGACAGATGCCATAGGCTTTCGGGTCTACTTGTATCCCCTGCGGATGAGGATGGGCTAATTTTGGCGGCGCTATTGCGGGGCCAAGAGGAGAGGTCGATAGTGCGCGCGCCGGCGATGACGGTGAATACCACCACTCGAGGAATTTCACGAAGAAGATTGCAGTGGGCAGAATTACATTGAACGAGTCGACCAGCAAGCGTGGTGAGGCCGTCAATAGGCGCCTAAGCCTCGTAAAAATGCTTTGAGCTTGAGTTGCATCCAGCTTTGGCTTCGGTAGTTGCTGTGCGGCACGCTGGGACAACATGAGGATCGTCTTGCAGGAATTTCGCCCCTGTACTCACCAGATCATGAATGCTAACCCTTCTAAGATCCACACCAATCCAGGATAACCATGGCCGATAGAACGGAGTCTGATCAAAGAGGTATGCGATATTGCAGACCAGAAGCCAAACTTCGAAGGTCGTGTTCAGGAAAGGATATATCGTTTTGTACATTCTTCTCAGACGTCCGGTCAATGTCTGAAGCATCGCTTGAGCATTTATTAATTGCAATATGAGGAGAGCTCACAAACCTGCTCGGATAGAGCTCTCGCTTGACGAGTAGCGAGACTCTCCTCAATGTCCTCTGATTGGATTCCACCACCGAGATCTTCGTAGTACTCCTGAGCTTTGGTCCGCAGATAAGGAAGTCCGATCTAAGGAGATCATTCAGATCAGACCAAGGGAAGACTTTGATGCACACGTCACGTACGAGGAAGATCAACGAACGCCGGATCTCTCGCTCTCGCAGCTTCTCCTCCTCCAGGATGCCTGGAACTGCGGCTCTAGCTCGCTCTGCTTCGAAGAGCGGACTCCGTCTTCGCTTCAACCCATAGAAATTCTCAGAAAATGATGCCCCTGCGTTGTTCAGGACGAGAATGTTGACTACACTTGGTGATCTCACCGTATTTCCGGAGGTAGTGTCGCTCGACGAAGAACATAAGCACAGAGTAGAACTCTTCATGCCTGTTCACAATGCGCAGCAGGTATCGAGGGTAGCGTTGAGCGAATACCTAGGATGTGATCGGGATCATGTGTCCGCGTTGCACCTCCGTTCGCGAAAAGCTCACCGATAGAACGTATTTGAGAGCAGGTTGTAGGAGATCTCTCAGCTGCTCTTGCGCCACGAGCTCGAACAGTGTTGGCTTCAATGGATCGCCTCCTACGTCGTTGAAGAATTCCATGGGCGGGTATAGTCCTGCTAGGCTCGTGTGGAATTGCCGTGGCTGGAAGTTGGTTTCGAATTACCAAACGTACTAACTAACGCCGAGTCGATCACTCATAACAGTGGCATGTGATTATACACTTCACATTCTCACTGACTCGACAATTAACCGACATAAACAACTACTGCGTTATGAGAGGAAAGTAAAGTATTTTCCACCCGCCGAGGAGCCAGCCAAGCGTGTGGCCACAACCCACCGCCATTCTGTACTGGCGGCACTCCCGGAAATGTCATGTGGACGTCGTAATGTCATACGCATATTGCCCCTCGCAGGTCGAAACTCATCGTATGGCTCTTGAACAACGTCATCTGGGCTGGTCACAGCTACCACGATCATCAGCATATCATCATACAAGCAGCGCAAGGAGTGAACGTCTTACCTTTGACTATCCCCACCCACTCAAAGTACTTCTCGACAGGCAGCGAGACGCGCTCGCGTTTGTCGGCAGGCTGAGCCTCAGCGTCCTCCTCCGGATCAGGCGAGGGAGGGCGAAGAACAGGCAGTTTCAGGTGGTTCAAGCCAGTGTCAAAGACCGCGACGGACACCTTGGTTGACCTGCGAGCAGAGTGCAATCATTATATTGGGTGTTGGGAGTGTGAGTATGATGAAACTGACGATGTTGCAGACAAAGCGGCAGCGACGGACAGAGCATGCGAGACCAATGAAAGATAGGCTGCGAGCCTGCAGAAGCGTCCTATGTAAGTGCAGTACTTTGATACAGCTCTACACTATAACGCACGTAGGACCAGATGAATCGTCGGCGCAGAGGGTAGAGGTCTCATAAAGCACTAACAGAGAAGGAGCAACAGATAGAGTAGTTTTCGGATGGTAAAAGGAGCCGTCGTGGACGTGAAGCATCGACAGTATCAAAGCAAGATGCGCTCTTGTAGGAGGATAGCTATATGTTCCATCCTTCCGTCAAGAGTTTTGCCACGACCAACATGAAGGAACTTCAGTTACAGACAGAATATCCACCCGAGACGATGCTCCGCACGTTCGCCCTTCAGAACCATGTATCTTCAGCCATTCGTCGTCAAAGTTGATAAGTGCGCTTGCAAAGTCTTTCCGGGATGGACTCAGCATAAGAGTTCTGCGGAATGGTTCAAGCGCGACATGTGAGAGCATCAGGTGGATCGGCGCGGAAGGGTGGAAAGGTCCTTCGATCAACAGTGAGCGAAATTCAGGAAGCGTGGGTGCTGGAGTTGGGAACAGAGTAGCCATGCTGGTTGCTGCAGGTGAGGCAGCCGTATGTGGAACAAGTTGAATTTCAAGATGTGCAGTGAAACTTCAGATACGAGCCTAGTTTTCCAACCTCCACTAGATCTGAGTGCTTTGGTTTGGACTCAACGACGAGGCCACTGAGAGGGAAGAGGATAAAGCGTTACAACGCGAAGTGTCACACTCACGAGTCGCGTCGACGCGTGACTGGTACCGGTAAACGCCGTGGGCAGACACTACGCCACCCTCCAATTTGCACTTGGACGGCTCTGTCCGCTCGAGCAGCTCACTACTCACTTGCTCGAATTGCTTTCAGTCATCATCCTCGAACATATTGTTCCTTTAACCATATATCAAACTTCTGGGTCTGCTCTACAGTAATCTGCGCTCCGTCAATCCTTGATCCGCCATGCATCCCTTCGCGTCCTATGTACTGCGAAGCTACTACCAAGCAACGGGATGGAACGAGGACAACCTGTATGCCAATCTCACTCGGTCATCTAATGGTGAGTAACCATGCATCGGTATATTTCTAGTTACATGTTGTCTTTGCTGACACTCGGCAGCCATTCTCGACTTCACCGTGCCCCGAGGGCTGCACTTCTCCATCTCCAAGTCGCCAAACCCGTTGTTTAAGACAACCTACTCCATGAATGCGCTTCCGTCGCTAAACGGGTCAGTGGGGTACATATTCACGTCCTGCGATCTGGATGTGAAAGGCTCCGGAGACGTGCGTTTCAAGGACATGATAGATCGCTTCAGAGTTTACGATCAGCCTCGGAGGCCGGAAGGGAAGGAAGAAGAGTGGCTTGCGGGTGAGCGGGTCGACACTCGCGGTAAGTACGTATCAAAAGTCACTGATCCGCGGTGTGGCATTGATCAGCACAATGCAGACTATCTACTCTATGGACGAGTATACATCCCTACTGGACGACTTGACGCTCTTTACTCCACAAGACTCTCTCCAACGTTGCAAGCAATGGTTGCTGCCATATCTGATCCTCGAACCAATGTCTTTGCGGAATCAACGCGGGGACCGAATGTGCCTGCAAATAATGTCATGTTCAGCCTGCAGCACGACACTGGCAAATGGTGCACCGAGTACACGTGGAGTGCTGAAGATGGCATGTGGGGGGTACGATGTCTGCACAACTTCGGAAAGATTGGCGGGTCTAGTGAATGCACGGATGAAAGTGAGAAATCTACTTCTGCGCCTGTGAAGTCGCAGTCGGAAAAGCGGATAGATGAAGAAGACGCGATGGAAGGTGGCCTGAAAGGGCGCATATCAGCGGGTGCTGAGTTCTACTTCAGTGCTAAAGAGAAGAGTGCTGGAGGTACGCGGAAGAATTGTTCCCCTGGCATGACTCCACTTATGTTCACTCCGACTAGTATCCACTGGCATCAGGTTCACCACACTACCTGATGCCACACCTCCATCGGCACAACTGCCCGGTCCTCATTGGTCATCCTCATCGTCACGAGGGCCGCCGTCTCAGCCGCCAACAACAATCACAGCGCTGTTCAATCCGATGCTCGGCCATATCTCCGGCGCATATGCAGCACGGGTCTCTCGTGACCTTTCCTTATGTTCTCGCTTTGACTTCAATGTGTACAGCTATGAGAGCGAATGGTCCATCGGTGCGGAGTGGTGGACAAGGCGCCGCCAAGGGATGTTCTCTCCTGCAACCCCCGCGACGGACGCGTCGCCTTCTGACAGTTCACAGCAGCCTGCACCTGAGCCAGATGCCGTGTCAGGAGTTGTCAAAGCGCGCGCATCCACTACGACGGTAGGTCACCTCTATGGCGGCGGCGGGTTGGATCGTTAACACGTAATCTTGTAGGACATATCGCTGCTCTGGGAAGGACGTCTACAGAACATATTGGTCAGCCTCGGTGTTGTCTCCAATCTGACCAGCAGGTCAAAACCAATCAAAGCCATTGGACTTGAATTATCATACTTCAGCTCGGGGTAGTTGCTCTTCTCATCGACAACGCGTGTATCATACGAACTTTTGGGAATATCGATGTCATCATTCACAAAATGTATTCTTATTGGTACAATATACAGTTCTGTTAGTACTGAGCTGCATTAAATTATCGCGGTGCAATGTACGCAATCAGAACATCGGATAGAGTGGGTATAGAGCGTAAGGAACTAGAGCGTCAGGAACGAGAGTCTCAAAAATTCAAAGAGCACTGGATAGATACAAGTAGATAACAATGGAATGGATCAGTAAAGCAATAGGTGCGTCAGTTCTGATGGGTGTTGGTGGTGGGTGCCTCTCGTTTGGGAGCCGCTCCTCCGAGCGTCCTTGCAAGCCTCGACATAGCATCAATCGTAATGATAGGTCGAGTGGAGATCGGAGAGCGCGCGCGAGCCGTAGCATTAGGAGGCGTGGAATGTGTACGCGTATGGTGCTCATGAGCTCCCCTTCCCACGTGGTCCGAATCAGAATGGTGACCTGGGAAATCAGGCACAGAGATTCCGTGGTGATGTTGGAGTCCTCGTCTTGCCATCCTCGAGCGTCCGTGAGCGGGTGGAGAAGAAGGTAATTCAGGAAGTTGGCCTGGAGCCGACAAAGAAGAGGAAGGGGCGTGAATCGAGGCAGCAAGGCCGAGTTCTGGAGATCGTAGCTTCGACGGGCTCTTCTGAGTCGCTACCGCTCTGCTGGAGGGAGCATGTATAGATTGGGCCAGCCCGCCTTCAAATGGAGCTTCAGACACGGTCACGGCAGGTTTAGGAGGTAGATCCAACTGCGCAGAACCAGAATCTCCATGTCGAGCCTCACGTTCCGAAGTGAGGAGCTCTATCGTCGTGACTGGCTTGGGGGGTAGAGAGGGATGCAGTGGGAGCGTCAACGCCGGCTTTGACGGGGAGCGACTTTCCGACGACGCACCAGCACCCTGTTGTGCAACCTTCGGTATTTCAGATCTCGTCTCTACAGTTGATGTTGGAACACTGACCTTGTGGGCACTAATCTCCTCGTCCGGAGCTTGTCGCTGCTCCAACACAGTCTCGGCGGGGACGGCGTGGTTAACAGGCAAGGAAGATTCGATTGCACCAGTAAGCTTTTCCTCACGAGGGGTCACGTCTTGATGTTCATTTTCGAGAACTGACACAGATGTGGGAGTCTGAGCCGCCATCTCACTAAAGTCCTCGACGGATTGCTCGTTGTCAGAGATTTCCACATTCGGAGTCTCCGGCTCGATTTTGGGTAGCGGTTTAAGAGCATCTTCAAGAATTGGAGAAATAACGTTCCCCATACTCGACAGCTTTGTCTCCTCAGACGTGCCGGAAGTGATACCCCAATCGGGAAGATCGGGCAGGCTGTCGTCGTCGTCGCTCGCCCAGTCGAAATGACTCCCGGGGGTATGCGGTCGATCCATGGCGCCTGCTCTGACGCGTTCGACAAAAGCATCGATGTCATGCTTCTTGTCGTATGAAGCAGCATCTGATGTGGCCACCATATGGGGAGGAACGTCTTTGATTACAGCTGAGCTCCTCTCGGGACGAGATTGGGCGATACTGGCTTCCGAGGAGAGCGAAGACTTCGATGGGGTGGCCGTGACGGCTTTGCCACCATTCGGACGACGGCGACGATTCGAAGAACGACTAGGCGCAGAGCTCGTATGAGAAGGTGGTGAAGGATCGCTTGACATTGGTGCTTTCCGAGGGGTTCTATCAGAACCCTTCCTTGCAGTTCTAGGGCGACCTGACGATTTCGTGGGCGCAGAAGTGATAGGAGTGACAGGCGTAGAAGGAGTAGCGACTTTAGATGTGTCTGAGTATGGTTTGTTCTTGACTTGGTCCGGCACTGGCTTGTGTTCATTATCGGATGGAGCAACTTGTCCATTTCCTGCATTGTGTCCTCCTCTTCCCCCTCGGCCACCTCTTCCGTTAAATCTCCCTCTGCCCATGCTTCGAAATGCGGAAGGTGTGTCTCCATTCCTACCCCACCCCGTGCGAGTAGAGCCGGGCTGGCCGGACCATGGCAAGGCACTGCCGTTGGGCGGTACAGGCGGGAGAGCGGAGGCCATCGTGGTTGACTGAGTATGTTATGGGCCACTGATATCCAAAGTTCTGCCATGCGCGTAAGAAAGGAATGCACAAATCGGGCAGCATATTGTGACGGCGTGAACCGGGTCTCACTCACATACGACGGTGGCGAAAGATTCGGTGATAGACACTAGCAGTGGCAAGTGTTTGGAAGCGTGAACAAAGTCAGAGAGCGGATTGTACAGCAGCTGTTGAAGAGAAAGACACAAATATGAGAGAGAGAAAGCGAGGGACAAGACGGAGACGTGGATGTTCGGAAGCAGGAATGAACGAGCCGGTAGCGGATGTGGGCCTGGTCTGTCGCAAGCAGCGCCCGAGCGGGCGGTAACCACGTGGGAATGGCGGATCTTAACATGTGGCTATGGGCGCTTCACCTTTGGCCAGCTACCAGAACTCGACGTTGCCTGCTCGCTTCGCTTCGTATACCACACAACATGTCCAAGGCCTCGCAACCAGAGCTCAAAAAGGTGAGTCGTGCCATGAACACATCTGCTAGATAAGATTGTGGCTGCTAACCGGTCGCCTGGGCTATTTCAGTTCATGGACAAGAAATTGTTCGTCCATCTCCAAGGCGGCCGCAGAGTTAGCGGGGTATTGCGAGGCTACGATCTTTTCCTCAATCTCGTGCTGGATGATGCTATGGAGGAGACGTCGCCCGCACAAAAACACCCCATTGGTACTGTCGTGAGTGCTTGTGCCACCCACTGTAGCCATTGCGTGCTCAGAAGTATACGCGTTTCACAAACAGGTGATTCGAGGGAACAGCGTAACATCAATGGAGACATTAGAGTCCGTTCGATGAAAATGGAGACCCGTGGTGCTTCATTGTGCGCTCTGTATCTGTATTCGTTTTCGTCTGCTAGCTGTCGAATTGCAACGATCGAGGGTATACTACTCAGTCCTTTTTTCATGCGCATGAGGATGATGGCGTGAACAACGACAGCGGTGAGGCTTGCCGAGATCAGCTTGGTATCAAACTTCAAAGATGTGTCTGTTATGCCACCAGCACGTCCAGAAACCTGATTCTGCATATGACTCAAATAGCACTGCTGGATTATCGCACAAGGAAGCACTCATGAAAGCGCTGCTGTAACGCCAATCATCGATGTTGTTCTTCAACATGATAAGTTAAGTGCTCGAAATGCAGGAGCGATGCAGATGATACAGGCTAATTGTACAATGGTGTCGTGTTCGTCTTCTTCATTGGTCTCACAAATTGTGTTGTAGATTAATTCGGTCCCAACTCGCCGGAGCAATACAGCACGACGAAACGCCAGTCGTCTGGGCTATGGGCGAGGGATGGTTCTGCATGACCAAAGCTCAGCATTCAAGAGCGTGAGTCGATCCTTGTTGACTGCGACACTTACCCACAAAGCCTTTGGATGCATGATAGTGTGATGTGAACCCGCGCATCATCCTGAGAGACAGATGTTGGTACGAAAATTGGGTGCCCACAGAAAGCGAGCAGGTACTTGCCGTGGACTCTGTGTCTGGGTATAGAGCCACCCCCAGACAGCAGCCTGAACGCCGCTGAATAGAAGTAGATACTACATTATGGGCATGTTCGATTAGAAAAAGGAAAGAGCCGCCTATCACAGGACACGCTTACAGGTGCACGCACTGCGACGAGGCTGACTGGCATGTATACGGTCTGAGGAAAGCAGTCAAATGTGCAGAGTCTGTGCTTCGTGCGACAGTGCGTATTATGGGCAAGTGCAAATGCAGGACATTCCAGACGCGAACTGCATTTAAAGCACCCTTGGGCTCCCCCCACCATATAATCCGCCGTACCTTTTTGGCGGTACTCGCACGTCTTGTGATATTCATGGGTGTGTCTCGCCTTGGCTGGGTAATTACAGCCCCGGCGCAACCCGCGGTGCATCAACGTACAGACCTGCGGGGAAGCGGTCTCGAATGCGTTTGTGATGGATGAGTTCCTGCCGAGGCTGATGTGTTGATGCGATCTTATCTCCCCAACGTTGTTGTCTGATAAGGCTAAGCGCCGCAATTTTGGGTCAGCGCTTGAGCTTGAAGCTTTGAGCGCTGAGCAACTGAGCCACCGTTGTGCTCGAGCCTAAACCTCATTGTCTCAGACCACAATTCCACGGACACAGCATGGTAAGAGCATTACCTAGAGAAAACAAGAAATCCGACAACCTAATGCTTCGTTAGATCCGCCGCCAGATACGTGAGCGTCGCCAATACATTTACGCCAAGTCGCTCGAAGCTCAGGAACGACAGACGTATGAACGCAAGCAGCAGATCAAGGACGCACTAGCCAGCGGGAGGGCTCTACCCACGGAGTTGCGGAAAGATGCACCAAATTTGGGCAAAGACCTAGCATTTGACGAGGCACAAGCGGGTACGTCCTCGAGCATTTGAACCTGCTGAGACATCGACTCATGTAACAATCGCAATCATACTGCAGACCCAACTACGCATATCGACGATGAGTATTCCACGGCGGGCATTCAAGATCCCAAAATAATCGTGACAACTTCTCGCGACCCGAGCTCCAAACTGCAACAATTTGCCAAAGTGAGCATCTCGCTTAGAATGTGAGAAGCCTGAATGTTGAATCAGTCTCCCGTGCAGGAAATTCGGCTTGTCTTCCCGAACTCTCACAGAATCAACAGGGGAAACTACGTAGTGAAAGAGCTGGCGGAAGCGTGCAGAGCAAATGATGTGACGGACCTGGTCATTCTGCATGAGCACCGTGGTGTGCCAGGTGCGCAGCCCTTCCTTTATGAAAAATAATCCTCGGCACTTACTTGATCCTCGCTTGCAGACGCGATGATTGTATCGCATTTTCCCCATGGTCCCACCGTCTTTTTCACGCTACACAATGTCTTGCTCCGGCACGACATAAGCTCGTACAAGGAGTCGACCGTCTCGGAGCAATACCCCCATCTCATATTCGAGAACTTCAGCTCAAAATTAGGAGAGCGGATACAAGACGTGTTGAAGTACCTCTTCCCTGTGCCAAAGGAGGATAGCAAACGAGTAATGACCTTCTCAAATGAGGATGATTTCATCTCCTACAGGTGGGTAACCAGGACATCACGCCATAACCCCACCCAGACTCATCCGCAATGTCCAGACATCACGTTTTTATGAAAATTCCACCGCGAGAGGTTCAATTAGCTGAAGTCGGCCCTCGTTTTGAGATGAAACGTAAGGCAGTGGCAGCCTTACCTATCCAGTGGCTGACTCCCCCATCTTCAGCATATGAGATTCGGCAGGGCACGATAGAGCAAAAGGAGGCCGAGCGTGAATGGGTACTGTCGCATTACTCAAGGACGGCGAAGAAACGGTCGCTGCTGACGGGCCCTGGCGCTCGCGCGAGCTCAAATGCCGAGGATGCAGATTCAAATCCAAAGAAACGGGCGCGGCGTTGACACTATGAGATAGAAACATGCCATGTCGGTAATACGCTTTTGAGCGATTTTCTCAGCCAGGAACACGGGCGGCTCCGAAGGGTCACGAGGCAGCACATCCTCCATGCACTTCGAGCTTAGGCTAGTATTCAGCTCATACCTTGGATGAGGAGGCATAAAACGCGATCAATAGCACCGCTATGCCGTCCGTGTACAGTGTTATACGAGAGTTAAGCATGTTCATTGATACATGTCAATCCACCAGAAGGTCTTGGTCGAGTTCTGCGAAGCTCTCGAAGAACGCGGTGAATAAGTCGATAGCACTCTGGACGTCATCGGCGCCTGCAGTCTCGCGTATGGAATGCATTGAGAGCATGGGACATCCTACGTCAACCGTTCTGATTCCCAGCTTGGAAAGTCCTGGGCCCACCGTAGAACCGCAAGCCCTGCATAACACCGTGTTAGCCTGCACAATGGCAACCGTATGGTTGTTATCGCTACGTACATGTCATTGCGAACCTCATAGTTCTGCACTTTCCCGCCCTTCTTTTCGATCAATTTCTTGACTAAAAATGTCCCAATCGCATCTGTAGCGTATCGTTGCTTGGCGTTTGTTTTGATAGTGACACCGCCATTGATCATGGGTCTGTGGTTGTCTTCATACTTGCCAAGATAGTTTGGATGGACAGCGTGCGTCATGTCTGAACTGATGAGAAATGACCGCGCAATGCTCTGCGCCAAGGTTGATGGCGAAGGGGAGAGGCGATTCAGGAGGGTCAGGATGAGAGAGGACTCGGCGCCCGTCGTCGACACTGAGCCGATCTCTTCGTGATTGAACAGCGCGATGCAGTTGACATTGCCTTCCGCCGTCGAGAAGGATTGACTAGTAGCGAAGCTGGCTAATGCGTCTAGAGCGCAGAAACTGTGATACGCAAATGAGAGCAGGCATAATGCTTCTGAGAAATGCATTTACGACGAGAATTGGTTGTCCATGCGGGGGCTGAAGATGAACTCACTCTTCAGGCCGCCGAGTACCGACGGCTGGGTATCATGTAGATGACTGCGACATTGGTCAGAACGTGATGCTAGTACAGGCGCAGATTGTCTTACAGCTCAAAATCATATATATCTTCAGGGGCGGCAGAAAGCTCTTGCGATAAGACCTCTAGTAAAGCAGCATGGTGATTTGCCTGTATATTCGATGCGACCGAGGAGGTAGGCTCTGTCGACGAGTTGAGCTGAGACTCGATGATCCCGGCAATCGGAATCATGTTGGTCTCCTGGTTGAACTTGAAGCCTTCCGAGATGTTCCTTTCCACTACAAGGGAGAAATGAGCCACGCCCTGGGCAGATATAGATGCCAGCAGGTGTGAGCTCGCTCACAGTGAATGGCCAAATTTGGGACCCTCAAGATTGGTCTCTCTATTTTCACCAGCTTTGACGTGAAGCCGCCGTTCTTCTCCTGCAAAATAACCCTACCAGCCAAAGAGAGGTCGCGGTCGAACCAGGTGTGCCAAAGGCCTCCGCCATATGTCTCGACGCCGACCTGCAGATAGCCTACGCTTGAACGCTTAGACACAGGCCGTACCTGTCGTTCTAACATGAGCGGTTTGGCTTGCGCTCCACGATATGATCAAGCACAGACTCGGAGATTGGGACTGTCGACGTGGGTTGCAACTATGGAGACGCCTGCTCCCGCCTTCCAGTTCTCAGGAATTGTCCAAGCTACCAGACTGCTCTGATTGCTAGGGATGCATTGGCCCCAAACTATGAGTAACCCGGGTTGATCTTACTCACCGCGTCATGTAGTATTTGCCACCGTCAGCTAATTCTTTCTCCCATTCATCGCGCTCCTTGACCTGCGGCGACATTATTACCATAACCTCGATTGCAGCTTTCTTTGATGTGCGCGCTAACCTTGCGGAAGCCCGCCTTCTCCAGGCGGAGAGCAGCGGCCTGTACAGCATGAAAAGGCGTCGGGGACGCGTTCACAAAGTTGAGGAGTCTGGACGCAGCTTCCGTACCGCTTTGCAACATCATGGTATGCAGAAAGGAAGACGAGAACCGCCCGCAGCCGTTTTGCAGGCAGTCGACCCACGCGACCGGCATCATCGCATCGTCGATCTGGTTTAGCACTCGTGGGAAACTCGAAAATTACTGCCATCATTCCTGCCATTGGTCCGCGAATTCGCCTTGAGCGCATCCACACCATGGTTCAGACCTATCTGAAGCACGGTCCGACACAGGTATGAGGGAAGATGATTCTGCTTGATATATTCTGAACTTGTTGTAGGCGTTCGGTCTGGTATGCAGTTCCTCGTCCAACTCGCACTACGATGGGAAATTGGCCTATGTCCCTGCTCTGGAGGATGTGCTAGTATGGGACGTGAAGAAGGGTGAACAGGTGCGCCGAATATGTTTCTACAAGGTACACTCACTGATGCTTTAAAAAGCTGGCAATGTGGCACGAGACCGGCCTTCGAGCAGAGGTTACGTGCATCCTCCGCTCTCCGCAAAAGGATACATTTGCCGTAGGTTACGCGGACGGCTCTATTCGCCTGTGGAGTGCATCTTCTGGCTCTGTCGTTGCTACGTTCAACGGACATAAGAAGGCAGTCACTGCGCTCGCATTTGACGAGGCTGGTGCAAGACTTGCTTCAGGTTCCCAGGACACCGATCTCATTCTGTGGGATGTAGTAGGAGAAGCCGGGCTATTCAGGTCAGCCTCAGTAACGTTGATTTTTACTTCATTATCTCACCCTTTCCAGATTGCGTGGTCATCGTGACCAAATAACTGCCATACGCTTCATCGTTCCCAATTCTTCCTCTGTGCCGTCGACATCGACCGGTTCAGCTCCAAGTTATCTCCTAACGTCTTCCAAAGACACATTCCTGAAGTTGTGGGATTTATCAACGCAACACTGTATTCAGACGCTCGTTGCGCACCGCTCAGAGATCTGGACAATCGACGTGGATAGCAAGCATGAACTTGTGTTCACCGGAAGCGGGGAAGGCGAACTGAAGGCTTGGAAGATTGATCATGAGGCACTTGCGGAAGGGTTGCGAGAGACGGAGGCGGGAGAGGTGCGGCAATCATGCACAGTTATAGTTGTATTCTGACTTAAGGATGTGCATTCGCAGGTCGCTAAGTTGATTCATCCTATGGCCACCCTACCTCTCGCTTCCAATCATCGCGTAGCGCAGATTGCTTTCCATCCCTCCAGCTCATATCTCGCTGTGCAGTCGCATGATCGTTCCGTAGAAATCTTCCGGATACGCACGGAAGACGAAGTGCGGAAGAAACAGGCACGGCGGCGCAAACGCATGAAGGAGAAGAAAGAACAGGCTAAGACGATTGATCAAAAAGGCACAGCAACCGGAGAACAAGAGGGCGAGGACGCGATCGAAGTAGCCAAGGAGAACAAAGATATCCAGTTGGTGGATCTGTTTACTCCCTATATGGTCGTACGAGCAAGTGGAAAAGTCAGGTCCTTTGATTTCGCCGACGAAGAAAACGGAGCAAAGAGTGCTACACAGGTCTTGCTTGCATTATCCACAAACGCACTGGAGGTATATAGCATACCTCAGCCCACGAAGTCAAAGGATGCGTCCCCAGAAGCCACGCGCATATACTCAGTCGACTTACCCGGGCATCGAACGGATGTACGCACGCTGTGTCTCAGCTCGAATGATGAGCTACTTGCTTCAGGCTCAAACGGTAGATTTGGCTTGGCCATAGACATGTGAGAAATAACTAATGCATATTGATAGGCTTGCTCAAGATCTGGAATATGAAGAAACTGGGTGATGATAACTGCCCCACTTGTATCCGTACCATGGAGTGCAGCAATGCTGTCTGTAGCACATTCCTTCCAGGAGATCGCCAGGTCAGCCCGATTGTACAATGAATGAATACGCTCGCAGTATTCATAGGACTGTGTTCATTGAAATATAGGTCGCCGTCGGAACAAAATCTGGCGAAATCCTGATCTATGATCTCGCCTCGTCCTCGCTTGTCGAGAGCGTCAAGGCACATGAATCAACCGTGTGGTCCATCCATGTTCGTGCAGATGGACAGGCCCTTGTCAGCGGAAGTGCAGACAAGGATATCAAATTCTGGGAATTCGAGCAAAAACTCGTGGACAATGAGAATGCAAGTACTTTGCGCATGAATCCGTCGTCGCATCTGACACTTGCTCGAAATGTAGCCACGATTTCCAAAGCTATTGACATTGGTCCATGTCAGGACACTTAAGATGACTGATGATGTGCTCTGCGTGCGGTATAGCCCGAATAGCAAGTATTTGGCGGTAGCACTTCTCGACTCAACCGTCAAGGTCTTCTATCAGGACACCTTGAAGTTCTTCCTATCACTCTACGGACACAAGGTTGGTGATCTGTTACATTCGCTGTGCAAGATGTCGGCCTGACTTTGAATAGCTGCCGGTTCTATCTATGGATATTTCGGGTGATTCCAAGCTCATCGTGACTTGTTCCGCGGACAAAAATGTGAAAATCTGGGGCCTCGACTTCGGCGACTGCCATCGCTCGATATTCGCACATGATGACAGCATTATGCAGGTAGCGTTCGAGAGAAATGATGTGCGGGATTTCGACAGCAAGCCGTCACATTACTTCTGGACCGTCGGCAAGGACAAGATGTTGAAGTATTGGGATGGCGACAAGGCCGGCTTTACGTCCTCTGTGTCACCGGAAATATGATCTCTCATGCATTTTGTATGTCTACAGTTCGAGAATATCCAGAAGCTGGACGGACACCACGGCGAGGTGTGGGCGCTCGCGGTCAGTAACCAGGGGAAGTTCGTGGTGACGGGCTCTCATGACAAGTCCATTCGCGTTTGGGAGAAGTTGAACGAAGAGGCAAGCTATTCGCAGGACCTTTCTCTGGTTCAGTCATATTGAAACACTTGTTCACCAGCTGTTCCTGGAGGAAGAGCGTGAGCGCGAGCTGGAGAATCTCTTTGAATCTGGCATCGCGGAGACCTTCAACCGCACCGATGCGCCAATTGGGAGCGGAGCAGATGATGCAGATCCTAACGCCTCAGTCGGTGGTGCCGAAGTCACGTCAGTCTCGAAACAGACCACCGAGACGCTGATGGCAGGCGAAAAGATCATGATGGCTATTGAGCTGGCCGATGCGGAAATCGCAGCGTTCAGCGAATATGAGGAAACAATGGCCAAAGGCGGTTTGTCTGAGCAAGTCGCGCCTCCGCCGCGGAATCCAGTGCTTGCTGCGTATGATGTCGACCCGGAAGAATACGTTCTCAAAGTCGTGGAGCAGATTCCAGGAACGGCATTATACGATGCACTTCTGGTGTTGCCGTTTGGCAACGTGGTCAGCTTGATGCGATACCTGAATATTTGGGCACAGAAAGTAAGCATATTCCTGCGGCAGTATCCATGAAATCTAACACTATGCTGTGATCCAGGATTGGAACATCGTCCTTACTTCTCGCATAATATTCTTCCTGTTGAAGACGCATTACCATCAAATTGTGGCTAATCGAGTGATGCGCACAGCCCTAATCCCATTGAGAAAGCATCTACGGGAATCGCTCCGCAAGCAGAAGGATGCGGTGTCATACAATTTGGCGGCTCTCAAGTTTGTTAAGCGACAAAACGACGCCCAGCGGCTTGCTGAATTTTATGAGGAAGGCATAGACGAAGAAAAGATCAAAGAAAGGATCACAGAGGGTAAAAAGAGGAAGAGAGTAACCATCAAGGCCTGAAGTGAATGATATACACGGCTGGATGTGTTCCTATAGGTTGTTATACATGATGGGAATGATACAGATCAAGGAAGGCTATCGATACAGTCTGGAAGGAGCTATTGATACAGCTTGCAGCTCGTCTCGAGTCCTTTGGTGTCGCCCTGGATGCTGCGTGCATGCTTTTCGTGGTTTCAGCCAATCCCGAATGCTGTCGTCTTCTAGTTATTAGTTAGTCTTTGGACCCCACAGTTCCTCCAACCTAATCCGCGGTTGATAAGGTGGAATTTAACGGTCATATTTGCTCGCATGCTCACCATCCTTCGCTCGGTTCCGTGGCTTGTCGCATCTGCACTGTCAATACGCCCTCGTTAAGGTCCGCCAATGAGGAGAATGCGGCCTTGGTAAGGTCAACGTGTTTCGACCCCGCTGCACAACCGGCGCATGTGTCGACAACGCGGACAAATACACACTTCTTCGAAGTGTTGCAGACTGTGCCGGCGTCGTTACCTATGAGAGCTCCTCATAGTGGTACAATACGCACGTTCCAGAAATTTGAAGCATTTTGGTCGGTCGACCCAGCCTTCTTCGGTCAGCGCACATGCAAAGGAATCATCCTACGGGATGCATGGCTGTCAGAGGGGTGTCACAACATGTTGTCAACAACGCACTGTGGGTGCCCATTGAGTATTCGACCAGCAGCTGGGGTTGAGCAGGTCTTTGCCAGTATACCTGTTGCAAGAGTGCCGTTCGACGACGTGCTTGTTTGAACAACGAAGTAACACACCAAGTAATGGTAACTGGTTGAGCACTGCCAATAGCCTTAATGCTGTCGATCGCCGACTTAACGGAGCCAAGGATACCATTGGTAGCATCGGAAACTGTGTTTGTGCCATTGTTCAAGGACTTCACAGCGGGCTTCGAGCCTGTTTTCGTTGTTGCCTTCTTCGAAGACGTTTTCTTGCTGGATCTCTTGCCATGTCCAGCGGGAATGTGAGAGATGTCTTCGGAGATAGACCGGCTACCATTTTCTGCAGGAGCGCGAGAATACTTGTATTGAAGGTTCGTAATGTTGATGGTCTGCCAGCCATCTCGAGGATCAAACTGATAGTTGTCGCCCAGCGAATGCGCGGTGCTATATCTCTTCTCAAGACTGCTTTGAAAAATACTGATGCCGGCAGCGAGTGCTGTCGGTACAAGAGATCCGAAGAAAAGTATTATCAGCAGAAGAGCGTGAGGCAGATTGACGCGAGACATTGCGTGCTATGAGCCTTTGTCGCCGCCGAGCAACCAAAAGAAAAGGATGACGAAGAGAGCTGAAAAGACAGGTCTGCCTGAGGACGTGATGAGCTAGTGAAGGGGTGCGCTGGAGAGCGGCGGGCCGGTTCAAGTTGAGGAACGCGTGAAGAGGGAAAAGCCAACCGAACAACGTTGGCCGCGGTCGTGTGTCGCTTGATCACGTGCGTTTGCGTGACCGCGTTTCGCGATCGCTTGTACGGCCGAGTGACTCTTGATTCTGCGAGAGCTCCGAATTACTCCTTCATTCTTCAGCATCGACATGTCGCCCAAAGCTGACCAGACTCGACAACTGACTGGAACAGAACTTATCCACGGCGACGATGAGCTGGCTCACGGCGCAGAGGTTGCACCTTCCATCTCGGTGACCACCAGTAAGTCAACTTTCGCCTGTAGATGAACTCTCCGTTGAACAAACGTCAGCTTTCAGGGCACCTCTACCCCCCAACAACGTCCCACTCCAAACTGACGACTTTGATTTCCGAAATCCGGTCAGGCATATATATTCACGTTATACGCAGAGTGTTAGCACGCGTGCTGAGCGGGTCCTGAGTAAAATCAACGTAAGAAAGTCCATTAGCTGCTCATCGGTAAATCCTTGACAGTCCGCTTCTAGGGTGGATACGCTATCACCTACGCGTCTGGGTTAGCGGCGTCTTATGCGGTAGGTTGTTTACACGTGCCACACCGTGGAACATCTAGGCTCATAATTCTTGTGGAGGCCTTGGTATATTTCCATCCAAAGCGTATTGCCATAACTGGTGGTTATCACGGATGCCACAATACTATCGAGATCTACAAACGCAGTCGCGGAGGAGACCTGCCCATTATCGGCTTAGATGATGAATTCCAGCCAGGCGACTTGTGCTGGCTGGAGACGCCATTGAATCCCACAGGCGAAGCTAGGCAAATACTCATCCTCATGTTCTCCACGTGTCTTCGATAGTGACCGCTAACGCCAGGGATATTAAATACTACGCCGACAAGGTCTGAAATACGAGTTACCGGTCTACTCGCTTCATCTCATCCGATGTTCAGGTACATGCCGCCGGGGGTCGTCTATTGGTTGATTCGACATTCGCTCCTCCTCCTTTGCAATATCCGTTCAAATGGGGCGCTGACATGGTCATGCACAGCGGTACGTATCAAAGCATGTTGATCGGCTGCCGCCGCTCATCGACCCCGCAGGAACAAAATACTTCGGCGGACATTCCGATCTCTTATGCGGCGTCCTCATCGTGCGAACAGAAGAGGAATGGAATACGGTACGTTTCGATCATCGTGATCCGCGATAGCCGGCTGTATCCCACCGCGCCATCATTTAATAGTCTCGGACGCATGAATACGCGGCAGGTTCTCTGTGTGGGCGTGTGTTGGCGTCAGTCGCCGTCTGATTTTCTTCGCCTATCGCATCTCACGAGCCACGCCTATCAATGTGCTGACTCCTTATAAATACTCAGCTGTGGACGCACCGTACGTTCCTCGGGTCTATGATGGGTTCTCTCGAATCCTGGTTGCTCCTTCGCTCCCTCCGTACGCTCCATCTGCGCGTTCCGCGCCAATCACAAACCGCCGAAGAGCTGGCGCAATGGCTGAGCAAGGCCGCTGGTGTGCGTCACATTTACCTTGCTGGGTAGTTCTTTGTTGACGTGCTACTTCGACCAGGGAAAAGCGTATGATGGGATTCCGGCAGGGATAATCGAGACGGTTTGGCACTCAAGTCTTCAGGGCAAGGATTCCAGAGGATTTGATCCTAAAGTGCAGATGGAAGGCGGATGGAATCCTACCTTCGCTATATTTGTGAGTGAAGACGTGATGTACTGCGCAAGAGATTTTCGCTGAACGCTCATAGATGGCTGACCCAGAGTACGCGAGACTCCTACCTCATACTCTGAAGTACTTCGTGGTACGTTCGTCTCACCCGTGAACCGTTTGCCCACACTAAACATGTCCGAAGCCTGCGACAAGTCTTGGAGGTGTAGAGTCTTTGATTGAGCAGCGAAGCACTGCTGACCCCGGTGCGGATCCTCGTCTGGTCAGAATCAGCGTCGGCGTAGAGGATCTGGAGGTATGCAATCGAGTCGTGTTATACGATTTTATGAACGTGGTCTTCATTGTTCGCCCTATAGGACTTGAAAGACGATCTCCGACGAGCATTCCAAGAGATAGCGCAGCCCAAGGCCAGACTATGAGCATGAAATGAATATGCAGTTATGTGAACTAAGATGTATAAAAACAGTTCGTGAAGGACCCTCTCATCATGGTACTCTACTGGAGCTTGACTGACTCCCGCGTTCGCAGGTGGTTGTTGTGCTCCATGTGTATCTAGATGAGCCTTGTATGAAGCGTGTTAGCGTCTCAGCGCATATCAAAGATTAAATAACACGGCATTATGCTTGAGCGGTATTTGCGTGACGCGATCACGCGCATATGAACCGCCGCGCTTGTGGCTGACAATGCGTGATCACGAGGGATGCCTTATGCGGACGCCTGTCAAAGCGCTTGTCCTCCTCGTCTACCCTTCATTCTCAAGTTCAGCCCATACAGGAGTAGAATGTCTTCCAACCGACTCTATCTTGAACGTAAGTTATTCTGGCGTCCCGCAACAGCCTGCAATTGTTTATTGCCGCTCTTATAGGGCTTCCTGATGATGTCAGCGAACAGCAAGTCGAGAGAGTAAGCACGTCTCCTTCTGGCCACTGCTGCACTATACAGATCTTATTGATTGAAATTCGTAGTGCCTCTCAATATACGGACAGATCACTCGCGTAGTGATGCACTCTGGTAGCTCTGTGTGCTGTGTCGCGACATAGTCCTATCACTGACTGAAGAATCTCAGGGTATACAATGGTGGAGTTTGCCTCGAAAGAGGTCTGTACTTGCATCATACAATTCTCTATGCACCTGACACCGCATATATGCGTAGGATGCGATGGTATTGAGTGCCCACAATCACTGAGAGGACACATCTAATGGAGACACAGGACGCTCTTTCGATGTTCTTTGGACGGCAATTCTTGGGTGCCGGTCTGTTGTCTCATTTTGTATATTTCATGGTGTGTCGCTCATATGCTATCCGCTTCGTCCTTCTGTAGACGTCAAGCCATATGATTTCGAGCCCCGCAAACGTAATGATGCAAGCATCAGTACGGACAGGAGCAGCATCAGCAGCGACAGTGCACCCCGCTCTCAGTCAGTCTAACAGCTAGGTTATGTCAAAGCATGCAAACCCCCCGTTTCTAGGTCGACTTTCGTAAGGCAGAACATAAGTGAGCAAGTTGCAATAGTAGTCGCGAACTTGAGTCCCGATATATGCTGGCAGGTATGTTTCGCCCGTTGCTTCGGTATGCTCTTATTAATACGAGAGTGCAGGAACTGAAGGACTTTGGTCGGATCGGGGGCGGTTCCGTGGCTTTCTGTTACATCCACAGGACTCACAATCGGGTGACAGGGTGAGGACAAATCATACAATATGCAGGGTGAGATGCTGACTGCAGCAGCCAGGTTCATACATTACTACAGCAGAGAGGATTCTGCGCATGCTGTGCGCGAATTGAATGGCAGGAAGCTGTTAGGCCGAGTTGTCAAGGTGTTTCCTTACGTGAGTCTATATCTTGCTGTTCTCAGGATCACGCTGATCGCGATCCGCCTTAGGACCGGCCGTCGAGGTTGGAGACTCGACCACGTAATGCAAGATCCCGTTCGCCTCGGCGTCGCTATTCTCAAGAAGAAGCCGTTGGCTACGGCAAACATGTTCGCGATGACCGCCTTAATCGGCTAGCAGATGATCCTGCAGGCCGCGCGGCTAGCCGCAGTGACTACTCAGACATAGGGTATGGTCGACGCGGTCGTACAACCCAAGATACCATCCCCAAGTTCAACTTAGAGGAAGGCGAATATGACGAGCGCTCAAGCCATCCATGGACGGAGCCGAACGAGTCCACGGCTTCCCTGCTGTACGACATTCCCTGATGGTCGTATCAGCTTCAAGTAAGCCTGCCTTTGTCCATCTTGCTGCCTTGTTAATCCTGTCACACCAGTTATTGCTGCTGTGAAGGGTTTCCCGTTCGCTTACCTGTTTCATGGCTAAGAGTGAGGAGACTTTTTTTGCAAGATACATGGCGAAGGTTTATCATTTGCAACTAAACGAGCCTGTCTTGTAGATGTAACAAGATGTTCCAGTAGAATCGCAGAGTGTTCGAACCACGTAGTCTCATAATGCACGCCGCATATCATCTCCTCTTGTGATTGTAGAACTCCAAGAACGCAGCTTTATCCTCCCAGCCCAAGCCTATTCTCTTCATCTTACCTATTTGTGCGATCAGGGATGCGCATACCTCCGTCAGCTCATCCTCTACCTTGTTTCCCGTGAGGAAGTCGCTGGCCAGAAATGAGCGTGAACTTGGAGATTCAGAAGGTGTAAGAAGGCGGATCGACATAGTGTGCGGTACGAGTGATGTCGAAAGCGAGAATAGTTGCGGTAAAGGATTCATCTTGGCAGATGGGATTGGATGGCTCAGTGTGGGACAGAAGATTGTCGGAGGGTCGTAGCTAGCAGTAGAAGAGGATGAATGGTCGGCACCTTAAGTCCACATTGCAGTTTGCAAGAAGATACTCACCGCACACACATGACGAAGACTTTGAATGCCGTCACGGGCAGCTGCGCGTCGGGGAAAAGCTCTGCAAACCTCAGCAAGCCTCTACCGTTGCTCGTAGTGCATTCAGGGAAGACGACAATGGGCCTGTCCGCTTGACTCCTGATTTGTTCCAAAGTCTGGAACTCCGGAGTTGCCGACGCAGTCGAAGGAACGTTCCCTGTCGCACGTAGTATTGACAGAAGCGAGGCGCGGCGGAACCCAACAAAGGGCACCCGTTGAATCGGCGCACGAGCAGAAGGTGATGATATTGCCGCCGATCCTGTTCCCGTCCTACGTCCTGGTGTACGTGAGATCGGAGATGCAGGCTGTGAAGTTGATTTGGAGAACTCGGTGGAGGAACAAATCGGGAGCAAAAAAATCGGGTTGACTCTGTTTCAATTGTTAGTATATATTCACAAGAAGGTGAATGTAAGGACACACCGGAAGGCCAACCATAGGAGCTCGATAGTAGAAACCCAGTTACTGATGATGATATCACCTGCTGCCGGGCTCCATTTCTCAGTAACCTTTGCTCCCCTACTGCTGACGGATCGATTAGTTTGCGAACATATGTTGTATGTGTAGTCGTTCACCCTCGTTTCCGTGTCACTATCTTCACTGGGATCCATAGCAAACCAAGTGCGAGCAAGACGAGGCGCGCAATGGCAGCGGTGAACGCATGCGATACGATGCGATGAAAAGATGGAACTGGTTTCTGTGATGGTCAAATCAGCGCGCTGGCATGGCGAATAGAATCAGAGGCTCACAAGCAAGGTGCAGACGCCTGCGACCAGTATGACGTACAGAATGCCAAGTGCGATGACCACAGCCGTCCGAATTGCTCCTGCGACATATCCGAAAGGTAGCGCGATGTTCGCAAGCAGCTCAGAGTCTGTCGGTGGGACCGGTCGAAGAAAAGGCTGACAACGTATTGAAGTCGGAAGGCCCAGCAAAACTGAATGGGACGTACTTGGATGCCAGTGCCGGGATCCTTTCGTGATTGCGTGTGAGATTCGCCGCGTGTACGTGCACAGAATGTAACGCACCCGAAACGCTGAGAACTTCTCCATCTCTCCTTCTTCCGGAGGCCGCTTGTGAAGGCCTGAGGCACTCCGAATACTGCTGGCCGCTAAATGGCCTGGTTCACACGAACTCCTGCACCATTCGGAGTTGCCCCAGAGGTGATAAGCGCCTGTGACCGACTCTGATCCCACCTGCGGTCTATATACACACACGTTGTATCCGAACCCTTATTCGCTTGCAGTATTGCACCTTGCTCTACGTGACAGAGAGTGAGTACCAGCACGAAGACAGAATGAGCGGCCTATACGCTACGTCCAAGCACTATTTTGTCGCCGTCTACAGGCGGTACCAGAAGCTTCATACCCATGGCAAGGCTAGTCTCCCCACATCATTCGAATTGCCTTACTGTAGTGTTGATATGTCGCTCTGCCTAGCTAGCTCTTCTTACTTGCTACCGCATGTCTCTACACGACTCTGGCTTGTGTCGTCATATTCGTGGGCGCGAGCCGCATAGGCCAGATTCTGTATGACCTCGCGCAGGACATCAGCCATCGTCCGTATGGCTGGCTGCTACTGGGAGGCGTGATAGGTATGTTGCAGTGTGCCGATTGTTCTGTTAGTATCATGCAGTAACATTCGCCGCTATTTGTACCAGTGTTCGTATCCTTCCCACCCTGTATTGGGCACACCACGCTCGTCACTTTGTGTGGATATGCATATGGCATGAAAGGTTTCCTCATTGCTGCAGGTGCCTCGGTGCTAGGCTCCGCAGCAGCTTTCGTCATACTGCGCATGCTATTCAGCGAGCGACTTCGGCGGTGGTCATCCTCGAACGAGAAGTGGCAAGCACTGGAGACAGTCGTGGTATGTTACAATTCACAATCCTCCGCAGGTCGTTGGCGAGCTCTGTATAGGCTTCGAAGGGCCTTCCTTTAATTGTGCTTGTTCGGGCATCGCCGTTTCCTCCATGGGTATATTCAAACACACTGTTTGCCGTAAGTGCTCCCGCACGATCCGAACTTGTTGTTCAGTAGTTCTCAATGAGCTCGCTGGCTAGTCTGTCGAGGCAGTGTCCCTGTGGCAGTTTGTCCTCGCTACATTTGTGGTTTTCCCCAAGATAGCGCTTCTCGTCTTCGTCGGATCCCGTCTTGCCCCTCTATCCGATGGCGAGCAACGAAGCCATATGGATACTTGTACGTGTTTCATCGAATGTGCATTCTTAAATTGACATTGTGTGTGTCTCGTTAGCCACAAAGATACTGAATGCGAGCATCTCCATCGGTGGAATACTTGTCACTATCATAGCCGGTTGGTACGTAATGTGGATCAGTACCATTGTCGTGCGCTTTCGTGACATCTTGCCGTAGGGTCATCTATCGGGCAATGCAGGCAGAGATTCGTCGGCTGCAGGGCGTGCCGCCCGAGGTGGATGAGATGGTCGTGGAGGCCGAAGAGGAGGCCGAAGAGGGAGCCGAAGAGGGAGCACCACTACTCGGAAGCTATCAAGAACCATCTCTTCCATCCGCTTGACGTGCTTTCTGCACGCTCATGAGCATGCGGCATCAGTAGATTGACGAACGGCATAACGATAGCAAGATAGATTGCATGCCAGTATCAATGTGCGAATATGTAAATCTACGGAAGTGTGTATATATGCATGACACATCACATGAAAGCTCGATTTTCAGTAATAGTGCAAGAACAATAACGATAGACTAGCACCAATGAGAAAGAGAAGAATCCATTTCCTGCTATCTCGCGCTCTGCGCTTCGCCTCCTTCAGCTGTACATTCCCCTTCTCCACAGTCGCTGCCGTTGTTATAGCATCTTCGTATAGCTGCTCAGTTTGTTCCGTCTGCCTTGTCAGATGGGTGACAAGCTCCATTTGGAGGGCATTAATTTCCATGAGCCGTGATTCCGCCTGCTGTACGGAGGCTAGGGTATCTTGCACCGATTGGAGAATGTTGGCATTCTCCGTCTCGAATTGCATAATCTGAGACGCGGTCAACTCTATTTCCTCATCGTCCGTCTCTTCCAGCTCCTCATCGGGTATCGGGGCGGGTTTCAGTGTGGAAGTAGAGCTCGCAGTATCGTTCGACTGGGAGCCGATTGTCGCGGCGAAGCTCGATGCGAAATTCGACGCGCCTCCGAGCCAGCTTCCACTCGAGGAAGATCCAGCTGGCGACGGCAAGGACTCGGAGAGGTCCATGTACATTGCTTCGCGAGCAGCGCCCGACCCAAGCGTACGCGTCCTTTCCAACTGCCGCTTCATCCGCTCCTCTTGCATCTCCTTCAGCATCTGACTGGCATCCGTCAGTCTCCGGCTGAGATACCATGTGATGCTCGCATGGTGGGCCGCGATGAAGTCTGATGCCGCCGTCGATTCGTCCTGCCGTAGTCGTGCGGGCAGTAGCCTAATGAGAGGATTTCGGCGGCTTGCTGCCAGCTCTGTGCGCCCTGTATGACAGGAGGCGGGAAGTTGCGGAAAGCATCACAATATATGTGTGAGCAACCCTCACGTTTTTCCACAGCCTCCAATTCTTTCACGCGCTCTGAGCAGCGGAAGAGAATGACTCTGGCTTGCAGGTCTATTTGGTCTCTCTCCTCATTATTGAGATGGCGAACGTTGGCCCATGATTGGTCCGACGCTCCTAGATCTATATTCCGGGAGCTTTGCCGCGACAGCGGGGAATGGCGCGAGCCTACATTCAAGTACGCTTTCCGGATCGAGGAAAGCATCCGGGTCAACGTAGTGATGTGGTTGAGCTATTTCATGATATCAGACAACGTAATAGGAGCTCTAGCTCTACGCCACATACGACAGCATATGCGTCGGTCAAGTATTCTTTTCCGAAGAGATCATGTCCTTCGCGTTGCCCATCTGCTGCAACGCGTCGTGGCGGGGTCGTGCGTCGCTTCGCTTCGGGCAACGCAGCCTGCTTCTCTTTCAGGACTTCGCGGAATTCGGAAGTGCGTAGTGTCGCTGGCATCTGAGAAGGAATGACTGGCGTGATTAGCGTAGATGAGAAAGAGCGGCTGCTGATCAGACGTACTCTGGGTGTGGACGGTGGCTGCGACTCACGCATCACTCAACGCGATCGGCCGCACGTGGCAAACTAGGCGCCGCATACATAAGAGGCTGTGTTCTTTTCCCACTCGACATTCGTTCCCCACAATGTTGTCTTTATGCCTCCTCGAGATGCCTGTGACGGCACACCTTGACTAGAGGCCTGATCGTTGTGGGATACTGATGATGTCCTTGTTTGAGGCGGGCAGTGTTTTCCCTCACCATCGCTTGCCATAGTTTGCGACGTACAATTTCTTACACATCTCACTCTGTTTCGTCGCCGGCCCAGTGGCCTTTGAATGCCATTTGTCATCTGACTGTCTGCTATTGTTGGATAATGGATAGTTATGCTGTGATGAAATACAAGCTCTGGTATCATACATCCTCAGAACTGCTGTCTCAGGTAAATGGCAGATAACCGTATGAAAGCCCACACGAGTCCAACGGCACAATACACACTAGTCAGCATCAGCGGTAAGAACTCGAGCGCTGCTACACCCTCTGCCGTCGTACTTGAATCCTGTGACGGGGACTCCTTGGATGGCCTGCGCGCGAAAACTGGGAAGAGTGTAACGAAGAGCTGCAGAAGCGGAAAACCAGCAAGATAGGCCTTTTCGAGACTATCAATGATAACAAAGGTCAGAGAGAGAGGAAACCTAGCGGGGTGATTGAGAAACGTGAGAAAGTGGGAGATTGATGCGGAAAGAAGGTACTTACTCATACACCCGGCGGTGAAGAGGCACAAAGACCATAATAGCCCATAGAACAGAGTATACCACTTTGACGAGTGTCTCTGCAGTACGAAACTAGGTGATCTATGTCATGAATAACATGGAACGACTCACCTGCTGGTGTGAACAACAGCGGAAACAGGGAGAAGATACCCGCAACAGAAGCGAGCATGAACGTTCGGAAGTAGGCATGGTTCTCAGCTGCCAGCAAGCTGATATGTCGTGTCGAGAACGTTCAGCACTGCAATGCCATTTCCGAAGGTCGTGACACACCTGAGGGGCACGAGCACCAGCAATATGGCCTTCTCATGCACATGCCAGCCGAACATGAAAGACGTATATCCACAGAGCGTAAGCGCGACCAAGAAGGATTTGTACGTGGGTGTTCGCCAGAGTTTGACGAGATATATCTATATCACGGCATGAGGATCACGGAGCACTGCATCGTCAAACACACACTCACAGCTTGGAAGGCGATGGTAATAATGAAAGTGTGTATTGGCTTGACATTCGGTAGGACAGCGAAAACGGTGTCTCCGACAAGGCCGCGGGAGGTTGATGCAACACCCGATGCATTGACGAGAACGGACTGAAGCTGACTATGCTTAACGACTACAGAAGCATCATCAGCATGCCACGAATCGTATGCCTAACACAAGACGTACATCTCAACAAAACTCTGTCAGTGGCTGTCACAAGTGCCCAGACGTTTGGTGCCCAGTATGCATGATTTAATCCTCGCGTGAAGGGAAAGAGCCGGCTGAGCAACTGGGGTAGTTGACCCATCAGGAGAAATGGTCCAATTGATACCAAGAAGACGAGGATGACTGCATTTGCGAGAGAAATGAAGCGCACGGGAAGAAGCTCGCCTGAGGGGGAGAGACAAAACGAGCGGAGAAGGTAAATGAAATATGCCGGCTATCGGAGGAGGGATGAGCTATGATATTGACTAGAAGATGCACGTAATCCCGAATACCCACCGCCAAGTACATGTAGATATGCTTGAAGTTCAGGAGGATGGCAAAGAGAAGTCCGCTTGCCAGTTTGTTGTCCTGGTGATACTAGGAATTGAGAAAATCACGAAAACGGCACCGAGTCTGTGATCACTCACGTTGCGAGCCATGAGGATCGACCACAGCAGTATTCCAAACATGAAACCGTTGTACTGAAAGTGTATATGGTCGACAATAAGGAACCCCGGATGAAGGAACAATGACGCAGAAATAATTCTTTGAGTGGAAGGATCCACTGCGCCTCGGATAAATCTATGCCAGCGTCAGCAATGTACCTAGATGAGGGTCACAAGCGATGGCAACCTAAGAAGAGCAGCGCCCATCACCAGTTCCGTCAGGATAACGGTCGTGCGCTGATACGCCACGACGGACCACGCATCATAGTTGAGATTGTTGAGGTCGACGATTCGTGGATCGACGAGGTATGCGGGTATAGAGAGGATCTTCTCGAAGTAGGCGAAAAACGGTGGGTAGTCGAGAGCTGATGAGGTGGCAATCAGAGCTGTACAGCACAGATAAAAAATTGCACCGCATACTCCATTCAGAGGTGGTCTGGACGCCATTTCAATATAATATGGCTTTCGTTTAAGAAGCGGACATACATACGTCGTAGTACCACTTGGAGATGGGGAGGGTGTGTGTGATGGCCAGCCAGTTTCTATGGACCTCAAAGTCTGTTGAGCGACTTCAGTCATACTTGCACTCAGTACGCAGTTCATTTTGCGTGAGACCAGAGAACAATACATACTAAGCGGGGAAGAGTAGGAGCTTCAGACACGTCGATGCAATTAGGATATCCCACTCAGAGGAGTCGAGGTGAAGCCGAGGAAGCCACCGTGTCTCCTTCACATCAGCCTTGCTCTCCTCCTGTTCAGGAATGGGTTCCGGATGGTTTGGCTCATGCTCAAGGAATGAGCGAGAGATCGGCGAAGGTGTCGTGCCCCGAACACGTTGCATATCGATGCTCGTTCAAAGAACCCGAGAGTGTGCTGTAGATCAGGCCAAGCAGGAAGCAGGGCTGACGGACCGTCTGGATGGGAGAGACCAAGTAGTAGCAGAGCAAGGAGCGCGGATACAGCGTGCGTGCAAGGGGATCTCGCATGTGCCACCGACGCGTCTGACGCACCCCGCATTCAGACCACCCGCCACTACCTATCTCCTGTCATGAGCGAACAAGCGGCTTCCACTCAGATCGCTGACCAGACTGCCAGCCAAAGGTGTGTACGAGCGGCTGACCTTTCAGCTCAATCAGCTCAAGGTGTCCCAACAGCGGCGTCCTTGCGAAACTGCTCATATTCAGCGCTGCTTTAGCAGTTGCTCCCATCGCCTCATACTTCCTCTCCAAGGACTACCTCTGGGACGGTGCGTATGCTCGTACCGTCGAAGTGACGTCGCTGAAATAGTTTGACTTCAGGCAATACAACACTTGCTGCGGTAACCGCCATTGTCACTGCAAATGTTGTGCTGGTGGCTTATATCATAATGTCCGTTCGCGAGGAGCGACAAGCCACCCTTGTCTCGCCATCGCCACCAGCGCCACTACCAGTCGAGTCAAAGAAAGAACGGTAGGCACGCCAGTCCTCATTAATTGTGTGACCGAGGCTGCCGCTACAATGCCAACGGCAAAGCTCCATGACTTTATAAAAGGACAAACTATATTTGTCATCGTACTCATCCTACTCAAAGAAAGTATCCCCGAACAGTATGCCAATCCTTGTACGATATTGAACACAAATAGTATGTATTACAAATATAATTACATTGTGAGGGTGTGCATAATGATAACAGATCTAAGAGATGACACGGTGAAGGTGATACAGTCCTAAGCAGGCATGATAGGGTAGCAGATACGTGCATAAGGGACGGTGGACGATAAAGATGAACCGATCAGAAATCCTCATCGAGCGAGCTATTGGAAGTGGTCAGAGAAATGTTGCGATGCTTGCTAACAGGAGTTATGCTCACAAAGTCTTTCCGGAATTCTCGGACGTCGAGCTCTTCGCCGACGTGTTCACATTCGCCTTCGCGTAGTCGGACACCCGCTTCTCGAAGAAGTTAGTCTTGCCCTGAAGCGAGATCATGTCCATGAAGTCGAAGGGGTTTGTCGCGCCGTACACCTTGGGATCACCGAGAGCGACGAGCAGGCGGTCGGCGACGAACTCGATGTACTGGCACATGAGCTTCGCGTTCATGCCAATGAGCGCGCAAGGAATTGCATCTACAGCGAATGACTGTTAGATCGCCAACACCACGGCAGCGACGACACGCACCAGTCAGAAACTCTTGCTCAATATTAACGGCCTCTATGATAATCTTCTTGATAATGTCAGGGTGCGGGCGCCTCTTGAGGTGGCTGAAGAGGAGGCAGGCGAAGTCGGTGTGCATGCCCTCGTCACGGCTGATGAGCTCGTTCGAAAACGTGAGCCCAGGCATGAGACCGCGCTTTTTGAGCCAGAAGATGGACGCAAATGAGCCAGAGAAGAAGATACCCTCCACTGCTGCGAAAGCGACCAGGCGCTCCGCAAACGACGACCGCTTGTCAGAGATCCAGCGCAACGCCCAATCCGCCTTCTTCTTGATGCAAGGGATGGTCTCGACGGCGTCGAAGAGATGCTCGCGCTGCTGAGGGTCCTTGATGTATGAGTCGATGAGCAGGGAGTATGTCTCGGAGTGGATGTTCTCCATCATGATCTGGAAGCCATAGAAGCAGCGTGCTTCAGCGGCCTGCACCTCGTTCGAAAACCGCTCGACAAGATTCTCGTTGACAATACCATCTGAGGCAGCAAAGAACGCAAGAACGTGCGAGATGAAGTGGCGTTCGTTATCGGTCATGCGATTGTTCCAGTCGTGCTGGTCCTTCGAGAGGTCAATCTCCTCCACCGTCCAGAATGACGCCTCGGCCTTCTTGTACATTTGCCAGATCTACAGGCAATGATAAACAACGAGAAAAACTGATAGATGTGCAATGCTAGCATACCTCATGGTATTGAATAGGGAAGAGGACGAAGCGGCGCTTAGTTTCCATCAACAGAGGTTCCATGTCTACACGGTCATGTGAACCTCAATTGTCGTATCAGGACGCATCGCGAGCCACTCACGTTCTGGGAGATCAACCTGGCCAATCCATCGCTTGCGCAAATCAGAAAGCTCGACGCCCTCGTCTTCTGAGTCACAGTGAGGAGAGTGTGAACGACGAGCATCGTCAATGACCTCTACCGGCGCCTTCTTGCCAGCCTTGGTAGGCGTGTCAAGTGACATAGCATGAACAGCCGCGGCAACCTAACAAAGAAAGGTTAACTGCCCAGGCTTTATGATGTTGAAGCCTGCATCGCATACCTTCTTGCTTGGTGTTGAAGTGGGCGACGCGACGCGCGGGGGAGTGCTCAAGCCAGCAACGGACATCGTAGCTACAGTAGAGGGAGAAGAATGTGGATATAAGAGGAGGTATGCTCGAGGACGCAGTGAAGAACCGCGCTTGAGGCGCTTTTATAGTGTTTGGCTGTTGGCGCGTTGTTTTGCGCATTCAACAAACAACGCGTCGCGACGCGTTTAATTTACTTTTTTTCATGCACGTGATCGTACCCAGGGCTAGAAGCCCCCCGAGCCAGTCATGCGCGGCCGTTCGAGCCCGAATTAGGCAAGTGTTCCAACGCGTGTCACGTGCTCAGGCGCGACCCTCGATTCAATTTTTGGCTGAATGACTGAGCAGGACAGCGCAGCGCTGTCTCCTGTCCAAGACTTCAAGTGCGTTTTTTTTTGTCGTACGACTGCTGCGCGTTGCGGCTCGAATCCGGTTATGCTGAGCTCCTCTCTGACAACATTGAACACTATCACCAAGATGCCTAACGGAGAATTGCAAGAAGGATTATTCAAGCCATCTTCAGAGAGCTCTGTACACTACATGTCACAGCCTAGTGCCTCAAAGAATGTAGATCTTCATACACGCTTCGTGGGGGAAGTGGACCTGCCGGAACGTGAGTCTACTTCCATGAATGATGTGTTTCACATGTAGTCATGTTTCATAGACCAAGAACCTCTGCTCGCGGAGACAAAAAGACGCTTTGTGCTTTTTCCTATCCAGTATCATGAGGTGCGCCTATCCGAGGCAGCGAAGATCGGTGAGCAGCACTCATGCTGAAATTCGGCAGATCTGGCGTATGTACAAGGCGGCGGAAGCTTCCTTCTGGACAGCGGAAGAAATAGACCTCTCGCACGATATCGTGGATTGGAATACTCGTCTCAACGATGACGAACGGCACTTCATATCGCATGTACTGGCATTCTTTGCTGGCTCGGATGGTATCGTAAACGAAAACCTCGTAGAACGATTCTCAAATGAGGTACAAGTAGCCGAAGCGCGCTGCTTTTACGGTTTCCAGATAATGATGGAGAACATCCACTCCGAGACGTACTCTCTACTCATTGACACATATATCAAGGACGAGAAGCAGAGAGAACATCTGTTTGACGCAATAGAGACAATCCCATGTATCAAAAAGAAGGCTGACTGGGCGTTACGGTGGATATCTGACAAGCAATCCTCATTTGCGGAGCGACTGGTCGCGTTCGCGGCGGTGGAGGGCGTCTTCTTCTCTGGCTCGTTTGCGTCCATCTTTTGGCTCAAGAAGCGCGGTCTCATGCCTGGGCTCACATTTTCAAACGAATTGATCATCCGTGACGAGGGCATGCACACTGACTTTGCATGTCTCCTGTACCGCCATCTCAAGCGACGGTTACATCCGGACGTCATTCTGAAGATTGTCATGGAGGCGGTAGCCATCGAGAAGGAGTTCCTTACAGGTGACGTGCCTTACGCTGCTCAACTACAATCATAAGTCGCATTGACGCAAGTCGATCAGATGCGCTACCATGCGCACTAATCGGGATGAACTCCAAGCTTATGTGCCAATATATCGAGTTCGTTGCGGATCGGCTTCTTGTCTGCCTTGGAAATGAGAAGCGTTATCGTGTGACGAATCCGTTCGATTTCATGGATATGATCTCGCTCCAGGGCAAGACCAATTTCTTCGAGAAACGGGTGTCCGACTACGCCAAGGCGGGTCTCAACCCTGCCGAACGTTCACAATCAAGCACAGATAATGGACATGGTAACAAATACTTGTATGTCCCGTTGACTTCTCATATCAATCGCCTACTCACAGCCTCCTACAGTTCGTTGGATGAGGATTTTTGAGTGACGATGGCCTAAACTCTTGTAATAACTGGCATCAACCCCACTATAGGTTGAGATTACCCCCACTCTTCGGATCGTACACAGCTCTACACGTCCTGTCAGTATCATTATTCGATGTCATACGCAATGTATCCTCCGCTCCTCGTGTGCTTTTATCCACGCACTTCCATGAAACTTGCACATCATGCTCTGACAGCAGAGATAATATGACTATTCGAACGCCTAGAGCTATATATAAGTACGTATTAGACATTGTATTTACTTCTTCGCAATATGTACCACTGTTCACAATAGAGTCAGCTGGCGAGATCACAATTGAGATAGCATTGAAGGCTATACCATCTTCATCCTCCAGAACGTGTTCAACGCCAACCTTCTGCCCTCTCGTATGTTTTGCACTAGATCCCCACACGATGGCGCTGCGAGGAAGATAAGTCTCCGATCCAAAGGAACGTATGCTATTTCACACACTATTTCATCTGTTTCGCGATTTCCTTGTGTATAGCATTGCAGAAGTCTTCTACCGAGGACTTTCCACGTCTCAGCACGACAGGGGAGCTATAGTCGGGTGGGGCGCCACGAGGCTTGGTGTAGGCGCGGACGAGATCTAACCTCTCCCACATGATATCGAGCAGCTCGTCGATGTTGAGCCATTCCCGAGAAGAAATAGGTACACTGTTAGGAATCTTGTATAGTAGATCAAGTTCTTCGATGGAGATTGCGTCGATCTGGGATGAACGCTCAGCAGCCCGGTCTCGTAGCATCAAGAGCGGTAGTATGCTAACCTTGTTGAGAACCTGATGACGAGGCACGTTGATATTTCAGTGGCAACGAAGCCGCAGTAGAGACACACACATACATAAATAGCAGGAATATATACTCTACGAGATCCATCAGCATTCGCGACAATGTTAGAATGACCGCACCAACCTGTTCCCCTCGATTACGTCTACCAAGTCGTCCGCAGTAGCATTTTGTTGACGTATCGCGATATCAGCATTGCTCAACTTGTATTCGCTCAGAATTGCCTTGATCTCTTCAGGATCGATGTTCGTGAGTGGTACTGTGTTTGTGATGGCAATTCCACCCTTGTCTTTCTTTTTCACCGTGATTGCTGGTGGCTTCTTGTTCAGCCTGATGCCAAACGCTTCCAATTCGGACTCGATGAGCTTCTTGTCTCCAAGTGGCTTGAGCACGTCCAGGACGATGAAGATGAGATTACACGTGCGTGCGACTGGGTCCAGTCTTCAGATGCAATAGTGTCCAGACTGAAAAATATGCGTACCGGCAATGACTGGTACACGTCAGATGTCTGCGTGTATGAATCGCAAGCTCTGTACGCACCTTGACGACCTCTTCCTCGACCGTCGTTTGCACCTTCGATGATTCCAGCTATATACATGCATCGTGATCGATGTAGAATTTAGGCACAGGTTCCTACTCACGAAGGTCCAGAATCTGTATTGGGGCACCGTGTACCTTGAGCGTACCAGGCACGGTGGTAAGAGTGGTAAAGTCGATCTCCGAAACTTCGGAGTGTGTGCCAGTTAGTTTGGACATCAACGTCGACTTCAAAGCAGTTAGTGTGTCAAGCGTGGTGTAGAATATATGCAATATATACCTTTCCCACCGATGGGAAGCCAACGAATCCCACAGAGGCTATCCCAGTCCTTGCAACATCGAAGCCGATGCCGCCGCCCCCACCTCCGCCACCCTGTGGCCCGAGCAGCTCCCGCCGGAGCTTTGCGAGCTTGGCCTTGAGCTGTCCCAGATGGTAGCTCGTAGCCTTATTCTTTTGCGCTGTGGTCCAGCTGTCAGAAAGACAGACCTCGGGTTAAATGGTGCGTCAAGACGTACTCCTGGCCTAGAAGGATTATGCTTGAGTGCATTGTTCAGAGATCGGGCACAAGCACTCACCATCTCATCTTCGACTTCCTTGAAATTACATAAGGACAATGAGAACCTGCTAGTGCATTGTCCCCTATGGGCTCACCTTGATTTTCTGTACGGTGGTCATGGTGGCTAGTGATGAATGAGGCTTTTGCGGCCGGATTAGGCAGGAGGGTCGACCACATGCATGCTTTGGGCGGCTAACCGTTGTAGCAACTCGCGTTACCCTCGACGAGTTGCCCGCGCGACGCCTTCCCATCCTCGTCTTCCGCTCAGTCTCCGCGACATCTCATTCCTTCGAATCCAGCCGCTCCTTGTTTATCTCGGCGACTGGCTGGTCCGGACGCTGTCTCTCTTACCCAGTCTCTCGTTGCCGATACCTACCCTTCGCCTACACAGCCTGCACTGGGCACGCTCACCGTATAAGCATGTGTGGAGGATCTACTTGGAAGCGAGAGACCGTCCCGGACCATAAGGTGTGCTCCTAAGTTGCTGAAAGTAAACAACCCATCTCAGCATCTGCTCTCCAGTTCGATTTCGTCGATACACGAGATTTCACTGATCACTCATGCGGAATGCGAATGAAGTGAGTATGGTCGTCTTGCGCACGAACAGAGATAGTGGTGGCTGCCCTTTATGACGAGCAACTTCTATGACATTCTTGCTGCGCACCATCTCTCGTTCATCCTGTTTGTTTTCGTGACGGATGCGTTCGTGATGCGTACTGAAACAATCAATGTACAGGTACATGTGGCTCTACATCACAGTGCTCATTTCATTCCTGGTCTACATCTCCGATATCTTCACAGCAGTAACCATGTTAACCTCTGATACATGGTCCAATGAGATCTATAATAGTTGTCCGCCAGACGAAACCAATGGATGTGTATATATTCCGTTCAAAATTGGAAAGTGGTTATTCTTTGGCTGTATTGTTGCATCCTTCGTACTGGTACGTTGCCTTATCTATGCAAGACTCGGCTTCTATTGCTCACGCTGCATAGCTTGCCTACGAAGCGTATAAGGCAAAGAAGATTATCGCGAGTCGTGATATTTCATACGCCTTTACCAATGTGATGGCTAATCACTACTATTCCTTGAGTGGGTGGGTTGGCATCTCTGCTTATCCTTGCTGACATGATGGCATAGGATCATACGACCACTTCTGCTTCTTCAACCACATCAGCAGTTCCACTAAGCGGATGGATGATTTTGCCTTCTTTGTGTTCTTCACTTTCAAGGGTACGTTATATCGACTTGACAACCACGGGTTTCTCTTATGTTCTTCCCTTACAAAAGGCTGGAAGCGCATCATTTTTGCCGAAGGACCACGTCAATCGATCAATGCCCTCACCTTGTATGCTCTCTTTTTGGCCAAGAAGAACAAGGGACAGTGGTACGACGTCTCTAAGTACTTCAGTGGGAATAACTACATCACCACGGCTCTGACGATCTCCACTGCGTTCACTGTGTTCATTTTCGCCCTCTCTTTGCTGATGCTCATCATCGCGGGTATTTGCTATATTCCCTTGTTGGCCTATATTCAGGGCAACCTGAAGGTGAGCGGAGCAAAAGCCAAGCGTGAACCTATTGATTTCTGAATCAACGCTGGTCTGCGCAGGAATATTGCTGTTATAAGGTCGATAAGGTGGGCCACACCTATGGCTCTTCATGAGCGGTCACTGAATGGGTGCGCTGTGTAGCGTATTGCCGAAATCATCAAACGGCGGAACAAGCAGCGCTTGGCTAAGGCTGCGGCTCTTGCGAGGAAAGAAGCTGCTGGAGACTTCTCTCATCTCAAGAACAAGAAGGGAGAGTTCGTTGCTAAGCCTCTGCCTCAACCGACCTTGCCGAACGTATTGCTCGACGATGACGACGATAAAGCATCAGTTCGCGGTCCGGCGCCCAGTATTTACAGCACGCAAAATGACTATTACTATGAGGCGAAGGGTCGCTCGCAGGCCAACGCGGACTACAACCCGGCCGATTATCCCCCCATGCCTGCCTACAACCAGCCTTACTCCCAACAGCCGCAGTACACTGCATCAGTGGGCGCGTTGAACGACGATCACAGCATGTACGAGGACGAATACGGCAGCACGGCACATCTGACGTCGAGCGCTGCACCATTCGCGAGAACGGAACCCACACGATCAAACATGCGCAATCCGTTCAGTCTTTATGGGGATCAGCAGAGCCAGAGCGCAGTGGCTCTAAATGCGGACTACGCTGCTACCCAGCGCCTATCGCATGTGTCGGATGGAATGGGCTACGACCAAATGCAATATGGTCAGCAAGCATCGCATGTGTCAGATGGAATGGCGTACGACCATGCGCACTATGGTCAGCCTACGTCGCAAGCATACGCGTCTCAATATAGCCAGCCGATGTCCCGAGTATCGAACGGGTATGCGCACGATGCAGCCCCGCAATACCAGGCGCAGGCTGGCTATTACCACACTGGAGCTTATGACTATGACGCGGGGCAGGCTCATGCACTATAGTCATCCACAACTTTTTCGATTTTATTTTTTCTTGCATCCGTCATGCTCAGACAATGCAGTTTTTAGTACAGGTCTCAGAACGCCTATCGCTACTTTCTTCCTATTTGTCCCTACAGGAGATCTTGACCATAGTACGCCATGAATATGATTGTACCCATAGGCGCTGAGACATGGACAGCATGTGCTATTTGAGGTACTGTGTCAATCAGATTCGTTGCTGACTTTGGACGGAGGCCTTGCATGCTGTGGTGGTTGAGAACGTCGATCCTCCGTTCTATGAATGGTGACGCGAGAACATCTCCACTGCTCGTGGTCTGATGCAGACTTCTCGAGACGCCATGCAGGAGTTCTTGGAGCCTTTGGATCTGGAGCAGACGGCTTGCGTAAGGGCCCGTAGCGATCGAGAGGCCAAACGACGAAGGATAGCTTGGAGTCGATCAACGCGAGGGGAACCTGTGAAGCCTTTCAGAGATATACTGTAACAAGCGATATAGCATCACTTACAGGTCCGAAGGTGTTGCTATCTTCTGAATGGAAAGGCTCATCACCTGAAAGTCATCGTATGAGATTTTCCACAGCGTGCACAGCACTAAACACGCTCTCCACACCTTCCACCCATACATGCCCCTTCGGTACGCGGACCTCGGCATCGGGATATGGCGGCAGTGTCTTTATCTAGCAGCATGGTGTTCAATGAATCTACATGTCGTTCTAAGGCAATGTTAACTGTACTGTATCGCCCTCCAATGCAACGATCCTCTTCACAATCAGTTTCGAGTCACTTGGTGAGCTTTTCATCCTGGTTATTGCATGAGTCATTTCGATGACAGCAATGAGGCTTACAGCAAAGCAACCACATCTCCTCTGTCAAATTGGTGCTTGATACGTATTGCGAATCGATCAAACACAACAATATCCCGCCACTGCGACCAGTCCGGGTTGAGCGTCGGCTAGCTAACTTCATCGTTATGGTCGATCGTAGCCCACAGCAGAGCAACATCCTGACCTGCATGCTTCTTCCTCTGACGGACTTGACCGTGTAAAAATATTGCGTGAAGATGATTGCGGAGGGCAGCCAGATCAACGCAGAGAGCGTTCGTCTCACGTTACGATGTTCAGCTGCGAATTTGCGCCAGGATTGGCGAAGGCCCGTCTTCCAGACAGACCTCATCATCAATATGAGCGCAGTGTGAGGCTCCGTAGTAGGTCAAGCTAGAGTGGCATGAGTTGGGAGACGCCACGACGCGTCCCTTAAGTATGATCGGCGGGTGGGCATGCGGTGATGGCGATTTGAGCTGTGTCCGTATTTGGCATATCTTCAAGTGGATAACACAGCGTGTATAGCAACATTTCTCCATTGGAAAACAGTAGAGAAACTCTGAAAACATATTAAGCTTCCATTTGGAAAAATGGTGAAGAAATTGAAGCTTCCTCCATCATTAGATTGCTATATATGGGCATATACTATTCAAATATGGAAACTAGTACATAATATCTTTTAGCATTTTTCCAAGGCAGGGCTTTATATTCTTTTACTATATTTTCACGGTTTCTTCAGTGGAAAAATATTGCTATCCATGCTGTGTTACTCCGTGGCCGCAAACAACGTGCAGAGTGTATGAGAACGTTGGATCAAAGTACATGGAAATAGGACAGTGTACAGGCATGTAAAGTAGGCGCACACTTTAAGTCTCGTACGCGAGATATAGTAAAAGGTCAGGTTCAGTCGCCAACTCGGCTCCTAGCCCATTGACGCAGGTCAGAAGTGCACGCCGAGACCCGAGCTTCCGCCATGCTTGCGACTCCTTAATGGGTGTGATTTTAATATTTTTGCATTGGTAGTGAATGCAGATACGAAACGCAGAGCTTACCATTACAGGAACTGTGATCGCTCTCCCATCTCGGACGCCCGTCATTAGATCCACGTTGTTTAAGACAACATCAGGCACATTCGGAACGATGACAGGGTCTGTGTACGAGCAGCATTGTATTAGGCCTTTAACCATTTACAAACCTAGCACGTACCGTCGATATCCGTCGGAGGCTCCTCTAGATGATGCTCGGGGTGAGCGAAGCTGACGTATCGGTAGCTGTCTAATAAAGGCCGACAGGTTTCAAGTGGGAACCATGTATACTCCTCGGGATCGAGCAGGTAAGACGGCGCGTAATCACCCTTGTAGCGCATCTTCTGACATGAGTGGATATAGAAACCTGCTCTTCCGTCAGATATACGACACTAATATGTAGCACGGTGCAAGACTGACCCATGTACAGGTAACGCATATTACCCACGCCAGCATCGTGTATCTCCCTCGCTAAAGTTGCCTCTCGCAGAGCGCTCAGCTGGATAAATAAATGTAAGGTTGGCTACCGCATGACAATGAGGACAATACCTTTCCTAGAGAGAATTTCTCCCATTCCTTTCTATACATAAAATACACGCTAGACACACAATGAGGCAGGATATCGATGACACCCATGGCAATGAGCTCGCCATCCAGCCTATACAGCTGGTGGTAGGACCCATACTCCCCTGGCAGGTGGTCTGGACGTGTCCCAGAGTAATGAATAGGTTCACGCTGAGAATACTGTAAGCTGCATCGTGATGGTCAGCATATTAAGTACCGACGTGGAGCGGTGTTTCCACAAGGAACCGCCTAAAGCTGCTGGGCGCCTTCTCGTCCTCATGATGGATTTCCTTCTGGTAGTTTTGATATAGAGCAAACTTCTCTTCCGTGTAGGAGGAGGGTTCTAGTGTGACCTGTGAAACGCAGATAGATCGACGTTCGCTAACTTCAAACTAAGCACGTCTGGGCTAACAAACCTCGAATTGGTGTTTGGACGTTTCATCAGAGCAAAAGGTACGTTCTGACGAATGAATGGCTTTAGGTAGGAAGAATTTGTCCATTGACTTTCCCTTCTTAGATAGCCTCTGTCTGGAGTTCGCGTTCAGATCCGACTTCCTCTTGGAGACGACATGGTGCGACTCACTGTTGTTCATGATCATCCACCACGTTTCCGTTCATAACGAAACGATTCCAGCTGATGCGGATTTGATGAGCATCACCGTGAACATGCTGTTCAGAGCACGCATTACCGATTCACGAGTTTCCGTTGACTCCGGGACTCTTTGAAAGTAAGGGCGTCAAGCCTGAGCAAACGGTGGTTTAACGAGCATTTAGCCATATAGTTCAGATAAATGTCGAACTTGATAGTGTATGCAGGGCAGCAAGACCGCTTCAGATCTGGCTTGTAACAATATGTGCCAGACCTCCGCCAGCCACGATCGACCATCTTCTGATAGACCTATCATTTGTGCGTCGGACGCGTCCGAATCCGACCTTGTTATAATGCAGCCATGGAGATCGTACCTTGCAAGACATCTGGAGCGGGATACATTCTGCCTGATGCCAGCTGGTCTCCTCTTTGCTTCGTTCGCCCGGTGGTCCGCAATATCCACAGGTAGAGTTACTGGGAGTGAGTGGTGCAATGATAGTCAGGATGGACATGACTCGTATCAAACTACTTCGATAGGCCCGTTCGGTTGCAAGTCGGAAGTGAAAGTGGAAAGTTGCTCAGATGACCAGTAACGACGCAAATGCGGTGGCGCCGTGGCGGTATAGGATGAGAATGCAGTTATGGCGCATTCGATCATCCATGATGCGCCAAAGCTGGCGTGATCGAGATCAATATCAAGTTCAAACGTCCAACGCCGACAATCAAACATAGGACAACAATCCGTTACTTATCCAAACCATAAGCCCGTTGAGATTAACGCATACGTATACAACATAAGTACAAATGGTGGAGACGATGGTAGAATTACAAGTGCATGAGGATATGAGAGATGAAGGGAAGTAGTGTAATGCGCGATAGCCGGAATCATATTGGCCAATGTAGTCCCAGTGTCGTGAGCTCTATCCCCACCCATCCCAACGTCCAAACCGCCTAAATTCCCGCAGCACACATTCACGACTCTCCTTGCCTTCTTTATTCCGTTCGCGGTCTTTACCTTTGTCCAACCGGCCTACAAAAGATGAGCCACTGGACGATCGTGGATGATCCATAGATAATGCCTTGACGCTGGGTGTCGACGCCGAGATTGGTGCTCCAGCGCCAGAACCACTTGTAAAGGGTGGAATTCTCGCAGAAGAGGCGGAGGAACTAGGTAAAGCGAGGCGATACCAACCTCCGGTATATGTCAGTGCAATGAGCTGGTGCTCCATTAGAGGTGCTTGATCCGTGTCTTCCTGTCTGTCTGATGGTGCTTGTATCCACCCAACGACGCATCTCTCCTCATCGACGACATCCGCTGTAGGCGGCCGCGAAGGCGGCGCAGATAATGATATATGTGCAGACTGTGATGGTATCCGATATTGTGCATACGACCACTCGGACTGGAAATAATTAGGGAGTGGCAAGAAAGGCTTCAACGGTGCGAGAGTGGATTGTCGATTCCTTCAGCCATTTTCAGTCCCATCGTTAAAAATATGAAAATTCAAAACTTACGAAGATGCGGAACCTCCGCGTAAGGAGAATACATGGATTGTCCCCTTATCGCTCCAGGCGCATACTTCTTTCTCATCAGGCCGGAACGCGACACCATATATCTCGGCCCTGTCGGTACCTCTTCGGAATTCCCTAACTTGGTGTCCGGATTCAGGGTCCCATATGCGAATTAGAGTGCCTCTAGCGGATGTAGTAGCCAGTAGATGGCCGGATGGTGCTACGGATATCGTGCTAAGCGCAGAATCGTGCGCTACAATGATGGATACTGGGTGTTTTCTGGCTGACGGCGCGGGTGATGCTGGGTGCGCTGAGGACGGTGGACCTAATGGTACAGAAGGAGGACACGGAGGCAGGTGGATAAGTTGCACATGTCCTAATTGCCGACCAGGTACGGCCAGTAGCGTCGAGTGCATAGCAGTGGCGATAGCGAGCAGACCTGCCGAAGATACAGGATGCCGTGTCAGTACCTAGGATGACCGTATAATTGATTACCAAGCTGGCATCTTGGATGTAGATTGCGATAAAGAGCCTCAGAAGAAGATCCCCGACAGGCACACATACCTCTTGGATTGTCATACGTCTCCCATTCCCCAAACCTGGCAACTTTCTCTCCCAGTTGGAAGACGACGATGCGCCTGCGCAGTGCGACCACCAACCAGCCTCGCCTGCATGCCAGCCCTCGCACGCGTTCTGCGAACTCAAGCTCAGCAACCTCCTGCCCGAGGCTATCGTCCCAGAGGATGACCTTGTTCGGTGGATACCGCGGGCTGCGACCTCCTCCGAGGAGGAAGAGAAGGGATGATTCATGGAGTGGGACTACAGCAGCAAGAGTACCCCCTGTGATCTCTGATATGCATTGTATGAGATTCGTCGAGCACACCAGAATGCACGGAAGTAATACCTCGTTTCCGGAGCAACTGCAGAGGCCATGTGCGATAGACCGCGAAGCCTGCTTGAGTCGAAGCGGTGAAGATGTGACAGTCTGCGTCGAATCGGGCATCAAAGATTAGGACTGGTGCTGTAGAGCTGATAGAGTGACGAGCAAGATTCATGAGGAGGTGGTAGAAGGGCAGAAGCGGAGGCCTCTGTGACGGCTCCAGTCAAGGAGGCGCCATGCGCCTCAGGATAACAGGCTGTTGTCGACAGTCACGTTCCAACGAGTGGCCACGTTACGCGCTCGGCAAATACGGCGGCACATGAAGCGAGTTCCATCAAAGCAAGTACTGCAACTTGCGCGAAGTTCATTCCCCCACAATTGAGACATCTATCACATTCAAACGAGAACGTACACGACACTGAATGAGTACATCGAAGTGAATAACTTCAGATACATCGCACATAGATGAGCATGCAATCCAGCTACAAACGCACTGCAGTCCCACAGGAATACACAGTCGACTGGTATAACCTAGCAGGACACCATATCCTCCTGGCCATTTGATACAAAGAGCGTTGTCGTCATTACAAGTCATCATCATCATACGTGCTCCTCCCTCTACGCAGTGGTCAACCTCTGGGGTGAGCAGAGCCAGCGAGGCTTCCCGTGGGATACACTGCAGTGAACGGAGACGACTGGGCATAGCTAGGAGTGTGAGAAGCCGACGCATGGGAACGAGGAATGCTGCTGGGATTCCAGGACTTCGGAGGGCGTAAATCCACGGACGCGAGCTGCTGGCGAGCCGCTCTGAATTCTTGTTCCTCCAAGTGGCTCTGGGCGAGCATAGCAGCTTTCACCTCGGCCTGTCTCTGAAGTTCCGCCTCCGACTCGTCCGATAGGTAGTCAGTGAAACCACCATCAGAAATGACTGTAGACTCTGAGTTGCTGCCACTGCTGCTGCTGGAAGCGCTCGAAATGTTCATTGAGCCTAGCGACTTCTCCAGAGTACCGACACGACGTTGCGGTGGCGGCAGGGCGGTATTCTGCCGTTCGGCGGTACGCGTGGCGGTGACACTCGAAGGAGGCGAATTAGAGCTAGTGCTAGATGTTTGGGCGCGGCGACGTGGGGGCTGGGCGTCGACAGTGACCTTGCTAATAGACATGGAGGGCATGGCAGCGGAGATGGTGGGACGCCTCTCAGTGTTGCGACGGGAGAGAGAACCCCCAAGATCAACGCTTCGGTGTCCCGGGGAATGTTTCTCGGCGTTCGTGGACTCAGAGCGTCTATCATGAGGCTGATCGGTGTTGACGCGGCGCACTGCCTGGAAATGGTCCATCGCCGAGCGGTTGGGCAACGACGAGGCGGTGCCATCGCTATTTCCGCTAGCATTCCGACTGGCGACTCCGGAGAGTGCGGCAGTCGCCTGTTGAGGGCTCCCATTGGAGCGACCACGGGCAGGAATCGACACAGTCGATGATCTGGCGTGGCCCTCCGTTCTGGCGGGAGCTTGAAAGGTAGCCCTGCGCATGATCGACGGGGGCGTTGACTGTCCATTTGTGATGCGCAAGGTTCCCATGGGACTTCCGGACCCACTGCGTCCATTCGTGATGCTGTCGAGGATAGCCTTGACATCGGCTGGGATTGGAATGTGGTGGACGACGCTGACGGTAGGCCAATCCGCAGCACCGATGTACTTGTAGTCCTCTGGCTTGGGAGGCCGGCAGCAGCCTGGCCAACCAGGGTTCTGATACCCAGATTGATTGAGAGGTGGCTTCGCGTTAGCCCACTGTAGCAAAGCTATCCATATCAACACGATCGCAGAGATTCACCGCTGTCGAAATACCTTGCAAAAGCCACATCCGGCGAACGTCGATACTATAACAAAGACATAATCAGATCATACTTTAGGTGGTCGTTGAGATGGACGCTCACCCTCGGCATTTTTCAGATAGACTACATCATGTCTAGGATGCAATGCCCTGTTGCGGCAGACGTCCTTCACATGAGGACATCTGGGGGGAAGAAATAGGCGCTACTGATCTTTAAGAATGGAGAGAAATGCAGTACCTTGTGGCGCCGCCGATCGGCTTGAACACCTTACACATCGGGCAGACTCCAGTAGCCTGCTCGAGAGAGCCGTATGCATAGCACATAGTGCGACAGAGCGACGCAAATGGGCAAGAGGATGAGGAGAGTCGGGCCCGAACAAGACAGGTGCTATAAGAGGGCTTTAAGGGAGTTCGGCTGAGAAAGAACTGAAGAAGGCATTTTGCATGTGGTTCCTTTTCACGTCGCTCTGATCAAGTCCAATTTGGCGGATCATAGTACGCGACCAAGCGGGCAGCGGCGAGGGCAAAGCGGGTCGGACTGCTATGCGATAGACTGCAGCTAGCGATCATGGTGGTTCTGCGCAACCTTTGGCTCACAAGTGCTTCGTTTCCGTGCCCTCGCTGCCTCATGGCTGCATCGTGGACAGAGGCAGCACGGATCAGTTAAGTCTTATCGACCAGATAAGTCTCTAATTTGGGGATGTCTGAGTGAATAACCCTCAAATAACCCTGTTCGGAAGCATTTGATCGTCGATGGGTCGAGGCCTGCACTGGTCTGCACTGCCGCAAGCTGTGCTGCCTACACCGTCGCTTTGGTCGCTACCGCTCGCAGCGGGCAACGCACATCACCATGGGCAAGTCGCAAAGCAAACTATCTCCCGAACAGCTAGCCGACCTACAGAAACACACCTACTGTGCGTGGTCTCCTACCGTGCGCCACATTCAGGAACGCTGACGGATATTCGTTCATAGTCGACAAGCGTGAGCTGCAGCAATGGTCTGTGTTGTTCACCTCGTACTGCAACCTTGTCGCTGAATTGGGGCTTTCTTTGCCTCCACAGGTACAAGGGCTTCTTGAAGGATTGTCCGTCGGGTCAGTTAGATAAAGCGGAGTTCGGCCGGATTTACAAGCAATTCTTCCCGTTCGGCGATCCTGGCGAGTTCGCCGAATATGTTTTCAATGTCTTCGATGAGAACAAGAACGGCACAATCGATTTTAAGGAGTTCATTTGTGCTCTCAGTGTCACGAGTAGAGGCAGGTTGGACGAGAAGCTGAGATGTGAGTCGTTATTGCGTTGCACCGTCGACTATGTGGCGGCTCGTAAACTGAATGCGGTGCCATAGGGGCGTTCCAGCTGTACGATATTGACGGAGACGGATTCATCACATACCAAGAGATGCTTCAGATTGTTCGATCAATATACAAGATGACTGGACAAATGGTCAAGCTCCCTGCTGACGAGGACACACCCGAGAAGGTGAGCATGCGTTGCGAGCTGTCACATCATGATTCATTGATCTCGCTCGCAGCGAGTTGATAAGATTTTTAGAAACATGGACCGTAACAAGGATGCTAAGTTGACGTATGAAGAGTTTGTCGAAGGGAGTAAACAAGACCCGACAATCGTACAGGTGCGTGCCGTGACGTTGATCTATGCGTTTTCGTGTACCCTTAATCGCGCAACTAGGCCCTATCATTATATGATGGTCTGGTATAGCGTTTTTCAGTGCAACTTACACCGCGGCAGACTAGCCTCCGACAACTGAAGGACACCTGCACCACACTTGTTACTCAGCCTTCATGTCAAGCGCAATTAGAACCCCGTATTGCATCACATTTTTGGCCTTCATGGCCTGCTACAAACCTGCTGTCTGGACAATGGTGATAATCGAACTGTAATAATAAACTGTATTCTCGCTTTGTTACGTAGACAACATTGTATCTGTACTATGGGTCATATCTGCGGAAGAGCTCATCTCCATACATCGGGTAGACGTCGGTATAAAATTTAGATATTCGCGTAATCGGCAGGTAAACGGCCGTACTTCTTCAGAATGGTGCTTTCTACATCTTTGCCGACCCAAGAGTACAAGCCTTCCGCAAACTCGAGGTTGTCGCGCTCCGCCTTGAACAACTTGTTGTAATCCTGGGCTTGTGGGCCTTGAGGGGCTGTGACGGCGGCAGCAAATGGTGTCGTCATATCTCGCGAGGAGTCGGCAGCTGGGGTAGGGGGAACAAGGACAAGGGATATCACGTCAGCGCCGAGGGAGGATGGAGCAGAATGAAGGCTACGCACAATTGTCATTTCCAAGAATCAGTCGGTAAAGGCCATTCAGGCCGAAGAAGTTGAGGAAATACCACGAGAGAGACGAAACCCAGCGAACGTCCATATCTGGAGTTTCGATCCCTCGCTGAAGCATCGACTTGAACCCAAGGGTCAAGGGGAATGGCAATTTTACTGAGTCACCAATCAATATGTGATGTAATCACGAGTGATAAAAGGGGCTCACTTAGCACGAATCCTTGGAAGAAGAAATTGATCCAGCCCATAATAATCATTTGTGGAACCATCATCACCATCTGAGTCTTCATGCCCGCCATCATCCCGTCCATCTGGCCGGGGTCGGTGAGGGGATTGGGAGGTGCCGATGGCGTGTCGCCCTGAGGCGGGCCGTCCTTCAAATATATTCCATCCAGAAATGCTTGTGACAGATGTCGCGAAATGGCTTCATAGTACGTTGGAGGTATTGGGGAATTAGCAGATGATGAGCGCAGAATCTGCGAGCGCATCAAGGCCCGCCTGGCGAGATACTAAGAACTGACGACAAAAGAGCAATGCAGGATACTCACTGCTCACGAATCGCTGCTCGCGGGAGCTTTTTCGGATGCGACTGGAGAAGCAAGACAACATAGTGCCGCAGGATGCCCACCAAAATCTGGACGTATACAATCGGCTTGTTCAGGCATGTTGCAACGCGAACAGAACACATGCTGCTCACCATGACCACGGTGATTGGGAACAGCACCCAGTCACGAATTTGGGGGTCAAGGTACAGAGAAACCCTGTAGAAGTAATTTTCTGTCAAACGATCCTTGAGGAACTCATTAAGACGTATAAAACATACGCAGAACTCGACATCTTGTTGAAATGCTGGTCGTAGCCAGCAAGCAGCATGATCGACAAGCGCCGCGCGATCATGAACGGGCGTCTAATGACGCGCCTAGCTATAGCACGCGACTTGCTCAGCTCGGTGCCGCACCTTTGCATGGGTCATCCTGCTCCCGCTCATCTTTCTCATTCACCACTGCCCGCTCGACCCCACTGGCTACCGCAGTTGCAATGAACATGTCCGGCCTTGCCGAGCATCTGCAATACTTGACTGCTTCACGGGAAGAATCAGCCGATCGCGACAGACGCGTTGTTGATGAGTGGGCGAGGTCCGTCTCGCACAATATCCTTTTTCACGCGTGTTCGCATTGCTGACTGCTTTTTACAGCTACAGATCCAATATTAAAGGTACTGAAAAGGCTCGTGATGATTCTAGCTGTCTCTAAGAGGATCGTTATGCAGATGTGAGCCAATATCCTGATGAAGGCCCAGAGGAAGAAGAGGCTTGGGATAGCGTCCTTGCAGTGTACGAGGGCGAGGAAGCATCCAAGGAGCGGAGCACCTCTTCCATACTATCCAAACTCCTGTCGTGTGTAAATGTCTTAGTTCAACCGACCTGTTCTGTAAATCCATCCTCTCTTCTTTCTAGAAAGCCGAATATGGAGCCATTGCTCGAATCTATCCTCTCAATATTGGATTCATCTCGCGCTGATGATGATATCTCTGCCGATCTAGCAGAAATGGTTGGATTTGACAATATTGGGCTAGTGATGGACATATTAGGAGCCCGATCTGCCGTAGTCCAGCAGGTGCGTCCGTTCTGATGGTAGCATCCTCATGCCATTCATATCCTTGCCAACAGCTTACTGAGTTCTTGCGTGGAAAATCAACCGGCACTGCAGCGCCGCAATCCGATAACAGACATGCTGCAAACCGAAATAGTAAGGCATCACCATGCAGCCTGATAGCTTTCTGAGTGCGCCTGCAGAATTCCAGAAAGTGAGTCTTGACTCGGAAGATGCGAGAAGACGTATGGAAGAGGTTTTCCGTGCAAATGAAGCTCGTCCCCTATTCTCCGGCGTCGCAGTAAGCTTATTTTTGGATCTGCGGCTTAGTTTATGAACACTAGACCATTAGCACGAAGCCCGTGAAATCTTGCCCAACGTGTATACATCTGCTTCTCTGGTGCAGGAAAACTATCTGTCACAGTTCGGAAGCCATTACGTCCTTCCATTTGGTACTACTCGATACACCTACGAGGTGGGACACATACCGCTGTACTCCATCAGGATTGCTAACTGGTCATAGACCTTTGAAGAAGTAGTTATACCTCCTGCAAAGACCGTCCCTCCACGGGCAACGGAACGTCTGATTCCTGTGTCCGAATTGGATCCCCTGGCTAAAGGCTCCTTCCCTGTAGGACATTGTTTTTTTTTAATCCAGCCGCGGACAGCATTGAAACGTCCCGACTAGGGCTATTCATCGTTGAACAGGATTCAATCCATTGTGTACCCTATAGCATATCAATCAAATGAGAATATACTTGTATGCGGTTAGTCTCTGGCTGTCTGCTTTGCTTCTTGATCGCTGATGACAATTCCCAGCTCCCACCGGTGCTGTCAGCATCTCACATCTTACGCTGACGAGCCTTGCTAATATCTGATATGCAGGGTAAAACAGACGTAGCTATGCTTACGATCCTCCGCGTTCTGGATCAATACCGATCGCAGCCTTCGAATTCGCTACCACTCGCTGCGGCAATTGACAAGAATAAGTTCAAAATCATCTACGTGTAAGCAGCCAGGTTGTAGTCTATATTTATGGTGCTGACGGGCTCATTAGTGCACCGATGAAGGCATTGGCATCTGAGATAGTCCGTAAACTCGGCAAGCGACTCCAATGGCTGTCCATCCATGTACGGGAACTCACCGGTAAGAACCATAAACCCATCATGCATACACTATAGTCATGCGTACCGTAGGTGACATGCAATTGACCAAGGCCGAAATCGCCGATACACAAATAATCGTGACGACACCTGAGAAGTGGGACGTGGTCACTCGGAAGCCGACGGGAGAGGGGGAACTTGCATCGGTGAGTATGCATTGTGCGCGTTCGACACATCGTGACTTCTCATGTTACTGCAGACAGTCAAATTGCTCATCATCGATGAAGTGCATCTTCTGAATGACGAACGAGGCGCTGTCATTGAGACAATTGTGGCTCGTACTCTTCGCCAGGTGAGTTAGTTTGTGCATGGAGTATAGAAATATGTCTCAATGGGCTTTAGGTAGAATCAACGCAATCTGTCATCCGCATTGTAGGGCTTAGTGCGACTCTGCCGAACTACCTGGACGTTGCCGAATTTCTCAGGTGCGTTGCTTCTACTTCACCACTGCAGGAGCTCACACCCGTTGGTGCCAGAGTGAATCGTTATATTGGGTTGTTCTTCTTTGATTCATCTTTCAGGCCTGTTCCTCTTGAACAGCATTTTATCGGCGTCAAAGGGAAGCCTAATAGACCTCAATCCCGGAAGAACCTTGATCGCGTCACCTTTGAGAAGGTGGCCGAACTTGTTCGAGAGGGTCATCAAGTGATGGTCTTCGTTCACGCAAGAAAAGAGACCGTCAAGACAGCTTTGGCTCTCAGGGAAGCTGCATTGGCAGATGGTATATTGGACGAATTCAGCTGCGAGGATCATCCTTCCTTTGGCTTTTTTCGTCGTGACATATCGCAGTCGCGGAATAAAGAGATGAAAGAACTCTTTGACAGTGGCTTTGGTATCCACCATGCTGGAATGCTGCGGCCCGACCGGAATATGATGGAGCGCATGTTCGGAGAGCGAGCAATCAAGGTCATTGGCACATGCTCTTATACGAGAGTATTTCTCATCTGTCTCCTAGGCTTTATGCTGTACTGCCACGTTAGCCTGGGGAGTGAACCTGCCTGCGCACGCAGGTCAGTCATTTGACACAGCGCCGTTGACATCTCGTGCCGACTGAAATATCGCACAGTAATTATCAAAGGCACACAAATCTACGATAGTGCGAAGGGCTCATTTGTTGATCTCTCCGTGTTGGATGTGCTCCAAGTCTTCGGACGAGCAGGCCGCCCGGGAATGGAAAGCAGAGGCATCGGTTTCATCTGCACTAGCGAGGACAAGCTGACACATTATCTCGACGCGGTCACTTCTCAGGTGAGCGGCAAATGTACTTCTCAAAAATAAATAGCGCTAACGGTTGACAACTGCAGAATCCTATTGAGTCCAGGTATGTTCGGTGTTTGCTGATCATTCCACCGGTATCACGTGTTCTGCAAACTGCAGGTTCGTTGCAGGCATGATAGACGCCCTCAACGCGGAAATATCTTTGGGTACTGTCGCTAATGTGGGCGATGCAATGCAATGGCTTAGCTACACGTACCTGTACGTTCGAATGCGCAGGAACCCACTCCAATATGGTATGTACGTTCTTACTTTTATGGTGCCGCTAGTGTTTTGCACCTAACCACTTGGCAGGCATGACTCACAATCAAGTCGTAGAGGACCGGTTTCTCGTTGGCAAGCGAAATCAACTAGTTTTGGAGGCTGCGACTAGGCTTGCGAAGGCTGGTATGATCACATATGACAAGGACGACTTTGCGATCACCGATCTTGGTCGGATCGCGGCGAAGTACTACATTCGACACGCCTCCATCGAGATATTCAATGAGAAGTTCAAACAGAAGATGACCGAAGCGGACGCTCTCGCGGTACTCAGCATGAGTACGGAAGTAGGTTGCGTCTCCTTTGGCTGCATCTTTTGTGCTAACGTTGTGCTTAGTTCGACCAAATACAAGTGCGAGAAAATGAGGTGAAGGAATTGGAGAACATGATGGATCACATTCCATGTGATGTGAAGGCACAAAAAGTGAGTGCAAGTAACGTTTTTATTTGTACATACTGTTGACTATAGCAGGGCAAGTCGATGACCAACCAAGACAAGGTGAACATCCTATTGCAAGGTTACGTCTCTCAGTTGCGCCCGGAAGACTTCGCACTTGTGTCCGATCAAGCATACGCGGCCCAAAACGGAGGACGCATCGTGCGAGCGTTATTAGAGATAGCAATCAGTCGACAGTGGGCAAATGCCAGCGCTGTTCTCATGGGATTGAGTAAAGCAATCGAGAAGCGGTTATGGCCCTTCGACCAGCCTCTTAAGCAGTTCAATTTGAAGCAGGAAGTGCTGCACAATCTGGAGAGATGGGCTGATGACTATTCCGTGGCGGAGCTGGCCTCGATGACTGCCGCTGAACTCGGCGAACTCGTGCATCTTAACGAGCACCACGGCTCTGCAATTCGCGATGCGGCGAAACAATTCCCTACCGTTGGAATTCATTACAAGTTACGTCCTTTGGGCTCTGACGTTCTCAAGATCGCGGTGCAAGTCAGCCGGGAGTTCAATTGGAGCTCGAAACTTCATGGTTCTGTTGAACCATTCTGGTTATGGGTGGAAGATCATGAAGGAACGACCATCCTGCAGCTCTCACATCTGGTATTTCGACAATCCACTAACGTTTTGGATGTCGACTTCATAATATCTATTCCGAACGGGCGGCCACCTCCGTCAGTGACAATGCGATTCGTATCCGACCGGTGGATAGGTGCTGAGTCTGAATTATCTGTTGCACTTGACCAATTAATCATGCCTGCATCATCCGAATGCCATTCGTCTGTTCTTGATCTTCCATTCCTTCCAATATCGGTCGTGCATCATCCTGAGATTGAGAACGTTCTGTCTCGAACATTGCATTCACTCAACGCTCTTCAAACGCGTGCGTTTTGGAGCCTTGTAAAGACCAAGATGCATGCGCTGCTCTGCGCTCCCACAGGCTCTGGTAAGTCTGTCCTTGGGCAGCTGATGATATGGTAAGATTCTTAAGACCGGTATCTCATTCTTACGCTGACTTTGGTGCTTGAGGGAAACCTTACAAGATTCTTCCAACATTAATTGGCTGCTCGTTGTCACACCGCGACGTAGCATCGCAGCAGAACTTGCTGTGGAAATGCATGTGGCGTCAGCAGTCCTGAACACCTCAGTCGAGATCGTCACGAGCGATACATTATTCAAGCGACCCCATTGTAGAACAATTCGACTGATAACTGGAGCAGAACTCTTGCGCGCAATGTCTCGAAAAGACGGTAGAAAGGATGCTTTATATTCGCTCAAGCTGGTCTTGTGCGAGGACCTAGAACTCTTAGACGCTGCGTACGAACTAGGTGTCTCTCTTCTCATGCATGCGACACAGGCTTTACCGGTGCGCTTTGTTGGACTATCCAGCTCACTCGACGATTCAGCCGACCTCGCAGCATGGCTCGGCGTCGACCCCTTGGCCTTGCACAGCTTCCGTCCCGAGGATCGCGATCAATCCTTGAGCGTACACGCGCAGACATTCACTATTCCTCACTCCGCTGCATTGTTCAAGGCGATGGCAAAGCCTGCCCATTTAGCCATAGGAGCAGTCCCTGGAGACTCTGCCATTGTTTTCGTCCCGTCGCAGAGCCAGTGCAGATCTGTCGCACTGGATCTGATCACACAGCGCGCTCTTGCGTTGGAGACTTCCAGGGGATATCTCCCTGCCGAAGTCGAAATGGTTCAACTAACGCACCGTCTTTCACGACTTAAAGACGGGGCTTTAGCTGACTTCATCAATCAAGGCGTCGGATTCTTCCATGATGGCATCCACAAGGCGGATCGCAAGTTGATCCTAGAACTCTTCGCGGAAGGGCTTGTCAGGGTGCTTATAGTCCCACGAGATGCGTGCTGGACCTTGCCGGTGCGGGCTGGGACGGTTGTGGTAATGGGCACCCAGTACTTGCACATTTCGGGCGACGAATGTCGATTGCGAGACTATGGACTCGAAGAGCTTGCCTGGATGCAAGGCCGCGCTGTGCGACATAATCGCGCGGGACACTTTCATCTCTTCTGCCACTCGGAGAGCAAGGACACGTTCATTCGCTTCTTGAACCATGGTCTCCCCCTCGAATCGAAACTACTGGAAACCGACGTGCTTTTGAACTGGTACCGCGATCGACGGAAGGATGAGGGTATTGTCAACAAGCAGCAAGCTGTTGACATGTTGTCGTGGACGTTCCTATCGCGTCGACTCACCAGCAATCCGGTATACTACGATTGCACATCCACTTCGGTGAACGAGCTACTGTCGCGATTAGTAGACAACCTGGACGAAGATGTAACTAATGGCTGATGGTGTACACATTGTTGACCTTGCTCAAGCAAATCGCAAATGATATTATATAATGTAGACTTCTACAGCAATTAGGACACGAGGGACCGCATCTACTTCAAGTACTTCCGCAACCCCTGCAGACGCTCGACCGCCCGTTTGAGTGTGTCGACATCCTTGCAGAAGGCGAATCGAGCGTAGTTTTCGCCAATGGAGCAGTGTTCTATACAATAGAACTAAAAATCCAAGGTTAGATGGGCTGTATCTATGCACAGTTGAGTAGCTGACTCACCTCGCTCACGGGTATGGACGATACACCGACCTCCATGGCAATAAACCAACATGCCCTACGATACTGTGAGCATCATGTGCGAGACGATTCAATCACGACAGCTCACTTAAAGTCCCGTCCTCTACCTTGCACGCTCTCGGGGAAGGGATAGTCGTCAGGCCAATGCACCGAAGAGATATCCTGAAGTTGAAGAGAGCGTGAGAATGAAGCCTCCTGAGCACATGACGATAACTTACCAACAATACGAAGTAGCTGCCCTCCGGCAAAGCGTACTTCATTCCCAAGTCGTCGAACACGGCACACAAGGTCGATCGTCGCTCATCGTACTCTTTCACCGTTTGCTCGATATAGTTGCGTTCCTCCACCTGTTCCAGGCCAACCGCCGCAGCCTCTTGCAGCGGAGAGTTCGTGCAGAATACAATGCGGGTAGTGGCCGCCAACGTCGGTCTGATGATAGACTCAGGTCCAATAAGCCAGCCTATCCGCCATCCCGTTGCGGAGAAGAGCTCTGAGAATGGTTGATTGATCAGATGAGGGACTGTCCATCAAGTGCCATGTTGTCAACTCACTGCCCGCCGAGCCGACTGTGACCGTGCGATCCCACATTCCAGGAAGCGTAGCAAAGCGCACGTGTTCGCTGTCATCGAATACCAGGAAGTCATACTGCGCGAGATTGGCAGCGGCGTCAGCACGGTGGCTTGATGCAATCACCACGTGGACCATGACATGCGACGTACCACTTCGTCGGACATCACGAGTAAATTGTGCTGCTCAGCTAGCGCAGCGATTTTCTCGAGCTCCTGCCGGGTGAAGACCTTGCCCACGGGGTTGTGTGGAGTGTTCACGATGATCATCTTCGTGCGCGGGGTGATTGCACGCCTACAGATGTCAATCAGTGAAGGCTCGAGATCAATTCATAGCGTGGAACGTACTCAAGCTCCTCAAAATCGATGATCCAGTCGCCGCTCGTGGCTTTGCCACCGCTCGAACGCGGGTGCAGAGGGACATAGACGGGTTTGCCACCATTGAAGACGACCGATGCGAGATATTGGTCAAAGAACGGCTCAAACATGATGACCTCGTCCCCTGGTTCGAGAAACGCTGTAAACACAGAGTATTGGCCTATATTGACACTTTAGAACGGGTTAACGACCATAGTTCAATAAATATCACCTTCGTTCGCTCCGCTGGTTACGAGGATCTCAGTATCAACGTTTAAATCCCTTCCCAACTGAGGTCCGTAAACTTTCTTGATCGCCTCGCGGAGACGTAGCCTCCCCTTCGGATGAGAATAATGATTCGTGGCAGTCTGGTTGAGGGCAGCCTCAGCAGCTTCCCTCACCCATGCTGGAGGAGGGAAGTTCATGTAGCCCTGTCCTAGATTGAGGCAGTCTGCGGGCAAGTTGGCGGCACTATTCTGACATTGAATCTCCTGCATTCGCTGTAATGGTGATTGTGGGGTACATACTTGAAGATAGACCACACGTCCTCCGCTAGCGCGCGACCCTCCTTCAAGCGAGAAGCGAGGGGCAGAAGGCGAGAGCGGTCTTGGGGCTTCTTTACGCCATTTACACCGTTGGCGCTGTGCGCGGGAGCAGAATCAGCAGCGAGGGACATGTTGAGCGTCACAGAAGTTCGGAGAGAGCGGGGGGAGGCGCCCAACAGCAGAGTTGAAGAGCGGAATCGAGTCAGACCAAGTCCTCGGCGTAACATATGGCGGATGCAAAGACCGGTTTGCCTTAAAACCCCCTACCAGAGCCAAAGTTCAAACTCAAGATTCAGGAGATATCAGCTAGGCACCCAAGCGGATATACATGAGCAATGATTTCGACCGCCATATTCGTCCAATGATCATTCGGATGTCGCAATTGGCCGGACGAGGCGTGGGTGCGTCCGCGTTCCACGGGTCCCACCGTGTATCAGTTGGTCGTGGGTCGGGTTGCAGGGGAAAGTTTCAGACAGAGCGACGACAGCTCGACAGATCGTTGTACGACTTCATCGTTTTTTGCAGTCACTGGCACTATATAACCTCGGGCGGATCAAGGCGCTTAGAGACCCTCGGTGGCGGCACTGCTCCAAATCCTTGCACGTTTCGGAACGATGAGATTGTTCTCGCGCAGTCGTCGGACAGTGGGAGCAACTTTTGAGCATTCTCATCAGAGATATGTCCGCATGGAACAAGGACATGCCAAGCTGTAAACCGGTGTCGCCGCTTTACCGGCCCCGTCGCACCATGCTCACTCTATGAACGGACTTGAGTCTCATCTCAGTTCGTCCCGCTAAGCAGAGCATGGAACAAACATATCGATATCGACTGCCATCTCATCCCCCATACCCGGCCCTGCCAAGGCACAAACGGTGTGCACACGCCTCGAAGTTATGGCGGCATACTTAGACTGGGACGTACGTCGCTAATCGCGCCCGAGGAGGAGATGGCACAATGCCGCAGCTCACGATCATACACCAACTTTGTCGCAGTTCAAAATGCATCCATGCAGGAAGTCGTTGGCATACACTGTTCAGAATCCACAGTATGCGAAGGTCCTGCCATTCACGGAAAACTAGTTTTCATATCGGGGAAGCTTGTCAACTTCTACACTGGCACCTTTCGGGGCAATGTCGGAAATACGTATTTCGCAGGAGAAGGTCACTTTCGCGGGGGCACGGAGGATGCGATGCATACCTCGGGCTGCGGTGTGGCTTTATTGACAAGCACTCGCGTCCGTACTAGTGCGAGTGAAGCATCAGGAAACCCAACCATGCCCACGGTATGTATGTTCACTTGACACCGTAGTATGTGAATTCTGTTTCTCCTGAACTCGGGCCCATATTCGCTGCTAGTGTATCTGCTAATTTGAGCCCATGATCGCTAGATTGTCCGATCGGAGTCCTGCGCCGTCGCTCCAAGAACTCACCTTTCATCGTAGGTCACTGCGTTCGTTCAACTTACTACGTGAGATTGCGAGCATCTCAAACTCTTGCTGCATACTATCTCACATGTATTCAGTTATTCGTAAGAGAGCCAGTACACCTATGCATCTGCAGATCACCGGTATCTCATCCATGCGCTGAATTAATCCGTACTGCAAAAGTTGTCATGTCCGGGTTTGCGCGTATATATTTATTGTATTGTCTCTCCAAGTTTGTTGGTCGACTACAGTTGATGTTGCTGTCGCACTCAATGGTCTCGTTCGATGTTTTTGCAGTACTTGCTATGATTTGTCTGTCATAAAACAGAACGCCCGTAAGAACGCCCGTATGGATCGCCATTAATTACATATTCAATAAACAGACCACGTTTATGGGCGCTTACATTCTGCCGGCGTCTGCAAGAGTGCAGGCTCTGAGGCGGCATCCATGCGTTCACCTATACGGCCATTTGACGATGAGTGATAACTCTGTGCATCATCTTGGGACAATTGAAGAGTAAGCTCTGCTAGAAATTTCATTTCGAAAACTCCTTCATGGTCATTAACAGGTTGTCTAGCGGTGCTACATCTCCTATTCCGCAGGAGTCCCAGCCGCACGAGGATTCCGACGACGAACGATTCATCTACCCTGGTTCTTCAGACGAGCCCGTTACAGTCGATGAGCACGAAAATGCATTTGCTCCGGCCCCACAAATACCCTCTGTGGGGGCATCTCCAGTGCCTGCCACACGACCTCCTTCCTCGGCGCAATTGGAAGCCCTCTACGCAGCAGTAACATCTGGAGATCTGCAACGCGTACAGCAAGTCTTCTCTGAGGTTCTGGAGTCCGGAAACGTAGAATCGTTTGCACTAGCAAATGACGCGCCGCCGCGCATAGGCCAAACTGCTCTCCATGCTGCTGCTAGCAGAGGGTATCTAGACATTGTTAAGTGGTGTACGCTTGCAGACCTACTCCATCGATGCCTCCTAACAATGAGCTGGTGATAGTAACGGAGAACTGCGGTGCGATGCCAGATGTGGAGGATAGGGAGGGCGAGGTATGTCTGCGGAGCCTGCACGCCTGAGAGGCTGACCATTGGCCGTAGACAGCACTGCATAAAGCTGCCCTCCATGGACATCTACAGATTATCCAGTATCTGCTGCCCCACAAGGCTGATGTCCATACACAGGATGCGGATGGCTGGACCGCTCTGCATAACGCATGCTCCAAGGTAGGGATCGGAATATCGGTCCGGACAGTTGAAAGCTAAGGTCCCGTAGGGCTATCTGGATATCGCGAGATGGCTGTGCGAGAACGGAGGCGCTGCTAATGAGGAGAATGGCGTGAGAGGCGTTGACATCAAGAGTAAAGGTGGTTGGACACCTCTAAGTGAGTGGCAAACTTCACTAACAGCCATAGGTGACCTGATCTTTGGCTTCCAGTGAATGCTGCATCCAAGGGACATCTTCCCGTCGTATTGTACCTCTTGACAAAGCAGTCGGCAGACCCGTTTGTTCGAAACAACTGGGGCGAAACTGCCTACGACGTGGCGGCAGCGGTGTTCGAAGTATGGATATGTGAGGTGAGCTATTGGTCAAACCGATCTTACAGCCTCGTTGATTGATCCTCTGCACCAGGTTTTGCAGAAGACGGAAGCAGAGCACTGGCATATTAACGATGTGCCATATAATCCTCTGGCAGTTCATACGACTGTGCCACTGGTGCTCTATGAGAATCAACGTCTGGATGTCCGTTTGAAAACCCTCGCTGTCTCTGGTGGGCGACCCAAGTTCTCTGCATCAGGTCTCGGTCGACACGGTCGCCGCGCCCCGTTTGAATTGCGCTTGCCCGTGCCGGAAGCCAACACCGGCAGGAAAGAGATTCCCGCTTTGCGCAGCGATGTGCAGTTGCCACTGCGAGAAGATCCGTGGACGTTACCAAAATCCGGTTCTGCAAGAGAGGGCGCTGAGAGAAGCCACTTCTGGCTGTGGGTACCACTATCACTGAGCATCAATTCGATCTGACGCTGTATCAGATCGGACTGGACTCTTGACGTGACACATCCCGGTGTGGATGCGGAAGACGGGTGGCAGTATGCTCACAGCTTCGACGACCCGGATGATGCATGGACAGCGGAACTGCCGCTTCAGCTCGAGAGGCTGCTCAGCGGCAGCGGCGCCGTCACCGCTGGTCTTGGTGGAAGCCGATCCCGAAGCAGCAGTCGAGGACGGTCAAGTTCCAGCTCGCGGCACGACTCGTCACACTCGCAGTCTTGGGTCCGCCGACGTCGCTGGGTCCGCGTTATGCGTCGGAGACTCGACATTCCGCCGCTTCCCTTCTTGCAGCCGGACGGCGCCATGTATAATCTAACTGCGGATGGGTCTCTGATACCATATGTTGAACAAGATGAGGATGTCAGCGACAGCGATGGACAAGAGCTGGGCGCCATGTCGAGTACAGGATTGTCGTCGGCGCAAGACTACGTCGCGCGCGCAAGGTATCTGGCGGGCACTCAGGATGGCGACGCGGAATCAAGTAATGGCGCGCAATCTGCTTTAGAAGCTCGGCGTGCTATAGCCAAGCTGGAACGTGCCACTACAGAATTGAGCCAAGGCATACTAAGTATGATTTTCAAATCTCCATGTCATCATCAGTCTCATGCCACACAGATGATCAGGACTCGGAACGTAAGACTCAGGCTGAGGTGCTTCTTAACACATACGGCCGCGAGCTGAATCGACGCCGTCTCTCTGCTGGCGCTCAAGGGCTGTTTTTCTCTGGGGATGGTACGTCTTATCTCGTTTGCATCACAGCTCGAGATCACCTTCCAGTTTTACTACAGACGGAAATGAAATTGATTCCGATGATTCTGATGACGAGTTTCACTATCCTGGCTCAGGATCCACGAGTACCCCCCGGCCATCATCAGTGAGGTCTTCGGGGACAGATTACTTCAGTAGCCGGCCGAGCGGAACGCGAGGGCCAGCCGATCTCACTCCTCATCTCTCACAAGCTCCTGAGTTTCGAGTGCCTACGCATGAAGCTCCGCAGAAAGTACTATTGACTCGCTGGACTCCGCCCACTCCTCATCAGGTCCATGCGCAGTGGGAGAGAGATGAGGTGGTCAGCGAGTGTAGAGAATGTCGGCGCCGCTTCAACTTCCTAAATCGTCGAGTGAGTCGTTCTACACTCCTAGTTGAGGGCTCGCAACTGACCGGTAATCACTTTATATAGCATGTGAGTCCAGAACATCAGATTCAGTTGCATACAGCTGAATACTTTCTAGCACTGTCGCCGATGTGGACGAATATTCTGTGACCGCTGTTCTTCCTGGAGAGCCCTTCTTGACCCATCGGACGTCGTACATGATCCGTCGTTTCCGGAAACGGACAACGTGCCCACCCTGCAGCGAGTCTGCCGACCATGCTACGAAGAGGCGACGGCCGGCGTGCCCAGCGGTCTTAGCTCAGCGCGGACGACATCAATGGAGCGCATCGTCGTGGATCAGAGAAGGCTAACTGTCCCCAGCCCATCGAGTGCAGAGTCGAGCTCGCAGCTAAGCGACTTGGCCGAGTACGTCTTGCTTAATCGTGAGGATTGTGGGCACGCTTGCTGATCCACTTACCGAAGATGTCCCGTTTGCAATACCAACTTGGCGGATCTTGGTCCCGCCTCAGAGCAGGAAGCGCACGTCAGGAATTGCCTCGAAGGCGGAAGTGGCACGACTCCACAGACAGCGAAATACCTTGTCTACAAGTTACCAGCGGAGAGCGCCTTGATCGGTCTTGAATGTTTGTCGCTATGTCTTGTCCAAGTCTTCTGGGCTGATTGGTCATGACCAGGTGCAATCTGTCTGGAGGAGTTTGTCAAAGGTGAAATACATATGCTGTCGGACAATTGTGAAAGCTGACCTGGCATATTAAGGCTCTACCGTTGCTCGTCTCAGCTGTCTATGCAGCTTCCATAATGGTATGTTTACAGTGATCGGATGTAGGAGACTGCTGACGACCGAAATTATGCTTTGGAAAGCTTGCTTATCTTCGTGGCTACAACGAGGAAGAAGTTGCCCAGTCCATGCCCGCTGACGAGAGGAAGACCTTACGTACTCATTGTTCTCATGCCCGCACGTTGCTATCTATCATCGGAATGGCCTAAATGCTTCCTAATATTACACGTCTCATTTGTATACTGCTGCATCCAACGCTCTCATTCCTCTCGCGGGATCGAATACGGTATTCTGCTCTCATCAATTCTTATGATGTTTGAAAGATCGTCATGATAGTCTGGATAGACGATATCTTGCCCCTTTCGTCCGTCATCTTGGTCATCGTCGAACCATGTCGAAGGATTTTTACCCTCTTCGCCTTCGTCATCCTCATCTTCCAGGTCAGAATCTGTAGGTTTGTAGTTCCTGGACGTTGGTTAGCACAGTGTCCAGCTTAATGAAGTCATTGGCACTCACATGAATGCCCACATCCGGGCCTCTTTCTCTTGTCTTGTGAGGACTTCATCATCTAGGGAGAGACCACGCCTACGTCTCCGCTCCGCAATTTCTTCTTGCCGCCTGCGATCGGCGGCATGAGCTTCTTGCTCTAACCTGGTTGCCTCTTCAAAAGATAAACCACCCCCGTTGTAATCTCTTGAAGCCTTTGCTGCCTAAGAATATACTCGTCTTAATAGGACCAACTGAAAATATGCGGGACACGTACAAACTTCTCAAGGGCTCTCTGCTTCGCACCAATAGCACGATATTGTGGCTCTTGCGGCGTTGGGTCAGTATTCATAGCTTCGTCATTATGGTCATGGATCTTAGTCTCCTCCAATTTATTCTGGATGGACTTCAATCCCACCAGATCAACCAAGCGCGACTCGATCTCAGCCTGCTCGGCCACGATCCGCTGCGAATAGGAGGACGTCGAAGCTGTCCTGGATGCTCCGGATCAGGCACGGACGGGGTAGGGTCACAAAACACTCACGGTCCGGCGAGTGTTCTGGCGTTGCGAGCATGCTGGTCTCGCAGTTCGCGGACTGTCATGCGGGAGATCGGAATCACATGGGGCTTCGGCGGCACCAGGAATCCTGGTGGGGCTTTCGACATGGGCTTTCGGCGCGTTGGCAAGGATCCTAGGAACGTAGGAGGAGATGACATTGTGGATTGCAGGGTGAAAGGAAGTGAGAGAGGGATTCGAGGACGGAGGGGTTATATACTCAGGGCAGGAGGCCTTCTATTTGATCGTTGCGGATCGTTCCCGAGATCTGTACCGAGGTGGCCATCAAAGCCCGTTATGGCAGGCGCTGTATGATATGTGACGGCCATGGTAATTCATGTGTTCCGGGGCATAGCGGTTTCGTTACTACTAACTAGGGCTACACAATCGACTTTTCATAACATTAAAGCTACATGGTTGGGCGTGTGCGCACAACGGAAACTACCAACAACAACAGCGACAGCGCTGCGATAGAGACATGCGATCAGTGAACAAGGCACACAATACTATTCGTACATCCAGCAAAACTTCACGGCACTCTCATGTGCTTCACATAAACATATCTCCCTGTGAGTAATGTGAGCAGAATGAATCTTCATTGTCAACAAGCATGACTAACCGCTCCCGGGGGCATAAACTCATCATTGTCCGGGTCCTGTAAGTTGCCTGAGCCAGGCATCCCCCTACCCAATGGATTCCTGTTAAGCCTCGGAGACGGTCCAACAGGATCAAATCGAGCACCCGGAGGTGCCCCTAGAGGAGGAAGATAACCGTCACCTCCCCAAGGGCCCATACCTCCAGGGCCTCGTCCTCTCATCCCGGGACCAAAGATAGGATGATCAGGGCCGACAATCATACCATCACCGCCGTTGTCCGGGAAGAGGGAGGGAGGTGCAAATGGGTTGCGAGAAAAGGGTTCTAGGTCTCGTCTGCCAATCTCCAATGGGTTCCTCGGTACCCTGAGGCTACGTTCTGGAGCTTCAGGCGGCTGAACTGGTCCCGGCTCAGCAGAGGGGGGCACGATATTCCTCGGTCGGCTGCTGCTAGCAGCGCCCGGTGTCTCTGTAGACGGCTCGATATAACCCTCCTTTCGAAGGCCAGGGACCAGTTTTTGAATGGTTGTAAGTTGGTACTGGGACATCAGATCGGCTACGCGGTTGGACGAGATATAGCCATGAATCAAAGGTGGCGCATTGGGAGCTTGCAGGTCGTGAGGGAAGAAGGATGGTGATACAAAGTCAGCGGTAGGTATGTCCAAAGTCGCCGTTTTGTCACTCTGATTACTCAGCAGTGAGTTCCACGAGAGTCAGCCTATCGAAAAAGCACGTACCTCAGTTGCGATGGAGTTGACCAGGGTGCGAGATCCAAGCTTGACAACTTTCACCACAAATTCAAGGCTGCTCTGCTCATGTCTGTATCTGAATGTGTAGTGTGCTGGACCGTACTGGTTCCATTCGTCCGGAAGCACGCTGTTCAAAATTGTGCGAGCGGGAGAGTCCTCGTCCACACCGATGAGTCGGAAACCGAGCGCGACCATCGCGGTGTGAATGAGGGCAGCAATAGCGTCCTGAGGAGTATTCAGCTTCTTCTTTCCAGGAGGCAGAACATTTGGAAGAGCATGGATCAGAGCAGCGGGGTCGAGGATATTGGAAGACATTGTGGTGGCCAAGTGTTACGCACGCACGGACTGATCGAGACAGACCCATATATTAGCTCCCTTCCGTTTTTGGCAACGTGACAAATAGGCGCATACACCTAACTCTCATCGCCTCCGCATACCGTCCTCGCGTCCTTCTTGCACCTTCGGCCAACTTCGCTTTTACTCACCTCGTCGTTGCCCGCAACCAACCATCCTCGATATGGCGCGAAGGGACAGATCATACTCGCCGGATTCTCCGAATAAGAGGGTAAGACCTTCCCACCGCTCTTCACCGCGGTCTCCGTCGCCGACGAGGCGCCATGCCCAAAGGCCCACTAGATCGAGGTACGACGACGACCGGGACCGGGACCGGAACAGGGACAGAGATAGAGAAAGAGACAGAGACCGCGACAGATACCGTGACGATAGATATCGCGATGACCGACGACGCGACTACCGCGATGACCGTCGAGATGGTCGACGCTCTCGCTCCAGAGAGCGAAAGGATCGCGACAGGCTGTCTCCTTCAAGGGCTACGCCACAGGAGACAAAGGTGACTACTCCTCCCGTTGAGGACGAGAAGCTCAAGGCAAAGCGAGCGAAGCTGGAAGCTTGGAAGAAGGAGCGTGAGGCAAAAAAGGCTTTGGATGAGGCGAAGGCGAAGGCAATGGCTCTTGCGGGGAAGTCCGTTCCAGGTGCGTACACTGTATTTGCTCCAATGTCTTCGAGATTTCACACCACTTGATCGCACTTAGTGCCTGCTGCTGCTGCCCCGGCGAAAACCACCGTCCAGCTCAACCGCTCGGCACTTGCAAACCTCGGTCTCAAGGGTCTGCCCCTCAAGCCGGACCTCTTAAAGGCCAACAAACTTGGGGCTCTTGACGATTCTGTCGAGACAAAACGCAAACTTGAGACTCTTGACCTCCCAGAAGTCGATATGACCATGGTAGAAGGGCAGACAAGCGTCGGCGATCTTGAACACGACGAGGATGAGGAGGAGCCTAACGGAACCGAGAAGGCCAAGGCGAAAGACGCCATGGATGAAGATGAGGATGAGGTTGACCCGCTCGATGCGTTCATGAGCGGCGTCAAGGAGGAAGTTAAAAAGGTCAACCTGGAGGACATGAAGAAGATGATGGCTAATGGTAATGGCCGCGTCCGCCTCGATAGCGGCGTATTGGATGAGGGTCCTGAGGACACTGCTGACGGGTACGAAGTCGATGAGCTGGATGCTACTGACTTGAACCCGGAGGATATTTTGGCGTTGGCCGCAAAGAAGGCGAAGAAGAAAGATCTTGCTGCCGTGGATCACTCTCGCGTCGCTTACGAGCCATTCCGGAAGGAATTCTATGTCGCACCACCAGATGTGGCTGCCATGACTGACGAAGAAGCTGATCTTCTGCGACTGGAGTTGGATGGTATTAAGATTCGTGGTGTGGATTGCCCAAGACCAGTGACGAAGTGGAGTCATTTTGGCTTGCCGGCCAGCTGGTGCGTAACATCGACGATGGCTCGTGAACCACATGCTAACAGTGATCTATACAGTTTGGAGGTTATTAAGAAGCTGAACTATGCAGCACCGACGCCTATTCAAGCGCAGGCCATTCCGGCCATCATGTCCGGCCGAGATGTCATTGGTGTTGCGAAGACGGGTTCCGGAAAGACAATAGCATTCCTGCTTCCTTTATTCCGTCATATCAAAGACCAGCGGCCTCTCGAACAAATGGAGGGTCCGATCGCCGTGATCATGACCCCGACACGAGAGTTGGCCGTCCAGATCCACAGAGAATGTAAGCCGTTTTTGCGAGTCTTGGGTTTGAGAGTGAGTCCAAATCCTTATGCATCCTATTGCAGTGCCTAATTGACCTCGACTATTAGGCTGTCTGTGCCTACGGTGGTTCACCCATCAAGGACCAGATCGCAGAAATGAAGAAGGGTGCGGAGATCATTGTTTGCACTCCTGGTCGCATGATCGACCTGCTTACCGCAAACTCCGGGCGTGTCACCAACCTCAAACGTGTGACGTATCTTGTACTCGACGAAGCGGATCGGATGTTCGATATGGGTTTCGAACCCCAAGTCATGAAGATTGTCAACAATATTCGACCAGATCGTCAGACTGTCCTGTTTTCTGCTACGTTCCCAAAGCAGATGGACTCGTTAGCGCGAAAGATTCTGCACAAGCCTCTCGAGATCACCGTTGGCGGCAGATCGGTAGTGGCGCCGGAAATTGACCAAATTGTTGAGGTGCGGGACGAGGATTCCAAATTCAACCGGCTTCTGGAGATCCTTGGCCAGACATATAATGAGGACCCTGAGTCGCGGACACTCATCTTTGTCGACAGGCAAGAAGCCGCCGATAATCTGCTCCGCGAGCTCATGCGCAAAGGCTATTTGTGCATGTCCTTACACGGCGGCAAAGACCAAGTTGACCGAGACTCGACGATCGCTGATTTCAAGTCGGGAGTTGTGCCCATCGTTATAGCGACGTCAGTAGCAGCGCGCGGTCTAGATGTGAAGCAGCTGAAGCTCGTCATCAACTATGATGCGCCGAATCATATGGAGGACTATGTTCATCGCGCTGGTCGAACTGGTCGTGCGGGCAATCAAGGGACTTGTGTCACTTTCATTACGCCGGAACAGGATAGATATTCCGTGGATATCTACCGGGCGTTGAAGGCCAGTAATGCTACTGTCCCGAAGGAATTGGAAGATCTGGCCAATGGTAAGTATACAGTCATTGTGTCGTCACCGTCGTACTCATGTTGTACCCTCGCAGGATTCCTGGAGAAAGTCAAGTCCGGCAAGGCCAAGGTTGCCGGCTCAGGTTTCGGTGGTAAAGGTCTGGACAGGCTCGATCAGGAGCGTGATGCAAAGGAAAAGGCAGAACGGAAAGCATACGGCGAGCCGGAAGAGGAGAAGAGCGTGGAAGAGCCTGTCGTTAAGGCTCCGGTGACTGATGATATGACGTTCGGCAGCTTCAAGGTCGAGGTCAAGCGCGGTCCTGCACCCGACTCATCCAAGGGCCTCCTCGGTGTTGCCGGTGCGGCAGCCGCAGCTCGGCGGCTGGCTCAGGCGAAAGAGGAAGAGAAGATCCAAAATTCGTTGCGTGCCGCGGAGGAAGCTGCAGCGAGAGCAGGCAAAGACACTGCCGCTCACAAGCAAGCAGTCAGCGTGGTAGCGAAGCTCAACGCTCAGCTCAGAGCGCACAAGCTTGTTGCGCAGTCGCAATTGCAGCACGAGGATCTCATTGGCAAGAAGTCGAGTGTAGATGCGACGGAGTTCCACGCTATCATACCCATCAACGACTACCCGCAGAAGGCGAGGTGGCGTGTCACAAACAAAGAGACCATGGTCCAGGTACGTGAACGCGTTGCTGCAAAGTCATATCCCTATACTCACCTGTTCTGCAGCTCATCGACATGACGGGTGCTTCGGTCACCAACAAAGGTTCGTCGCTTTACCACTTCTTAGACGAACAAACAACCTGATAACTTTATGCTATAAGGTGTCTATTACGAACCAGGGAAGGAGCCTCCTCCGGAAGGCCCCCCGAAGCTGCACCTGCTTATCGAGTCCAACGAGGAATGGAGGGTACGTTTTTTGGAGCTCTCTGGTGCGCAAAACAAGCTGACTCAATCCCATCTCAGGTCGAGCAAGCAGTGCGGGAGATCAAGCGACTACTCGTGGAAGCTTCGGCGGCAGCTTTGCAGGCAGAAATGCGCAATCCTACTGCTACTGCAGGCCGGTACAGCGTTGTGTAGCCTCGTTGCCAATTCGGATGTGTATGTATATAGATTATTTCGAACTCTTTCCGGTCGTTAATATCCTGCCGTTATGTCTTGGCAAGCATGGTAAATGAATGCGCTTTCTTGCACGCCGCAATTGTCGAAGTACGCCTCGAATCGTTGGACTGACGCCGGTTCTCACACGGGTTCTTTCTGATGGCCCTTTGACTAATCTCCAACGACACAAATATCCGTTCGCCTCGGCCAGACAGACAACTCACCGGAAGCAAGTCCGGGATTTTCAACCTATGACTTCGCAGCCGGTTGAGGGGTAAAGCTTGTGTGTTGTCTTGCGCGATTTGGTCGTGCGCGACTGGCTTTGGGATTTTAATGATCTTGTTTATAGCGACGCTGTCGAGGAAGTTTCTAACCCACGTTGACCCCGCGTGTGATTCAGAAGCTACCGTCATTTTGTAAAAGTGCATTGATCGCATCGGCATGGTGGAATTTGAGCATGTGCTCCTATATAAACCTCGGGTAGAGGGAAAGGGAGCACCTCGGACGTGGCTTTCAAGGGCATCGCTGATATGGCCTGCAGCGATTTGGTTCCGGCTCTCGAAACCCGCGCGTCGAGCATCAGAACGGTGAGCAATGCTGAGGAAGCAGAATCTGACGTCGACAAGCTCGATCTATCGAAGGAGAAACCCTACTACCCGCAAGTACCTGAGGGGCTGAAGGGTGGTGAAGGGGAGTCTGCCATTCCAGAGGACAAGAAGGTACGCGGTTCCTTCGTTACTGTCTGAGCTGTGGGCCATGATCTGTGGATGCATGAAACATATTCTCACCATTGGATTGTAGGAGGAGGCTCTCGAACATGCGGAAGATGATTGGGCTCATGATCCCGAGAACCCTCGCAATTGGAGTGCCACGAGGAAATGGAGGATGACTGCCATTGTATGTGCAATTCTGTTCGTGCGTCCGTGCTATTCATGTATTAATGAGCTGGCAGGTCTCGTTTTATACGTTTGTCACCCCGCTTGCCAGTTCGATGATGGCCCCGGGCTTGCCTGCAATTGCTGAACACTACGATGTGACCAGTCCTACAATCGTAGCCTTGACGCTCAGCGCCTTTCTGTTGACGTTCGCAATCGGTCCTCTCCTCTTTGGTCCCCTATCTGAAATGTATGGACGCACATGGGTGCGTCTCATCATGAACTGTATCAGTCAATGCTCTCAACCCAGCACTTCTGGTAGATCTATCATATTTCAAACTTGCTCTTCCTTGCGTTCAACTTGGGTTGCGCATTCTCGGACACGGTAGATATTCTCATTGGCTTTCGGATACTAGGTTTGTGCTTTGATTCAGGATAAGTTGTAAAATTGTGTATCTGATTCAATTCTGTAGCTGGTTTTGTAGGCAGCGCACCGATCGCATGTGGCGGCGGCACCGTCAGCGATTTGTTCTCCGAACGAGACCGTGCTTCGGCCATGGCAGTCTTTTCCTTGGGTCCTCTAATAGGTCCTGTGGTTGGGCCTATTGCAGGAGGTTTCATAACCGAGACGATTGGCTTCAAGTATGTCTTCATCGTGATTGCTGCTCTGTGTGGTGTGGCAGCCGTCTGCGGGATACCTCTCCTCCGTGAGACTTACCATCCCATCATCCGTCTGCGCCGTGCGAAGCGCTCCGGGGATCCCGAAGAGGCCGCCAGGATGCATCCGCATCTTTTGCAGGAGCATGGGAGCAAATTGCATCGGATCTGGGTGGACATGAGCAGACCATTTATCTTGCTCACGAGAAGCTATGTGTGCTTCCTCCTTAGCCTGTATATGGCCTTGTAAGTCTTTACGTTCCATTTGCTCCTACGGGGTGCTAACTGATGCGCGCAGGATGTACGGTCCGTAGTGACAACAGCTAAAGTTTTTTTTTGCTCATCTCAGCGACTTGTAGGCATCTACTACCTGATGTTCACGACGTTTCCCGGTATGTTCCAGTCTAGACGTTGCTAGAAGTCAGTTTTGATGACCATGCTCGCCGCTAGATCTCTTCACGAACGTGTACGGTTTTAATACAGGCGTAAGTGGACTGGCATATATCGGCCTTGGCCTGGGCTTTATATCCTCCACCATCATTGGGGCTAGCGTCGCGGACACCGTCTACAAGACGGTAGGTTGTGCTTTTACGTTGAGCGACGGCTCATACTGATTGAGCGTAGCTGGCAGCGCGGAATGGCGGTGTAGGAACACCTGAAATGCGCATTCCCGCTCTTATTTTCGGTTCGCTCTTTGTGCCAATAGGTCTATTGTAAGTGTCATCGCATATTAGTGCAAGAAGAAATGATCGTTTGCGGGTGGCTTATAATGTCTAGTTGGTATGGCTGGTCTGCGCAAGCCCACATTCACTGGATCATGCCAGTGATTGGATCGGGGATTTTCGGCTTCGGGATGATGACCACTTTGTAAGTGGTCATGTATCGCAGTGCAGGATGGACTCATGGGACGAGCAATTGGATGTCAGTTTGCCAATCCAGCTATACCTCGTGGATGCATTCACGTTCGCTGCAAGCGCATTGAGCGCAGCTTCAGTGTGTAATGTAAATTTTTGCGCGCTGTACTATCCTGATATTTTGATGCAGGTATTCCGCTCCTTGCTCGGCTTCGCATTTCCGTTGTTTGGTCAACAGATGTTTGATGCTCTGGGTTATGGTGGAGGAAACTCGCTATTGGCCGGCTTGGGCATCGTTATAGGGATACCATTTCCCATCTGGCTATACTTTTCCGGCGAACGCATCAGAGCTAATAGCTCGCTCACTCGTTAACGATATCACATATCTAATGATTCTGGCCTGAGAAAGATTCGCTACGTAAAGTCAAACTCACAATTTGTATCCGGTCGTTACAGTAATTGACACGACATCGATTCGCAACCATAGATGGGTGGTTGCATCGACGTTTTAAATGCAGTTACGACGGTATACTATACTGTTCCTCCCCTTCAAAGGACGGAACAATATGGTCATTTGCTCTTCCGAACTTTCGTCCGAATTGATCGACTGCGGTGCCCACAGCCTAACGAGTGGCCACACAGCTAGCCGCATCGATGACAATCCAGCGCGAATGCACAATATCTATCGCTCTCAAGCTGAACACGAGTTTCTGTCATCGTCTCCTGCGTTGTTGCGGCTTAGAAGATTAAAAAACAACAAAACGACGCCAGCAGGATTCGAACCTGCGCCTCCAAAGGAGAACAGATAACCGTATTTGGAACATCGTTCCCACTGAGTTCTAATCTGTCGCCGTAACCACTTGGCTATAGCGCCTTAAAGAACATCATCCTAGCATTAATATATAGATTTTAATCAATCTTGCGGGCGCGTGAGCGTTGAGCGCGTTGAGCGCTGAGCGTCCTGACAGATGGGTTCGAACTCTGCTTAGTTAGCTACGGAGTCCCGGAATCTCAGACCAGACCCGCCAAATTCAAGTCGTGCTACAAGTTTGCCACGCAAAACATAAGCTCGATAGCCCGCCGTATGCTCCGCGTTAATACGTCGGAAATTGAGCATGACATATAGGTTGTCCGGGCGGTCAAGCCATAGAATCCGGAACTTCAATCATGACATTGAAACAGGCGTCGCTCAGTCAAATTTGGATGAGACAAATTTCCTCACCATCAGATTTGTGTATGTTCTAGTATAAATCATCAGAGTGCGTCATCTGTTATACACTGCATTGACTCGATCGAACAGAACGAGCGAGGTGTTCCTTCCTGCTAGCTGTGAAACTAGCTGGCATACAGTAGCTATAATTATAGCTGACAAAGTGCAAAATGCACTAAGATGAACAGCCTCGTCCCAGCTGAGATAGGGCAATCACTGACTCGTCTCCCCATCACAGATGCAAGCGGTTGCTGCAAACGACGTACATGACATAGCGCCGGAACAAGTCAAGACCTAACAACCACATCCAGGGCGTTGGGAAGGCGGCCGACAGACAGGGCGAGCGATCAGTGGCTTAAAGCATAAAGCTTCGCATCCGGGATGAGGCTTTCCTCATCCCGCAGAGCGCCAGCTGAAATATCAACGACCCTACCATCATCTTGGATCACTTCTCTAGTCAACATGATGCGTGCCTGAGGGGTCGACTGTGATGCCAAAGCCTTTGATCTGATATGATTGTTGGGAAATATGTGAGCTCCACAACAGACGTGCACGACGATTGGGTCACGACATACCGTTCAGAGGAGCCTGTTAATTTTGTTGACCCCGCACTCGTAGACACGACATGCATCTGCATGTCAGTACCGTATTCATACACATTTGCTTCTGCATTCTCCCTGATCGTCTTCCGAACGTTCAAGCTGAGTACAGCTGTTAGAACCATATGGGATACACGGACGAACAACCTACACAGCCAGCATCGCATTGACATATACTGAGATTGTTGTATGCTCAGCTACACGACTCGACAAAACACATTAGCACTTACTCTTGCTAGCTGGGAAATGAAAGATCATCCAGTACAGCGAGTCTTGTTTCAGTGTTGTGATGTACTGCTCGCAAGTCAGACCCTCGCCAAATATCGTAGGCGACGACACGTACTGTCAAGAAATGCAGAGCCTGTACGAGACTGGTACGAATCTGTTAGAAGTCCTGCCGAATCCTGAAAACAAAGCTGCCGCACGCTGTAAAGAATCCTCTGCGAACGGCGTATCCAATGAGTGTCGAAATGAAATATTCCGTGCTAAACGTCGCATTGAATTAGTGCAGAATTGATGTTATAGAACTTGATGACTATGATCACCGCTTGAGCCCGGTTCTTTTGGAGGACAAAACCATACATAGAGACACTGTGATATAGACATCCGTAACCACCGCAATGACTGAAGCAATAGAAGCTGGAATCTGTGGAGTCAAAGGTCACACTTTGGGGGAGGCAAGCATGGCACTCAATACCCACCTTGACATTCCTAATGACCGCGGTGATGGCATGGTCCAGATTACTATACAAGCGCTTGCGCATCAGCTATGTTCAAGTTGCCCATTAGAAGGGGTACTCGCGCTCGGTAGATTATTCCTGGGTCCGAAAAATGTCAGATACGCGCAATTTCAGGATAGCAGACGATACGAACCGCAGCCACCACCTAGTACCGGAACACGTTCATCGATGTCAGTATATAGACAGACTAGGGAGCGCATCACGACGCACTGAACGACAACAACGCCAGCAATATCTGTTCGCCCTGGCTCAGCGTGATGAGATTGTGCATGTCATTAAACACGTACCGCGGCAACGGTGAGAGGTGCGCGGAACCGCTTTTCGCCTTCTTTGAGCACTGGTGCGATCGTTACTTAGTTGGACTTTAAGGTCACATGTCACAGCTCGAGCAGAGACGTACACATCCAAATGCTGTAGATGAAGTATCTGTGCAAAGATGTGCGAAAGCTGATGAGTTCATAGCAAGTTCACGTACAGCTGAACTATCAACACCGTGACCGACTAGACAACAGTCAGACTGACTGGAAAATGGAAGAAAGCAAGCAGCTCACATTCAGGAAGAATTCGGCCTTCAACACTAGGTCAGGACACCACGTAAGGAAACAGAGTTCGGCCAGCTCACATAGAAGGAGCTATCGCACTGACGTCAGGGCTGTTGCTCACAAAAGCGGTCAAAGTACTCACATAACGAGCGTCGTGAGGCCAGCAGGATTACCATGACTTTGGACTGTATAACCCCATGCAACCTGACGAACAAAGTCAGTCGCTGACTCGATATGCATGAGTACGGCGAGACTACTACCACTATGTCCAATATTGTCCTAACAGTGTCTAGTAGCCTGAGGAACGCGAGTCAATTGAGGTTGGGGGCGCACTGTGGCGATGCACGAACCACAGGAAGGCCACCTGCAGATTTAGTGAGCATCCCGCGCATATATCGGTGGACGAAAGCATACCATACCAGCGATTTTATCCACATATGATCCTTGCCATACCAACTCGCATAGTACATCGTTTGCGCACATCCCAGGCCATAGAGTCTACATTGCGATGGAAGGTCTCAATACTTTCAATACTTATTCAACAGGACGTTCGCTGCTCGGCGTACATGACGGCGAAAATGACACCGATGAACAAGCTGCCAATCGAGTCGTTGAGGTGAAGGTTTGGACCGGTCATGATGGGGCTGGGAACAGATTACGAGGGATGCCGGAGTATATGTGGTCTTTGTCGAGATCGCTCATATTCCCTTTTAGAGGCGCCTACAATGGGGAGTTCGCGCTTGTCATTGTTCTTCCGCATTCATCATGAGGGTGAAACACTCTAGGTGCTTCCGTGTGATCAATCCATCCTGTCGGAATGGGAGGAACAGCTGTTCCCGGGCAGGACGGCCATCATTTCTATGGCGAGCTCCGAAGTAACCGAGCTTGATCGTCCCTTGAAGTTTGCTGAACGTGAAGCTGTACCTTCTGATGGAGGTCGGACCTTGACACGCGCATGCATGCAGCCATTGATCGTTGACATATGCGACCTCGCGCCTACTGACCACGGTTGACGTCCTCCAAGCCATCCAGTTCAGCGGCTCAACGGGTTTTTGTAACGGTTAGAGACCGGATGCTAGATGTGGCTTAAATGCTGGATGTGATGGCGTGGCTGGAGGAGAGTTTGCTGTATGCTTGTCTCGGAAGGTATCTCCTTTCTGATGATCTACGGCGGTCGTTGCATGTCCGCATACTACTATGGAGATGTGCACATGTGTCTGCACTTCCGTGCCTGCCTCCTCTGATGGCCACTATGGTGATCGGATCACGGATTCGCGTGAAAATCATCTGAACGTACCTTCGCTCGACTGAGGCAGAGTAGCAGTACAAACTTTGCACCATGCGGAATCCCGTTTGGCATATCTATGACTCTAGCCTGCCAGTGTCCCAGTCTAGACTCTAAACTCTAATCTTCTAGCCAGATCGTGAAGTCACAAAGACTGCTCGCGTAAAGCCGCACAGAGACCGCCCTTACAATCAACTCGTCGATGAATCTCTCGTCAACTTCACCGCAGCGAAGAGCGCGTTACAGAGACTCTTTGTAACTACTAACGGCAGGAGTGACTGATGCTCTGTCACGTGACTTTTGTGACGCGACGCGCACTTAGGTGACGTGCAAAGTGGATCGAGGACACACGGCAGACATGATGCGATTTATCAGTGCGAAAAATGGCGTGGGAATGTCGGCTGATGTTTTACATTTGTGGCAAAGGTTTGCCAATGTAGCATGTAAATGGCAAATAGTGCACATTAGCAGCCAAAGTGAAAC